CAATACACTGTTCAGACTTCATATTCACATGTAATTATCTAATCAAGTACCATTGTTGGCCTTGGACGTTGACACGTTACGTTACATACTAAAAGACTGAGTGACTCCACTGGTAAATTTTGCTAACACAAACAACAGAACTGTGCCTGTGCCACCTTCCTTTATTGGGTTTCGATTTCGAATTGAAATTACCAAATCCAAACGCTAAAATTCTGACTTTAATAGTACCCATTAATCACACAGTTACACTACAGCAAATTTATTTATTTTTATTAATAAAAACTGTTAATTAAAGAGTTTGGGAGTTACAAATGAACTTCAACGTTCATTCTGTGTTTCCTTTTTCAATTCAGATGCTACATCAGTGTCATGAAAATTATAACGTACTGAATAAGAATTTTTCTCTGTTAACCTAAAGTTTTGCATCGTTCAGTTAATTAAAAAACATGATTTTTTTACTTTCAAAAATAAGATAATATTATTAGTTGAAGTTATAAGATTAATTTACCGAAAATACCAGAAATCATAATAAGTATACTTTTTAAAGGGATCACCATTATTATCTTTATCTTTATCTTTATATATATGATTAAATAACAGCTCCTGCATATACCATCTACTCAAATGATATTTACTTGGATTTACTTTTATGCATATAGTTAATAGACAGATAAGAACAATGATTGAAAATAGGTCACACACTTTTATGCATGGCATTGTGAATATCACCTTATAATCTTACTTTTACCCTTATGATATCTTACACAATCCATGGAAGTATCTGCACGAGATAGGATAGGAAGCAATGGTAGCAATGTGATCAAAGTTGAAAAGCAAAAAACGTGACAAGTAGGGAAGGGCACTATGGATATGCAGCAATCACGATGCAGTGGGGTTGATTTGGTGAAGGTTTTGGGGTCAATGTTGGAGCGTAGAAGGCAGAAGAAAGAAAGAAAAGAGGTTGGTTTGGTTTTTTGTTTCAAAGGAAAAGAAGAAAAGTGGTCTTAAGACATCTGACATGGAGTGTTGGTGGCATAGATCGATGTCACTGAGGTGACACGGAACTCAATAAAGATGCAATTATTAGAGACAGCACCACTGCACATCTCTGCATTCTTATTCTTTTCCTAATTCATTATATATTATCCATCATAGTATTTTTCAATTACATATAATAGTGAATTATGGCATAGATTACTGTAACATGTCACAAGTATATTCCTTCCTTGTCTGGGGTATGATTAGATATTTACACCCTTTTTCTTTTTTAGACCAAAGTTCTCCTTCATTTCTGCATAACCTTTTATAATTTAACCATTCATACTTTATGTAGCTTCAAGACAAATATAATCATTTTTCAACAAATGAATATGTTTTCCAGAAAAACTTTATGAAATGAACAAATGTTCTGGCGCGTCTTACACCTAAAGGGCTCAATTATCATAAACTCTATCTATCTTAAAGTGTAATCTATATGAATGTTTTTCATGTCAAATTAGTTAAAATGAAAAATCAAACATTCTATTGTAAAATGAAAGCCATGTTGAGCAAAAGCGTATCATGCACATGGGATATGCATTAGCAAGTCCCTTCAAAATCAAGCAACACCAGCCAGTATTATGGGATCAAAATGACTAAGGATTTGAAAATCAAGTTGTGTAATATAAAATATGTTGATTCATAGTTTAGACACACATCAATGTTTCAATTGTAATTTTTTTTTAATTCTTTCTAATTTCAAGTTCTAAATATTATCAGATTTAGAACTTTTATTTAATTGCCGTAATTTTAGTTTTTTTTTAATCATCTTCATTGAGAGAATAAATTATTTACATATATTATTAAAATTATAATTAGTTAATAGAATTAAAAGACGCTTAAACATAACATAAAGTAAAATCCTTAGGACTTTCATTTAGACAAACATTAAAATCCAAATACCAATTTTGTACTTAAACATGAGACAAAATATAAATAATTGATAAGTTTATTATTATTATTATTTTAATTGATTTAAAAGACTTAATTTTTGAATTATTTTTTCGTGACGCTTAATATTTAAAACCAAAGAAGAATTATTAAAATTGGAATCTTGATCAAATGAAAGATATTTTAAAGATGATATTATTAAATAAAATACATTTTTTTATAGTAAACTTTGAATGAAGTAGATTTTAATACATATTTGAAATCCATCTACGACTAAGTTCATCCAATATATCAAGTTAAAATACCTAAACAAGAAAAAGGAACACCCACTTTTTTTGAGAAGAATCTTCAATATCTCTTGAATTCTAGTTTCAATTCACAAGTTACTCCTTTGATTGTTGGTGTCATATGATATAACATAATTGTTGGTGGACTCAACAGGTCAAATCAAAACAGATAATTAACTGACTAAATATGTAAGTCAAATTCGTAAAATAGATCCTAAAATATGACAAGGCACGTGAAAGTAATTTTTTTTTTCATAATAGAAACTTGGCTGATGCAGCTTCAAAAAGTATAAACTCTAAAAAATGGTGAGATAAAAGAGGTTGTGACATTAGAAAAACTAAAACCAACACACTTTTTAATGAAAGTGTATGAATAAACCCTTTGACGGGTGAAGACGGAGACACTTGCCTAAAAAAGCCTTTCTTGTTCTTGGGGTTGCAGGATGATGGAGATGTAGAATCTTAGAGAAGAAAGAAGAAAATGTTTTTTTTTTTTAATTTTAAATTCTAACCAAATTTTAAACAAATTCTATTTAAAATAAATAGATTAAAATAAACAGTATTATATGAAGAATAATGAGCTGAAAGAATAGTAAAAAGAAAATAATGGTTAGGCTATAATTATTCTAACTTTTTATTTATTTAAAAACTACTTTAAAGTTAAAGAAACAAAGAGCTTTTACAATAAAATGAAGTGAAAAATAATTTATCCAAAGCACGTACAAGTAATAAATCATAATTTAATAAAAATTAAAAATAATTAGTCATAAAAATTACACATCTCTGCCTTTTTTTTTCTTCTTTTCCCAAAAATAGAAAGTAGAAAATGCATGTTGACATTATTATCTACTTGGACAGCTACTGTATGAATGGAAAATTTTTGCCTAACCTGTATAATGGAATAAATGTATACACAACCCAATTTTAACTTTGGATGCGTGGATCTGTGCTCAAGACGCAAGTCACCTATTTGTCAAATTCATTTCATACATTTATTATATAATATATAATTATTTTTTAATTATGGATTATTATTATTAATTTAACATGCTAATTAAATATTAATTATTACATTTTCATTTTGTATCATTTCAATTTATCTCATAAATTTTATATTTAATTATGCATAGTTTATATTAAAACACATAATGTAATTGATTTATATTGTATACTATTACTATTGGCTACCTATATTTGAGAAATGATATAGGGAATTTATATGAATCTGTCAATTATTATCTCCGACCTGCACACTATTTTTATCACTACCTTTTATTCTTTCATATTCTCCCCCAACATCCAGTTCATTCTAAAATTTGTAATCACATCTCCAAAAATTTTCGTTCATTTTAATTTTTTTGTAATTAACAAAGTTTTCAATAATGTCTTGACGACTTAAAGGGTGACAGGCATTTTAAATATATGTTAATCCCAAAAATTAATTTATTATAAGTTACTGATTAGAAACAGTAGATTTAACTTTAATATATACAAAAAAAATGTGATTATGAAAAATGCAAAATAACAAAAGGGATAAAGAACGAAAATATAAAATAAAAAAACAATCTATTTAACATCTAAAATATAATTTTAACAATAACTTGTTATAATTCATTTCAAAATTTCTTAATAGTAAACAATATAAATGCAACCAAATGATTAATAACTTTTTATATTTCGAAAAATATACATTATATCAATGTGGATTTATATGAATAAGACAAAAGTAAACTTTTATATTAACATAAAACTTTGTATATAATTTAAATGAAGAGAACTTTTAATTTAACAATCTGTTTTGAAAAACTTAATCCAATAAAAAATATTGAATAATATAACATTTATAAAAAGTGCATCAACATAATTTACTATATACCAAGATTAAAGGAATAATACTTTAAATATAATGGCTTTAATTATCAGTAATTTAGGACCATTAATTGGTGAAACCGGTGTAATCCAGTCATGCGGTCAACTATCTCATTCCTTTCGATCTCAACCGTCTCGTATTCCTCTGCAACAGTGTCAACTTCCCGTCAACAATGCCCTCTCCGACATCGACACCTCACACTCAAGTTTCAAAATATCATACCTGTCTCAAAATCCATATCCTAACACAAAAAACCCAGTCATGTTAAAACAAAACGTAATCCCATGTTACAACAAAAATGTTATCAAAGCCAAAGCATGCACATATTGAAGGCCAGATCATACAAAGTGACTGCCACCTATTACAACATATCAAATTAAAAAATTATTAGTTCCAATTATTCTACGTCCAAGCTTATAGATACGATATGAAGTGTAAGACGAAATTGATGTTTGTCTTGCAATTGAAAGCTCCTTCACCGTTTCTGTTGGATTAGCTGTTCAGAGAATTCACAGTTGATTGGAAAATATTACTCTGATCAAACATCTTATATTTTGCAATGACTAAACCAACCAATTATACCCAACATAATGAATCATAGATGGAGGTTAGTACCGACTGATATTATCGATCACGGAAAATATTGAGCAACCAAACCCATAACCAGTGTAGTGGGATGACAGTCATATATATATACTACCATTGCTAAAGCACTATTGCAAGTTTTGATAACTATACTACCATTGAATTAGGGATTTAGATTTATTCAACAATCACCCAACAGTCCATCACGGTCAACTTTACAGGGTAACACATGTAATCAATAAATGAATGTGAAACAGGACATGCAGGAAAATAATTGGTAATAAAAATAAAAAATCTAATGGCATGATCAGGAACCGTACCAGAATAAATTAATCCTCCTCCATTGGTACATCTGGAATGTCAAACCTATCCTCTTCAATAGTCTTGTTTATCACAAATACTGGAGAGGGTATTGGTTGTCAAGGAAAGAGTATGTATGGAACAGCAATATTCATCACAATCATAACTCAGCTGGTTCAAAGTTAGAATTTGACATGTTACAATATGCATGCCACTGGCAGTAACAAATCAACAATATATGACACTTAAAAACTAGTGCTTTTTAGAAATTTAAATGAAAAAAATACATGATCTTTTGTCAATTACGTATTTTGGGTTGTCATATCAATTGCTGCAGTATCAGCATATTTCTTCCTGACTTTCTGCTGAATGAAATGCCCCATATATTACCAGGGCTAAATTATTGACACAAGAAAACCAAGATATCATTAAAGTTCTGCAGGGGATCCTGAATTTCTTATAGCAAAATTGCATTAAAAAAATTCTTCATATTATTTAGTTATTATCTGAAATTTTTTGTTTCTAGCAAAATCTCAATACCCTGAAGCTTACATGCAACCCAGAGTTATCCTTAAGCTCACCTAGATCATACAACATGAGGTAGACTATAGATACCATGTCATATCCATCAATCGTAAGAAAGATAAGTAGGGTAAGAAGGTGGAAAATGTAAAGGATATCAATTGACATAAGATCTTCATCTTTTTCACCTCGGTGGCGGCTGTGATCTAGCTCTCTACTAATTTCAGGTGTAACCTGCAGTAAGGAGAAAAAATATCAATCACAGCCAGAAAATTGAAACATAGGCAAAACAACTCATCAGATTTAATGTTCTTACAAAATTATGCCTTTGCTTTTCCAATAGATTCCTTAATCTATCCTTATCATCCTTTTGCAGCTCATTCTTGTACCTGAAAAGTCATACCAAAACGCCTTAAAATTAAAAAGCGAGCAGGAAAATTAATCATTGTTATCTCTCATGCTATGCTAATTATAAATACTCTATTACATATATTCATGGATGATCATACGAATTATACTAGAATTTACTTTCTTTGCTCTATCCCTTTGTTTTTTTGGGTGATTTAGGGAGGATTAATGATTACTGGCCTCGCAAGACTGTATTAGACGCACAGTAAAAAAATCAAGACAAAAGGTTAATCACTGACCTCTGCACAAAAGCAAGAAATGACTGGTGCCATATGACAGGCATGATCCTAGTTTCATTGAGAAATCTCATAAAATGAGCAACAACTGCATCAACCACACGATACGGCAAAGCATATTTTTTCTCCAGAATAAGCTTTATGAAATAGCTGAAATTATTATAACAGTAAGCGTCTATATAATATTCATAAGAAAAAATTAAGAAAGTTTCATCAGAATAATTTACTGTTCTCTATTGCTGTAAAACATACACTAAACTCAACAAATTTCGTGAACTGTATTTTCACAATAAAGCTTTATTAAAAAATGATCCAATATTAAATACCTTGTGGTGCCACAATATTCCATTCCAGAAAGCTTCAATAGAGCAACACTGTATACACATCAGTTTGGGTACATCAGACATTGAATATGACTCAAATAATTCAAACTTTTACATTCAGTCAAATAATCCAAACTTTTACACATATAGCTTGTATTAGCTTCATTATGTCAAAATGCCTCATACACTAGGTAGCCTGCCAGTTCAGCAGATTTAATTACTGCCAGCTGTTGTTTCTCTTAAAAGTTGTAACTGAACTATAACAGCTATCGATGCACCATAAACCCAGATCTTAGTTTAGATATTTAGAAAAGCAATGCCAACTTTCCAGGTTTTCAGTTTTCTCTAAAACTCTCAAAATGTCAGAGTTACGGGGTTGCAGTGCGAATATTAAAAATTCATATTAGATGGATTACCAAAATAGAATCAAGGTCATTTCTTAGTGTTCTTGTTGAGATTTTCATTTTCTTAGCACATGTCAGGATAGCCACTATTTAGAATTTTTTTTATTACTACTATTATTTAGGTTATTATTATATCATATGTTACACTTTAAATAGTTTATTGCATTTTATTACTGTTATTATTTATTTTATAACTATTTAGTTTATTATATTTTTTATTACTATTATATATGATTATTCTTTATTTTTTAAAAAGAGAGAATCTAATTTAGACTCAAAATAGAGGCCCAATGGATCAAAACAAAAAGGGAGAAAAAGTGGGAAAAATGTTTGGACCCATTTGCCAATTCCTCCATATCCTAACCTTTATTTACTCTACATAGCACACTTTTCCCAAACCTAACAAGAACAACTTTGCAATATGTATTCCACGTTGTGGAGTGACATTTGAACTTTGAGCAACAAAAAATACAAACCAAAAGATCTGCCATTATATAAGCAAATATTGAAAGAATTGAAAAAAATAATACTAATAGCCTGTCTTAATTCGTATAAATCAAAATAATTCAGAAAATCCTTCTATATATTAGGAGTGCTTATGAGGTAAACATCTAGAAATCCAAGCAAACACTTAAGCAATTTTATTGGGTAATGGTTTGAAGTTAACATACCTTGAATGAAGTGGAGGAATAGAAACCTTTTCTATAATGCTTCCAACTATGACTGCTTCCCTGAGAGTGCATGTACATGACTGGACATTAAGAAAATTGTCAAACATTACAACAAAAATGAACAAGCAATTTAATTATAAGCTTGTTTTGAGACTACATATAGTTTGATTAAACTGAAATTATAGATTATTCAGTGAGTAAATTCAAACCATGAAAATCATCAATGAGGAAGCATAAATAAATAAAAGGAACTCGTTTATCACTCTACAAAACATGAGGATGTGGATGTCATTTACTTAAAATAATACCAGAGCAAATTATTTCACTAATTTTCTATCTAACTTAGAATGTAATTTACAATAGCAACTTAAAAAAATGGGAAATGGAAAAAAAATACCAAAAACTGTGAAGATTCTAGATTCCTCACAATTGATGAAGTATTTTCTATAAGTCAAGTTGCGATGATAGAACAAATATATCATTCACAATACACAATAAAGATAACTGATATCACTTTCTCAAGTTTATTCATCATTCTGCATTTTCCATTTTTCCAACAGGATTCATGATTAATTTTCCCCCTATTTCTTCCAGTATTTATGACAAATAATTTCAAGTGCTGGTCATCCTATAAAGGATATGTAACATGTAATAAGATGAAAAGGCAAAAAGTCTCCGCCATAATTTAAGAAGTAATAGAAATCCAAAAATAGAACTAATGAAAATATCCACAAATGATTAATTTGGAATATAGAAAAACTAGTATAGACACAGGTAAATACCTCACATAGCGGAAACAGTATTCCCTTAAAGAATGCAGCAGGTTTGTACAATGCCTTTTTCAGAGTTTGGTATAAAGCAAAATGCAGCCGCTTGTTCTTCCTTATATCTTCTCTCACTCTTGGAAGTAACACAAGCTTGTAGAAGCGTTCTGCCTTTTTTGCACCAAAATTAGAAGCAAAAATCCTAGTGGCTTGATAAAGAGCATTTGGAGACCAATTCTCAGGTTCAGTTATATACAGGACCTCCTCCCAATGTTGCATAGAGGGTATATGTTTGAATGCCTTGGGTATTTTTCCTATCGTATATCTTTTGAGATGAGTCCCAACCCTGCCAGTAGGAAAGTAGTCAACAGCAGTAAGGTCACGCGCAAAAGATGGAAACTACATTTAACCAGCTAAATAACATAACATAAAGGAATTTATTAATCTAATTTACATATTTATAATAGAACTGAATTGGAAAATATACATACCCCTTGTATATGTCAATTATGGATTTATCCAATTTTGGCACAGGTCGCATTTCTTCGCACAAAAATATCATAAATGCAGGAGTGAGAATAAAACCTCGAAGCAGACTTAAAAAGCATACTAAAAACACTCAAAAACCCAAAAGCAAAATTAAAGAAAGCATGAGGAAAATAAAATGCAGTTTAGTATTACCTGAAGCGACAGAAGCATCCTTTTCTTTTATTCTTTGGACAATGAGGTCTGCAAGTGTTTTCTGCTGACCAGGCTCTTTCGAAAAGAATGCTTCCACTAGTCTCTCATCCTCTTCATTAATTTCCTCCTGAATTTTCAAGGAATGAACGCATAACAACAAAAATCACTCACAATAATAATAGAGGAAAATGATTGAAGGGAAAAAAACACCTAACTCAATCCAAAGCTGTTCACTAATTGAAAAACATTGCCAATAATTTTACCTTCTAAAACTCAAAATATCACCCTAATTCTTCCAATTAGTCCATCCAAACATTGTCCTCATTTCAGTTGCACAATTATAAATTGTCACCTTATATTTTTTTTCTTCTATAAATACCAAATTCACAAACAGAGTCAAAGTGTACTGAAAAGTTTGACCAAACAGAATTACATAAACTTGATATTAGCTACGGATTTAAAATACTCACTCGTGACCGACAGTGCGGTGATGAAACATACGGAGAAATTTATTTAGCAAAGCCAAAAAGGTAGAGAGTATTCATAGCTTTCATCAGTTAAAGGAAACAAATGTTCATGAAACGATGGAGAAGAAGAGAGAAAAGGTGAGAGAGTCAACAAACTTCATAGCCGGCGGCTTGGCTCTGAATTTCGGAGAAGCCGGCAAAGGCGTCGATGTCGCCGTCATCCTCCGCATAAGGAATCTCTTGGAATAAAGTTGCCGCGTTGTCGTGCTCCACCTCATCTTCCTCCTTTTGCTGGAGCAGAGCCTCCTTCATGATCTTGGAGCTGAGGTTGGCAGCGACGAACTTCTCATCCTGCTGATGCCGCTTCGGCGCTTTGGAACGCTTATTCGTCTTCGCGGGGTCGGCGCCGTACGGATCGAACGGTTCCGGGTTCTGAATCCGCTCCTTCCTCTTCGCCATTTTTCGCGGAAAGAAGAAGGAAATATGGACAGGGAAAGTTACGCTGCCTCGTGCAGTGGCTCTGCCGTGTTCCCAATTAGTGAGGAGAGACTAGGGTTCAGGGTTTATACAAAACTGTAGTATCTTAATAGAAACTAAAAAAAAAAAAAGGGAAAAGAAACACAGTGTATTTAGAAATTGCCAAGTGTAAATAATAAATAATAACTCTTCAAATGAATCCCTAGCTTAAGGCCCAATTTTGTTAGTGGTTTAAAGAGTGTATATACACTATCTGTAGAATATGATTAAAAATACTATTTAAAAATATTTACACTATTTGAGAGGCCTAAAAACGATTCACAATATTAAAAACAATAAATATTAAAAACGATAATATGATTAAATTTGTAGAATTTTATTTTTATTAACTTCTAAAAAAATAAATTTTTAATACATATAAAAATTAATCTAAACTCATAAAAGAGTCATAAGAAAAGACTTGGAACATGAGGCATTGAACAATGTTGAAAAAACAATATTATTTGTTTTCTTACTTCAATGTTGAAAAATATGTTGGATGAATTAACAAGTCGTGATTTGGAAAATATTTTCTAAGGTTATTTTCTAACAATAAAGTTTCAACGAAAATTTAAAACAATGAAAATGAGTGATAAAGAAAATTTAAATGGTGAGGCTTAATTATTGTATCTAAGTCCACCTAAAGTCTCCCACAGTGCATCATAAAAAGACAGGATTGGGAGAAAGTGGAAGAAAAATACAGGAACAACAGAGAAACACAAAAAAGAGATCCAAGGACACAGAGACTAGAGAACTAAAACTTGGAAGCAAAAGGAAATCCTCTGCAAATAAGGTATGTCAGTAGTGCCACCAAATTTATGATACCTTCAGTTTAATCATTATTTTCTTTAATTCTTATTATCTCTTTCGTTTACTTTAAACAATATATTTTATATTTCAAGGAATATATAAAGATGAAAACAAATCTCCTATCTTGTAGTTTTTTATTCCATCTCTCCTATAATCAAATTTTTTTAAGGAAACAAATTGAATATACTTTTTTTTTAAACTAAGCATGTATATATAAATTCAATATATATCTACATATATATAGAGAGAGAGGATGAATTAAATTATTAATATTTCTTACTAAATGTTATGCCGACTAATATTATTGATCATTTTTTTTAAATTCCCTATTAAATAAAAGAGTTTATTTTTAAATATAAATTCTGTTATTATTATTACACAATTTTAATAAAATTTCTCATGAATAATTTATAATAATATAAAGTTATAGTTTAAAAATTAGATTCACAAAATTCACTTATTATATAAACTTTTAACCATCTAACATTCAAAATGATTAATCAATACATTTGTTTTCCTTTATATATATATAGAGAGATTAACTTACATTAGAAATTTATATTTTATTATTTTTTAAAATATAATATTTTGAAATATTTTATCTTAAGCATTAAATGAAAAAATAATGATGAAAATTAAAATAAATATATTCACTAACTTTAAAAGTAAATATAAAAATTTTAAATATGTTTTTTTTAATTATTAGATGAGTTACTACATTATATCATATTAAAACTATAAATGACTTTTTAATTAAAGAAAATAAAAAAATATTTATTTTAAAATATTTCAGTTGAAATTTTAAACATATAAAATATAAGAACAATCGTCTTTCTAAATAGGTAAGTAAGATTGATATGTCAGTCAAAATAATTTGAGATCGCAATTTGTTAATTTTTTTAATAATATATGCATATATATTAGAAATTACTTAACGTCATAAATTATAGATTTTTATTAATTGATGTATTTATTGAATAAATTGAAATGATTGCTAAAATATTTAATTGTGATAACCAAAATTTGATTTATAAAGTATTCATAATTTAAATTATAATACTATTGTATATTTATTATTGTTTTAAAACATGACATTTATTATTATTATTATTTTAAAAAATGTTATTTATTATTGTTTATATTGTGTAATATTTATATAAAAAAAGTTAGTAACATTTTTTAACAATAATAAGTGAAACCAAGAATTAGAAAATAATGATTAACAATGGTTCATATGTATAAGATATCTGGACAAAACAAAGATTAACTTAAATTTCAGTCCAAGTTTTATTTGAAAGGCACAAGCTTGCGAGCTTTGGGTTTGAAACTTGCGAGAAATCAACCTGATATTGCAGGAGGCTTTCAGCTGGTTTTTCTATTGTTAAATTTCACTGATGTTACTGGGTGAAATGACAATGTGTCAGGGTTTTCATGTATTGTGGTAGGGGTTAATCATGTCTTGTTTCATGAAGTTTTAGGGCAATTTCAGGGTCTTGGATGAAGGACCAGAATGAAACCTATCGCTTACAGTGCTTCGGTACTTCTTTCACTCACCTTTCCACTTTGTTTTCTTTCCAGGATATACTGTGATGACGACTCTAAGAAATCAGGGATATGCCTTGGCTGTTTTGTGTTGTTTTCTCATCCTCACACAAGCTTCACAAACAGACCCTTCAGAAGGTGAATTTGTTAAGCCCTACAAAACTTTGAGTCTTTCTGTTTCACTTTTTCCTCTCTGACTTGTGATTTTAGATTCTAAACAAGTGAACTTGAATTAAAACTTTTATCCTAGCTTCAAAATGGGGAGGGATTTGTAATCATGATAATGATATGTTTTTGTGTAATATGATTAGAGTTGTAAATATAGTAATTATATAAAAAAAATTTATGAGTCGAATTGAATTAAATTTATTTTAAAAATAAATATAAATATAAGTGTCTAATATCTATTTATTTCACGATAATATTAACATGAGTTATTATTTAAATAATTAAATTATTAAAAAATAATGATAATAGTAAAAATTAAGCTTTTTAACTCTTATTTTTTTAGTGAATAGATCTCTTATATTGTAATTTATATTAAATTATTATATTTAAAATAAAAATTAATTTTATTAATATATCTTAAATTTTTAAAATATATTATTATTTTTAATTAACTATTTTGATATAAACATGTTAATGATTTCTTTTATTTAAATTTTTAATTATTTTAAATTCAACCTGATAAGCTGCTGGCTTAATATAAGATTAAATTAAGTAAAAAATAATGATTTATTTTAAAATATAAATCAGATTAAATCATAATTTTTTTTTACTTACGAGGAGGACCGAGTATATCGAACCCATTTTGATATATAATTCTCATGATTTTGACATAGACATTATTACAAGCTTATAGTTTCATATTTCTTTGTCTGCTGTTTCCATGTAATTTGCTTTGGCATATAAAAATGCTAACCTTAGTAACTGACCTTTTTTTGTAGTAAATGCACTCATTTGCATCAAAAAAAGTTTGATTGATCCTAAGAACAATCTGAGAAACTGGAATTCGGGTGACCCGTGTTTGGCAAACTGGACTGGAGTTTCTTGTTCTGTTAGGGAGGAGGCTGGTTACTTCCATGTCCAAAAGCTGTATACATTATTTATCCTTCTGTTTTATTTATTTATTTCCAATTTCTTTCATTTAGATATTATAGGGATTTCTATTTTCTAATTACTTTCTGTTATCCACTGTTATTGAAGCTATTTAATGACTATGAATCTCTCGGGAAGTTTAGCAACCCAGATTGGTCAGCTATCTCATCTTAAGATACTGTGAGTTGTATAATGCCATGAATTATTGCATGGAAAGGAAAAAAACGGTATCAGAAAAAAAGTATTAGCTTATGACATGCTAATATACTAACTGTTTTATGCTTGAAGGTCTTTCATGTGGAACAATTTGACTGGCACAATACCGAAGGAAATAGGAAATATCTTGTCATTGGAACTCTTGTAAGAACGTTACTAAAGCTGAAAAACTCTCACTATTGTTGCTCATCAAGTTTTTATTTGTTTAAGAGTTGTCTAAAAGATGGATCTTATTTGCTTTAGTGCGTATGTTGTATAAAATTTAGACTTCTTTTGCTACTGATGTGGTATAAAATAAACACATTGTATTTCTCTGTGAGATAAGATTGAGTTCAGATCAGAGTCTAATTGACTGAGTATATGTGGAAAAGTTTTGGGTAAATAAAATGTGGGGAAAATTTCCGATTTTCTGCTTTCTCAATGACAGTGTTTATGACTGAACAATAGTGAACATGCTAGTGATCCTTAGCTATTTTGGTATATTGTCTCTGTAGGCTCCTAAGTGGGAATAAGTTATCTGGTAGTTTACCAGATGAGCTAGGCAACCTTTCTAATTTGGATAGACTGCAAGTTGATGAAAACCAATTGTCAGGTCAGATTCCAGAGTCATTTGCCAATATGGTCAAAGTTAAACATCTGTAAGTGGGTCTATAAACCAAATACACCATTATCTGAGCTAGTAGTTAGATTTTTACGTGTACTTTTATCTACTTCATGAATCTTTGCAGCCACATGAATAACAACACCTTCTTTGGTCAACTTCCATCCAAACTTTCAAAGCTGTCTAATCTTGTGCATTTGTGAGTATGAAGCCAAATATTTTACATTTTGGTTGTGGTATAGAACTTCCATTGCATCTCGGGAAGCATGTTGGTCGGAATGACTCCTGCAATTTTTCGTTGTCCCCTTTTTGAGATGACATTTTTTTCAGGCTTGTGGACAACAATAACTTATCTGGTTACCTTCCATCAGATTTCTCTGTGTTACAACGGTTAAGGATACTGTATGCTCTGCTTCCACCATGGTTAAATTTGTAGCATTTATTACTTGTGTTACTGTAGTTGACATGCATTACTTAATATGTAGTGTAGCATAAGTAAACATGTTGAAATCATGCTCTGATAATTAAAGTTCCCATGATGTTCAAACGAGAAGATTAATGAACATATAGGTACATAAGATATGACTAAGAAAAGAGCCCTGATGGATATATTGCATGACGGAACTAAGTGGCACAAGGAAATTTCTGAATAGAATTCTATCCTTTCTTCTCAAGGACTCACTACTCAGTAGACTAATTTTATCATTCAGGAGAAAGGATAGCAATTTCATTATTGTTGTCTCACATGCATGTACTTGCTAATGCATGCGGATACCTTTATCCTTAATGTTCAGCATGCAATTCTGCAATTCATTGGCTTCTTACTTCAAAAGGTAAGCAACTATATATAACATGAATTGGACTATTAGTATAGTTGACTTCATACAGCAACTTTATGGAATTATTGAGTCCTATCACACGTCTGAAACTGAAAAGTAATTAGTAACGTATCATGTACACATGTTATCACGTTCATACTCTTTCCAATCCAAGGTAATTTGTTTGTGTAAACTCAACAATCACAACAAGATTTTAGAATGGAAAATATGATAGTATCACTAGCAGAGCCGTAAGTTCCGTCAGTAGATATAAAGGATGTAAACTGATAAAAAAGGCATGTACATTGAAAGTATATAGTTTTTCTTTTCTTGTTAAAAAGTCCAGCATGAATAGTCTTTACTTTTCATTTTTGTTTCATTTTTTATGATTGTGAGTCAATACTCACAGGTGTAGCCTTTAGATTATTCTTTACCAGTTTAGTGATGTTTTATCATGTAATGCAAGTTATGCAACAATCAACTGCAGGACTCCTGTGAACAGTTAAAATATTTTTAGTTTGCAAAGGTGGTTTTCACTTCTAACCAAATTTCAAAAGTATCAACATTCAGAATAAAAGGTATTTGGAAGAATTTTATGCGTAAACATAGCCCAACAAATCCTAAATATAAACATTGTATCTGAAGACTATAGTTACATCCCAAACATGTACCAACAAATCCTAAATATAAACATAACCTCTAAATTATAAATTTCCTTAAAACAAATATCTTACCAAAGATAAAATCCCTAAAATTTAGGAAAAATTTTCAAAATCCTTAATAACAATAATTATCAACAACTTCATAAATTTTAAATAACACTGTTTATCTGAATCTATTTTCATTATTTTTCCCTCTAAAAGAACTCACCTTCACAGAGTTAACTCCTCTAAAGAGTGTCTGCAAGAAGATAATTGGATCTCCTCATTGTCAATTGATGGAGAGTGATACAATCTTCAAGTTTATGAAGAGCACTTAAATTAGCCGTGATCAAACAAAACATAAGAAAAGGATGGGAAGCCGAAGCTGTGATTAGAGTGCAGCTTTGGATAAGTAAATCCATAATGCCAGTTTGATGTAGACCAAACATACTCCTTGAGTAGTAAGAACAATCTACTCCTCTAGGATATAGTGTTCTTCTCATTGGATTTAAAAAAAATATCATCTCTTAAGTAAACTTTATTCATATATAAACGTATCAAGTGTATGAAGCATTTGCTATGTATAGATAACCCAACGATCGCAAAAAGTCATAGATAAATTCTCTGAATATACATGTTGGAGATCTCTCAATTAGTGACATGACCAAAATATTTGTAGTTTTATTTAATCGAAAGATAAAAAAGATCCTAGGCATATCATAACTAAATGTAATCTCAACGAAACATAAATTTCCTAAAATAAATATCTTACCAAAAATAAAGTCTCCAGAGATAGAGAAAGATATCAAAATCCAAAATAATGTAATTATCTATTAAACACTGATGTCACTATATGGTAGCACTTTGAATGTTTTCATGTGTACTTTAACTTGGCTGGAAAAAGGATTTTACCTACAATTCATGATTTTGGTATTGACTTTTCCCCGTTGCAGCCAACTTGATAACAATAATTTCAGTGGGACTGAAATTCCTTCTAGCTATGAAAACTTCTCCGGTCTAGTGAAACTGTAAGTACCTTTAGGATATATAATTATCTTTTTGTTTGTTTTAAATTTAATATAGCATGTTACAGATATTTACTGACCTTTTTTAGTTCTCACCGAAGTGCTTAATTTTTTATATCAAATCTAGACTATTAATTCAACATCATAATTGTGATTATTTTTGTTTTTTAAGCTAGTATTTTTTTATGTGACTGAACAGAAGTCTGAGAAACTGCAGTCTGCAAGGAACTATTCCTGATTTCAGTTCAATAACCAACCTTAGCTACTTGTATGTTTAAATATCTCCTGTGGATTTGTTAATGACACAAAAATTATTTACTACACATGTTTTAGTTACCAACTAATTTGATTGGTTCTTGTTTTAGAGACCTTAGCTGGAATCAGTTTACTGGAACTATACCATCAAAGAAGCTTGCAAACAATATGACCACTATGTATGCAAATTTGTCAATTTTTGTTTGTATATTTTTTATTTATGTTGGTTTCCTTTCTTCACAATGTTTATTAGACACAATCCTAGCCAATTAGCGATGACATATTTGAGTTTGAAGTAGTAATTTTCTTGCTATTGCAGTGATCTATCCAATAATCTTCTCAATGGATCAATTCCTTTAAGCTTCATATACCCTTATCTTCAAAAACTGTGAGCAAAGACCTGTCAATTTGTTTTCTCATTATATTTATTTAATTACTTCATATCAATACGTTGAAATATCTTATATAAAACTCTCTATTGAAGAAGCAATTGTTGCCATCTCTAGAATTTAGTAAGACTTCTGTCCAGGTGAAATTCTTTGTACATTGGGTTGATGTTTTTGTTTCATTGTTGAACACAGCTCACTTGAGAACAATTTGCTGGATGGATCAATCCCTGCTAGCATATGGCAGGACATGGCCTTCAATACTAAAGATAAACTTAAAATGTAACTTCTGAATCCGGACTACTACTACAATCTCAAGGAATATTAAGTTTTTGCATCGAACTAAATAATTTTGACAAGGAATTCACAATTGGAGTTTTTCTTTTTATTTTGTTTTCAAAGTAAATTAATTTTGTTCTTCCTATCTGTGCAGTAATCTCCAAAACAATTCGCTATCGAACATTTTGGGAAATCTAAACCCCCCGGCAAATGTTACCTTGAGGTTTTCTCAATACATATGCTCAGTCTTTGTTGTTCAATCGTGTTCAAAATATCAAATATATTTATGCTTAATTTCTATTTCACATCTCTCACTTTTAGTAAGAAAATTATTGTCACTACTGGCAATAGATTTTTTAAGAGAGAAATTTAAATGCTTTTGTGTTTAGTGTCATAAATTCTAAGAAGCACAAGCACATCTATATAATAGTCTTGTCTTGCTGTAGCCATGTTGGATGCTACATGGAGACTTTGAATACTTTCAGTTGTATTTTTGTAATATTTTCCTTTTAAATTTAAATTTTAGGATTTGTTTACTGCTTTGGATACAAAGATGGGATAGAATAACTATCTTATTTTATTAAATTCATCAGTTTGATGAACCATCTCATTAGTAAAAAAATTATCATTAGATGGAGATCGATCAGAGAGATGGATAAAACATATAAATATTTTCCTTTTTCCCTCATCCCTATTGTTCCCTTATTTCCACCTTAGTCTTTGTTGTCATCACTATAACAGTAGCTCCTACCTCTATTTACTGCCACTGCTGTTGGGAAATGGGTCAAATGGTCGGTTTGATGTCAAATAATTTGGCTTCTATGCCTCTTTCATTTCATTCTCCCAAATAAATAATACAAGGTCATTTACGACCATTAACTAGAAAATATTTTATTTCCCAACTGTCTAGTCTAAATCATGAATATAATTAAACACCATAAATAAATTGATGTCTTGATACAATGTATAATAGGAAATAATAATTAGAAAATATTCCTGCATTAACATCCCCTCAAATTGATGTAGTTTGTCAAGAAGCATTAATTTGCTTATAAGAAGCTCATGTCAAGAACGAGGAACTATCTAAGATATCTACAAGCTAAAGTTGTGAGCTGACATGAGGAAGAGAGATAATAATTATTGTAGTCACCACTATTAGGTATTTAAAAGGGGACTAACATAGGGAGATTCCCAAGAATGGAATCACAAGTCAATCATATAAAAAAATATGACATTAAATTTAACTCAAAACCTTTATGTTGTTCATCTTTCCCATTTTTACTCAATGTGAGATTTCAACTCACTTGGATTCCAACAATCTCTCCCTTAAGGGTGATTCCCTTTCACATTTCACATTGGTACACCTCCTCTAATGGAATAATCTTTTATGTACAAGTACCTCAGTAATGACCTTTACCTTTCCTTGTATTGTTGTTCATCTCAACGAGACATGCACACTTTGCCTAAAATCCTTTTTAGGGAGACTTTTGATGTAAGGATCCATAGTTTAGGGCATCACCTACTCCATATCAATCATTTGACGAATCATTGGCTATGATACCACTATTGGGTATCATATAAGATTCTCACAAATCATATAAGAGAATATGACATCACATTTAACCCAAAACCTTAAGACATTTGGCTTATGGGTATCTCTCACTTTTACTCATCTTTTACATTTTTACCCAATTCTAACACTTGAATTCTAACAAGCACATGGTCCAACTTCATCTATATCATTTGAAGAATTTTCTATGCTACTTTATTGTCATTAATGTCTTTTCCATACACCCTCATCTTATTGATCATATCTACAACATATTCAACGTGTTTTGAGCTTTTCCTACTCCTTAGTAAGAAACCTTAAAATATCCCACGTGTTTTGGACGGTTTTGACATTTGCTATTTTATCAAAAATTGAAAAGTTGATATATTTCTAGGATTTGTAATGAATCGAAGAACCAAGAAAGGGAAAGAGAACCCCAAACAAGAATGAATTCTGATTTTACTAATATAGAATGAAGATTACAGAGATTTCTAGAAAACAGAGCAGAATTCTGCTCTCTTTCAAGAGTCCCCACTACTAATTATATACATACAACGACTTATTGCTAACAAACTTGCAGAGCCACTACCTATTGACACGTGGCTCTAGACAATAATCAATTATCTCTTATTAACAAGTGGTTGTATACTAATCCGTCCTTCCTAACGACACGAGTCAGTACACTAATCCTGCATCAATCCCCTCCTCTTAAACAAATCCTTGACCTCAAGGATTGAATCCTGGAAATTTCCTCTTCAAATCATAGTAAAACTCCCAGGTAGCATCCTGCAGAAGTTGATGTTTCCACTTGATGAGCACCTTTGTTACAGCCTTATTACCTCTTTTTACTGTCATCCTATCGAGTATAGCCTAAGGTTCCTTTTGAATAATTACCTCGTCAGTGCTTGGACAATTTACGCATGTTGGTGTTTCTCCAACAAATTTCTTGAGATGTGAGATATGAAACACGTTGTGGATCAAAGAATTAGGGGGAAGTTGAACCTTGTAAGCCATTGCTCCATTTTGATCCAAAGTAGGATAGGACCATATTATTTAGGGGCTAATTTAGCATTACTTCTAAATGCTACAAAAACTTGTCTATAGGGATGTAGCTTCACATAAACCAAATCTCCAATTTGCAACTTCCTATCAGTCCTATGCTTATATGCTAACTGCTTCATTCTATCCTGTGCTCGTCTCATGAAATTTCACCAATTTTAACATTTCCTCTGTTTTCTGCATACTTCTATCCACCAATTCAACTCTAGATTCACCTGGTATGTAGGGAAGGTAAGTAGGTGGGGCCTGTCTATACTATTTCATAAAGGCTTGCTTTAATTGAACTGTGGTAGGTTGTATTATATCACCATTCAGCTAAAAGAAGCCATTTAGACCATTGTTTAGGATTGTCAGAACACATGCATCTCAAATAAGTTTCCAAGGACCTATTAACCACTTCCGATTGGCCATCTGTTTGTGGGTGATATGCAGTAGACAACTGAATTTGCACTCCTTGGTAAGCCATGAACTCCTGCCAAAATCGACTAATAAAGATAGGATCCCTGTCACTTGTTATAGAATTAGGAAACCCGTGCAGTTTGAATACATTATCCATAACGCATTGGACTACATCAGCAGCATAATAAGGATGTTGGAGACCCATGAAGTGTGCAACTTTACTGAGCCTATCTACTACCACAAAAATAACATGTTTTCCCCCGAATCAGGAAGTCCTTCTATGAAGTCCATTGTAATGTGTTGCCATACATGCTCAGGTATGGGCAAAGGTTGCAACAGCCTCGGGTAACCAGTGGAGTCATATTTGCACCTTTGACAAGTATTGCATTAATGAATAAACTTTTTGTACATCTTTGGATATTCCTTTCCAAAATACAACTGCCTTGATCCTTTGTAAGGTTGCATCCCTACTGGAATGATCCCCGACAACCTGAAGAATGTAGCCACTACAGAATGTCTTTCCTTAATTCCAGATCTTGATCGATCACTAACCTTCCCTTTCTTCTTAATTCCCCTCTCTGCTAAGAGAGGTGTTTATGTGAACTAAGATTATTTTGTAACTCTGAAGTAAGTCTTTTGAATATCTAAATCAAATTGCCATGAAGCTTTAATTCTAGTGATCATGCCTAAATCAGGTTGAACCATCGAGATAGCATTACTCTCAAGTAAGCTTCTTCTAGATAATGCATAAGCAACCAAATTCTCCTGACTCTATTTGTACTCTATGCAAAAATCAAATTCCATGAGCTTCACCAACCATTTTTGCTGGAATACTGTAGCTAACCTTTGATCCAAAATATACTTTAGGCTCTTATGATCTGTTCTGATCACAAATTTCTTAGGTAATAAGTAATGTCTCCACTTCTATACTGTAAAGACGACAACTAGCAATTCTTTCTCATAAGTGGATAGGAACTATTGTTGCACATTCAAGCTTCTACTAAGGAAAGCTATGGGATGATTATCCTGCATTAAAACAACTCCAATACCTGTACCTGAAGCGTCGGTTTCAACTACAAAATCCTTATCAAAATTAGGTAAAGCAAGGATGGGTGCTGAGACTAATAGATCCTTCAATTTTTGGAAGGCTAACTTAGCTTCATGGGTTTAGTAGAAGTTATCTTTCTTAAGCATATCCGTAAGAGGCTTGGCCACAAAACCATATTCATGCACAAACCGTCTATAATACCTAGCTAATCCAAGGAATCCCCTTAGCTGTTTCAGATATTGGGGTAGAGGCCACTGCTTAACTGCTTCAATCTTTGCTGGATCGGTTGTAACACCCTCACCTGAAATAAAGTGTCCTAGATATTCCACTCTAGATACTGCAAAATAACATTTAGATTTTTTTTGGCATACAAAGAATTAGACCGCATGGTAGGAAAGATAGTATGTAAGTGACACAAATAATCTTTTAATGATTTACTATAAATGAGAATATCATCAAAAAATACTAGCAAGAATTTTCTCAAGTAGTCCTAGAACACAACATTCATAAGACCCTGAAATGTAGTTGGTGCATTTGTTAGGCAAAAAGGCATAACCAAGTATTCAAAATGACTTGCATGAGTCTTAAAGGTTGTCTTGTATACCTCATTTTCATCCATCCTCACCTGATTCTAACCGGACCTTAAATCTCTCTTAGAAAACAACTTGGAACCATGTAACTCATCTAGAAGATCATCCATAAGAGGAATTGGAAATCTATTCTTCACTGTAGCTTTGTTCAATTCCCTATAGTCCACACAAAGTTGTCAACTACCATCTTTTTTCCCTACTAGTACCACTGGGCTAGAATATGGGCTACTACTATTTTGGATTATGCCTGACTACAAATATTCCTTTACCAAGCCATCAATGATATCCTTCTGGTGTTTAGCATATCTATAGGATCGCTTATTCATAAGAATAGTGTCTGGAATCAGTGGGATCTTGTGGTCATGAGTAGGTCTAATAGGGGGTAAGTCGGTAGATTCCTGGAAAATATCATCAAAACTACATAGTAATGTTGTCACGCTAGTGGGTATGGTGGATTCAGGCCCATAATTAGTAAGGGGATTCAATAGTGGCTCCCCCTTCCCATCACACAACTGTAGCATAGATATATGCACCCCCGATGAAAGTGTTTTATGCAATTACTATTTCGATACAATTTTAAGTTTATTAGTAGAAGTCCCTCTTAGTACATGTCTCCTCCCCTGAGTAATAAACTTCATTGTTAGCTTGTCAAAGTTCCAAGTAATATCACCGAGTGTTATTAACCATTCCACCCAAAGCACCAGGTCACAGCAGCCCAGGGGCAACAACATCATATTAGAAGAAAAACTAGTATTTTGGATCGTCCAAGTAAAACTCTTAACCATATTCAAAATCTGAACCTTAGTTCCATCAACAACAATTACATTTAAGGAAGAGATTCTATCAATTCTACATCCCAATTTTTTTGCCATATGCACGTCTAAAAAGTTATGGGTACTACCACTGTTAATGACGATGTGAAGGGGTTTTTTTTTGTAATAACATGTGACTCTCATAGTTATAAAACCAGCAGCCCCAATTAAAGCATTTACTGATATTAGAGGTTCATTAGATGAGGAATCAACCATTTCTTTAATCACAACATCTTCTCCTTCAGAATCTGAATTATCATCAACCTCCATAACTTTTATTCGAAGCTTCTTGTGAGTTAAAGAATGTGCAGGTGTAAAAGGTTCATCACAAAAATTACACAATCCTTTTGCTCTTCTTTCACTCATGTAGGCAGGTTTAAGATTTTTTATAGATGGTGTTTTGGGTTTAGATGTTTCAGATGGTGTTGGTAACAAGGGTGCTTTAAAGGAGGTACTAGTCTTTGCGAATTTAGAAAACAATTTCTGTTGGGGGTTAGAAATAACAGCAGATTCATGCATCTTGGCCAAAGAAAAAGCTTTCCTAATGGAAATAGACTGGAACATCCTTACTATTATTTGTATCTCTTGTTTAAGGCCTTCCAAGAAACAACTCAATTGATGTGCGTTAAATAGTTCAACCCTTGATATAATGACATCAAATTGGTCATGAAATTTTGTCACTGATCTTGTCTGTCTTAACCTCATCAATTCAACCATAGGATCTTCACAAATTTCACCAAATCTATCCAACAAGATTTGAGCATAATCTTTCCAAGAAGGAAGATTTCCCAACCCCACTATTCTCACATAAGCACTGTGTCATTGCAATGTCTTTTTTTCAAAATGTACAACAACCAATCTAACCTTGAAATCCTCAGGAGTGTTATCCACGGAGAAAAAAGTCTCACATTGAACCAGTCAATTCTTAATTCCATCACCATTAAACCGAGGAAAATCGAGTCTTGCTGAACGTGTACTGCAAGAATAGGAAGAAAATTTCTCCCCACGAGAATGCACTGACATGTGTTGTTGGAGAAGCTCCTCCATGTCATTCCGTAATGCGTGCCGCAACGAACCTGCAAGTTCCAAGAACCACTTATCCAATTTCAAACTCAAGCGATCATCTGATTCATAAAGAGACGTCTAGCTTCTGGTATTATCTGCCATTAAAGATGACTTGGATTGGAAGGAGCCAAGCTGATACCAATTGATATAGTTCTAGGATTTGTAATGAAATGAAGAACCAAGAAAGGGAAAGAGAACCCCAAACAAGAATGGATTCTGATTTTACTAATATAGAATGAAGATTATAGAGATTTCTGGAAAACAAAATAGAATTTTGCTCTTTTTCAAGAGTCCCCACTACTAATTATATACATACAATGACTTATTGCTAACAAACTTGCAGAGTCATTACCTATTGACATGTGGCTCTGGACACTAATCAATTATCTCTTATTAACACGTGGCTATATACTAATTCGTCCTTCCTAACGACACGAGTTAGTAAACTAATCCGGTATCAAAAGTCTACTTCTTAATAAATAACAAGGCCAATTGATCTTTTAGAGTGGTATCATCAACTCCTCTTGCTAATCTTGGTTTAACAAAACTCCAAATATTGTGACCTCTCAAATGTGTGACCATCAAAGTTTCCCAATATTAATATATAAACTTGTGCTACCACCAAAGCCTCTTTAGTTCTGATACCAATTGTATTGAAATAGACACAAAACTAAAGAGCCACACACAGGCACAAGCACAACGAGGAGACGAAGAGAAGATTACTCTAAAAAATTGATTTCTACTAAAAACTTAATTCAATAGTGTGGTACATTGCTTCCTTTTTATAGGCATATGAAGACTTACATAAAATAATAAGATCTTAGTCCATAAGCAAAGCAAGCCTTGGATGTGATATTTCTAGCACATTTACATTAGGTGATGCTGTTGTGCAGTTTTTCCACATATTTGTTAGGCGGTGCAGTCATTTTTGACTGGCAATGGTCTTGCCATTTATGTGTTTTTTCTTTACATCAATTATAATTCAGTTTTAATGTTATGTTATATCTGTGTCATGTTCTATCATTTTGAAGTTGTCATTTCCTATTGTCCGTGTCAGTCATATATGTGCTTTCCATATATCTTTTATCAGTTCTTTCTTTTTTCCTTGAAGGCTTTCTGGCAATCCAATCTGTGAGAATTCTAACATAGAAGGTATTGATCTATATTGTGGACCCGGTGGAGATAACAATGAAGATGAAGTAGTCCAAAACCCTCAAAATCCAACAACTGTCTGTCCACTACAAGATTGCCAAGTATATAATTCCTATGAATTATATGTGCCCTCTTTCCCAATTCCTTGCTATTGTGCAGCTCCTCTGCCAATTGGATACAGGCTGAAAAGTCCAAGTTTTTCTTACTTTCTTCCCTATATTGCTATGTTTGAATTATATATAACCGATTCCTTGAGCTTAGAACACTATCAGTTATCAATATATGCTTATGAAGATAGAAACCGTATCACCATGTATTTAAAACTATTCCCTCCGTATGATTCCCACTTAAGTACATTCAATGAGAGTGAGGTCTATCGCATTAAAACCATATTTACTTCATGGCGATTTCCTCCCAATCATTTCTTTGGACCATATGAACTCCTGAACTTCACTCTTGTTGGACCTTATGCAGCTAGTAAGTTTCTTAATCTCAACATTTTATTGCTGTATGTAATATGCGTTGCAAATTTATGCCATGTGTTGATTACACTATTATCATTGCAATCCATCAAATGCTTGTTTGTAAAATTTCTATGTAAGAATTTTTTTTGGTTACTTGTAAAAGTTCTTGGCAATTTGAGATGCATAATACTGAGGAATGTTGAAATATTGTAATATTTGATTTAAATTATTATTATTTTTTTACTAACTTTTCTTTTCTCATCTTATCCCTAGCAACTAGTTATTTTAAATAAAAAATTAATTGTCACCTCTTCTCACTTAATATATTTATTAAACAATCCAAGATAGTTAAAGATAGAGATTATTAACATAAACTTCTTTTCAGAATAAAACTGTTTTTGTATTATTAGCAATCTTCAAATTGTTATAAATTCTAAATAACCCGCACCAAAATCATGGATAAAAGAAATTCTCTATATTTCAAGTACCGCAATTGAAATCTGGTTTGATTGGTATATACCTTATGTTTTTGACATTTTGAGCACGCACAAAGACAAGCTACGAAACCATATGCATCCCTCTTTGTACTTTGGTTATAGATCTCTCCTTTTAATTAACCTTTGTCATTAGAATTGGTTAACCTTTGCTGAGTTTCTCTAGTTTAACTTTCATTTTACAGCTATAGATTCAAAGAGGGGTCAATCTAACACAGTCATATTGGTTGCTGCTTTAACATCAGCTGTTGCTAGTATTTTAGCAACATCTGCTATAATCATGTTCCTGCTTTTTACAAGACAGAGAAAATATCAGCAGATGATTTCAAGGAAACTTAAGGGTACGTATTCTATGGCTTTCTGCCAGTGTCATTTTAGATTTCCTTGAAGAAATGGATTTAAATGCCTATTTCTTTTTGCAGCCCCTAATGTATATATTAAAATAGACAATGTAAGAGAATTTAGTTTCATAGAATTGGCTCTTGCTACGAACAATTTTAGCAGCTCAACTATAGTTGGCCACGGAGGTTATGGGAACGTCTATAAAGGCATTTTATCTGGTGAAACACTTGTGGCCATTAAACGAGCAGCAGAAGGTTCCTTACAAGGCCAAAAGGAGTTTTTGACTGAGATTGAACTTTTATCAAGGTTACACCATCGGAATCTTGTCTCACTGATTGGATACTGTAATGAAGAAGAGGAGCAGGTATATAACATATCATATAGATAGTACCAACTTTTGTTATCAGTATCATCTTTAATTTAATCAAGTGTTGTTGAAGAATTCAAATGTGAAAGATTTTGTGATTAAAGAATGCCATAGCATAAGATGAATTATTCTATCTATCAAGGGTGTGGTGTTAAGATATAGAAGTTTTCTATTAGCATCCCATTTGCCTCCTTTAGTCTGTTAAACCATTTGTTATATTATATTTGTTCTTTATGTTGATCTGGTTTGGTGTGTCTGTTCTGTTAAGCTCACAGGTGAGATGAAGTCATCACTAACAAGGGGCACAAGAATTTCGTGCTGTCACTGATTTCTGTATTGAATTTGTCACTACATAATTCACACAGTTTAATTATTCATTTATTCCCTATAGTTGTACAAACTTTACCTTTTAGTCTTATACTTAAAAGTAATTTATTTTAGTCTTTACACATACTATTTTAATCCATTTTAGTTTCCATACATACCATTTTTAATCTTTTTTTGTTCATACTGTCTAAACTCATAAGACTAAAGATATAAAAAATAGTATCTATAAAATTAAAATAGATGATTTTTTAAGAACAAAAGACTAAAAGATAAAATATATTCAACTATAAAGACTAAATGAGTAATTACATTTATTCATGTTATGCTAATATGGAGGGTAGTTCCTTTCTTCCATGTTTCAATCTTTTACAGTACATAGAAAATTTATCTTTTGAACTCAAAATTAGTAACCTTAGTTTTAGACATGCTTTTCCATGTCGGCTGGACAGTTTACAAATAGTAATAATAATATTGTTCTCATATTTTCTTTCTGATGTTTCAGATGCTGGTTTATGAATTCATGCCCAATGGCACCCTAAGGGACTGGATTTCTGGTATGAAATTGTTGGAATTTTCTGTATAATTAATTAGTAATTCTGCCTATTGAAATATAACTATATATATCTACCACCTTGTTTTGTTAGTGCATATTATCTCTTTTTCTTTATGTTTTCTGCTATTCAGTTTTCATTTGCATAAAAACTGTTATGATAAAGCAATCTTAATATCTTGGTAAATGTTTAGGGTTTGTGTAACTTTAATAGCTTTTTCTAATCTGAACTATGTTGTATTGACACAACACAACTGGCGAGATTTTTTGTATGGTTAATGTGTCTACAGTTGATTGAGGAGAAATAAATATTTCAACATATAAATAGAAATAAAATCTACACGATGCTGTTTAAAATACATTTTTTGCTCCTAATATTCGAGGCAGTCATGTTGAACAACAGAAATCATGGTAGGTAGCCGTAATGAAGTTCATACTTTTTTTTGTCATTCTATCTTTATAAGTGGAAACCAAAAAGATAGAAGTTAAAAAGTTTCATTAAGGAAAGACAAAGAATAATCAAATAAAACATCACATGATTTTGAATTGGTTGTGTTTGCAATGATGCTTATAAGATACAAAGTTAATTATACTGTGGCAGGTAAAGGTGAAACAGCCAAGGAAAGACAAAATTTTGGTATGGGCTTGAAAATTGCTTTGGGTGCAGCCAAAGGCATACTATATCTTCATACAGAGGCTAACCCTCCTATATTCCACCGAGATATTAAAGCCAGCAACATACTTCTGGACTCCAAATTTACAGCTAAAGTGGCTGATTTTGGACTGTCACTGCTTGCATCAGAAGAATCTAGCACTAAATACATGTCAACAGTTGTGAAGGGAACGCCAGTAAGTTTGTCAGAAAATTTTGGAATGATTTCAATTTCAATATTGAGAACCTGAAGTTATATTGAGAAATTTCGGATTAAATAAATATTTCAATTGATACAATGCAATTTTTACTATTTAATTATGAGATTTTTCTCGCTTGTCATATCCTACTCTTGTACTGTTGCCAAAGTTTGTTAACACTCTCATCATAGTCTCATGTACGAGCCACTCCATAATAGTCAAATCGCACTTACCATTTAATTTTTAGATGCAGTGTAGTTTAAATTTGTCCTAATAATTAACTCAGATACTTAGGGGTGCTGCAATTTGTGTCCCCAACACTGAAAATCAATACTATCTGAAATATAATGATTTCTTTGTAATTTGCCTGCAGGGTTACCTTGATCCAGAATATGTGTTGACTCATAAGTTTACTGACAAAAGTGATATCTATAGCCTAGGAATTGTGTTTCTGGAGCTTTTGACAGGCAGGCAACCAATCTTACGTGGGAAACACATTGTTAACGAGGTACTCTTTCTGTTACTTTTTTTGTCCGCCATATCTGATCACCAAAGCACTAAAAATATTGCATAAAACTTATCATGAAAAATTTATGAGTGAACAATGTATGCATTGACAATATAACAGATTTTTATACTGATATCTAATTACCAATGGATATGTATGATGAGTTTTTTCTTTTTGCAATAATTTTCATAAAAGTCATACCAACAATGATTTTTGAATGATGGAGAAATTAGATATTTTTATATTGACAATGCATACAAATTAATCCCAATTTACTTTTGTGCTAGTACAATGTGTAGAAAAATGAAGCATTGAATTCTTATATATCTGATAACTTTGCATACCATGTAGAAAGAAGTAATAGATAAACAAACCAATATGATTAATGGTACATAATTTGGTATCAGGTTAATGTGGCTTGTCGATCTGGCATGATATATTCTGTTATAGAGAGCAGAATGGGGTTATATCCATCAGATTGCTTGGACAAGTTTTTGACTCTGGCCCTCAAATGCTGCCAAGAAAATCCAGAGGAGAGGCCATCAGCGCTAGATGTGGTGAGGGAATTAGAAGATATTGCTGCAATGCTATCAGAAACTGAAGCTGGTTTCCCAGATATTACCTTAGATAACTCAGGTGAAATGGCACCATCATCATCTTTAGGATCTAATGCAGCAAGGGAGGATCAACACAAGTTCACGTATGTGGCAGGAAGTAATCTTGTCAGTGGTGTCGTTCCCACCATTGTTCCTCGCTAATAGTGTGCTCTGCTACACTAGTCTCCTTCACACACTTCAAAATAAGTAATTATACCTATTAATAGCATAATATTTATCTTTTTCAGAATTACAAGTTTCCATGACAACATTGTTCTGTAGACCACATAAACACTTTGTCTAGTATTAGCTGAAAGCAATGTAGTTCCTCTGTGAATTTGTTGTAATGGATTGCAAAGACACTATTGTCGGTTCTGTTTTAAGTAATGTGTGTTGAACAAGGCAATTGATTACAACTGAGGATAATAAATTACACGCTTCAAAATCTACTTTTTGTCAAAAAATAGACTAATTATGCAATAATCGAATCATAAGATAATTTAACAGATAATATTATTCATTTTTGTAATCCAAGTAGTATGTTGGACGAAATAATTGATACTTGGAAGTAAAAATCATTTACTATATCGATAGAACTTTGAAAATAACATAATAACAAATCTTGTATGTAACCATGTCTTTCATATCATCATGAACTTTTTTTTCTATTCATAAGAAACATGAGATGAAGTGAAAACACTTTTCTATAGAGAAAAAACTTTTTAATCAAGATTGAAAGTACTCATTTTTCTTTACTAGTTTTCAAATAAAGGTTCAGTATAGCAAAGGGTCTCAAGTTATTTGTCAATTCAAAAGGTGAATCCATTTCTTGCTTCAAGGATGTATAATCTTGTAGAAGGGTTCTTAGTTCATCTTCAATGATAAAATTTATTTTGGGCTCATAACATAGTTTTTTTTTTTTGTGGGTCTACATATAATTTAAGAACATTGCTGTAATACTAAAATTTAATTTGAAATTTTAATGGGTTTCATAATGTATTATATGTTTAACTTTTTCTATTTCTTTCTCTTTTTGTCTGTTGCTTTTAAGATAAAATTAAGTTTTTCAGAATCCTTATACATGAACCAATTTTATATGGGATCTCCAACTTTGTTCCTTTTCAATCCAAAAATTAAATAACAACTAAATTTTTATTCTAAAAACCTCTTAAGAACCTGTAATTGAAATGTTATAAAAAGGGCTTGTTATAAGTTTTCTTAGAGTGAATAGTAGCTCCCAAAGTTGGGTAAAATTGGTGTTGAAACTCCTCAGGAAAGATATTACTCTACACTCTTTTTAATTGCTAACCACACCCTTTTTTTTATACTCAAATATGCTCTTATATCAAAACAGTATAAGTTATGTCCCTATTTTCATTGTTTGCACAACTCTTCGTCACTTTTTTTTTCTACCAAATATAATGGAATTTTATTTTAATCTCATTCCATTAGAAAAATAGAAATAAGAATTACAGAAAAGAATGGATTGTGTGGTTAGAATTTGGAAAGTGTAAATAGAAATTATCCAAAATGAAACCGATGCATAAGGCCCAATTTGAGAGGGGGAAGAAGAAGTGGGAGAAAGTGTGGCTGGCAAGAGAGACATACATACCATCATCATCATCATCATCATCATCATGATCTACATACATGCATCATCAGTCATCAACTAATAACTATCTGAGTGTTGGTCTGTATTGGGTGGACACGACTGACACGATACCCAGCAACTCACATTCTCATAATGCTAACCCTCAATCTCAGCGCAATTTCTTCTTCGTCAGTTCTCTTTCTTTATCTTCTTTATCGTATACACCTGTTTTTTTTTTTTTCTTTCTTTCACTTTTATTGCTATGATTATATATTTGTGTATGTATGTTTTGTTTCAGGTTCTCAGTTGTTCCATATGCCAATTATCCACTGTCTATTCAAACTCAATTGTTATTTCGTTCCAATCTTAATTACTCCTTTGCTACAACAGGTGGACACACTCGCAGCATCTTCTTTGTTCTTTCTTTGTGTCCGTTTCTTATCATAGTTTATTTAGTGTCAAGATTTCTCTGTTTTACTGTCAAGATTTCTCTGTTGGCTGCAGCAACCAGAAAGTTCAAGTCTTTTCAGCTCAAGGCTGGATTTTGGGAATCAATTAAATCAGGGTACCTTCCATTTTCATTCTTCATTTTGGTAATGAAAGGACAACAAAAAGGGCACTTGCCACTACACTTGTATTCTGCAAAATCTTATACGCATTCACAGGAAATTGGCCACTTTGAGCCTTAATTTCGTAAATTTTGATGTTTTGTTTGAGACATGGTTTTATTTTCAGTTTTCACTTCATTTCTTTTTTCCAGAGTTTTGCATAGCAAACAACAAAATTAACTTTTTTTTTTTTTTTTACTTTTTCTTGTATAAACTTTAGAAAACAGGAGGCAGTGAAAATAGACATTGGAAATAGAAAATGTTTTCTCCAAACGCTGTCGACCATTTACCACTAGGATTTGTTATTCTTTCAACTTGTTAGGGTGGTTCTATACTTCTCATATTGACTTTATGTGTACGTGCTTCACCTTATTTTGAAGAAATAATCGCGTAGTTTTGTCTACTTCTTGAGATAGCTTTTGAAAATGAGCTATTGTTTATCTAAATTTAAAGTATTCCCATACATGTGTACTTTGTTGCTTGGGAGTTATATGTTTGACAAATTTTATACGTATATGTTCCTTGCTATTGTCTTATAACTCTAAGATTGCTAATACAGTCTGGTGCACACTTATCTTGAAAATACACTAACCTAATAACTTGTTTCCTTGTCCAGATTAATGAAGAATAACTCAATGCAAGTCATTGATCCACCTCTAGATGAAGAAGATGAAGAACCTCTGCCTCAAGAGTTTGTCCTTGTGGAAAAGACCGAACCTGATGGAACAATTGAGCAAATAATATTCTCTTCAGGTGGAGATATTGATGTTTATGATCTTCAAGCCCTTTGTGACAAGGTGTGCATCTAATGTGTGCTAAGTTGTGTGACGTTTCTAATTTCTATTGTAAGGCAGTGATTATGTGCATGTTAGTTTTGAAGTCACTTCTCTACAATCATTAATGCACTGAAATCGTATTAGTTTCGAAGTTATTTTAATTTGTCAAGACCAGGACTTTCTTACTAATCACGGCAGTAGTTTCCTTTAGTATAATTTCCTTAATAAACCTCCAGCGAGTGCATCTTTTATCATCATAATCTAAAATTCAGTGTATAGTTTTTATCACTTAAAGTTGAATGCTGAGGGTTTGTTATTTTATCGTGCACAGCGCCTGGCATAATTAATGGTTTATCACTTTGACAGGTAGGGTGGCCACGTAGGCCACTGTCAAAATTAGCTGCGGCTTTGAAAAATAGCTATATAGTGGCCTCACTTCATTCTATAAGAAAGTCACCTGGGTCAGGTAAAAATAGTATGGCATCTTGTTGTGCCCTCTGTTAAATCAATTAGTTGGCTGGTTAAGATTTTTCTTTGTTCTTATAGCTATCTAAACCTATTTGATGAACATCTTAGTGTACTTGGCGAAGTTATTTAACAGAGGGGAATGAACAGAAGAGATTAATTGGCATGGCCCGTGCCACGTCTGACCATGCCTTCAATGCCACAATTTGGGATGTCCTAGTTGATCCTAGTTACCAGGTATTTTCTGTCACCAAGCATGACTCTAGTCCTAGTTACTGAAAAGTTTGCTACCAAAAGTTGAATATGCAAAATTTCAAGCTTATGTATAATATATTTTAGTCTAATGTAGTAATCACGGTAAATTAGAAATGAATTGGCGTCCTTTCTTCTTTGGTAGGCTTCATGTGTTATTTGATACATCATTCAGTGTCTATTTTTACTTAAGATGCAAAATTCCCAAAAACGTTAGTGGTATTCTGTACTTTTCCCCTCCATTCTATTTCAAACTATTCTAGTAAAAACAACTCTCCCTTTATCTCCTGCAAAATTCCCAAAAAATTCAGCCATAGGTGAAGAGTTCATGCTTGAATCTGTGATGTTATTGGAAGAATTGTAAATGCACATGGCAATGCATTCAATCATTCTGCATTTCTGCTAAAATGTTGGTGGGCTCAAGTACCTTGTTTTTGGTCTGTTCCAATGCAAGCTTAAGCCATGGCTACAGGGTCCATTTGGATAAACAACTTAAGGTGTTTTTGAATAAGTGCTTATTATATAATAGTTATTTTGATAATCAGAGGAAAACCAGGGTTAAACACACTATTTTTTGTAATCTGTTTTCCTAAGCTATAAGCTGAAATCAGCTTATAAACATATCATAAGCTATCCCAAAAGTACTCATGTTAAAGATAATTCCAAATTGAGTGTACATAAGCTCTTACAAACGGACTTGATCTGTGGGCTAGAGTACTGCTTATTATGTTGCTTTTATTGTATAGGGCCAAGGCCTTGGTAAAGCTCTTATAGAGAAACTGATTAGAGCTCTTCTGCAAAGGGACATTGGTAATATAACTCTGTTTGCAGATAGTCAAGGTACAACAATATTAACATCCTTTATGCATAGTGTCATTCATGTTAATCACAAGATGTTGTGAAAAGTCTCAAAGCTGGTCTGGTTATCAAAAGTGCTTTCTTATTTTGTGGGCATATGTCATGCTTTCCATGGTTTGTTTTAAGCGGATACAAAGCATTGCCATAAATTTTAAGGGCTATATTATAGAGCCTTCACCTTACCCATCTATCCTTTACTATTACTGCCTCCAGTCTTCACCAATGCTTTCTGCCTAATTCCCTTCCAGTTGGGAAGGTAGTTTGGTATTGTTTGGCATCTTAGAGTCTCAATATTTGCCTTTTTGTTCATTAAATGCAGTTGTGGAATTTTATCGGAATTTAGGCTTTGAAGCTGACCCAGAGGGCATAAAAGGCATGTTTTGGTACCCGAATCACTAATCCACAAAGCTTTTTTTTTTTCTGATGAACGTTGCAATTTGTATCCATAAAGCATATAAGAGAGAAGCAGTGGCAAATTTACCTTTTACTTGTAACATAAAGATATAAAGATTGGACATCAATCCTGTGATCATTGCTTTAGGTGTTACCAACTTATAATTTTTTTTTCCAATTTTACTACTGTGCTTTATATTTGAAAAACTGAAAAAAATGTGATTTTTTTTTTTTTCATGTTTGTTCATAAATACAAATATAGTAGTTTTCTTCTGTTGTTTGGATGCTGAGTTTATTTAATACAACGCGAAACAGTGGAGGTAAACCGAAGCTTTAATTGTTATTAATTTGCCCTATTATTACTCATAATTGCACATTGCTTCCACATTTCCAGCACCGACAATCCAAACAATGTGACAATTACTTTCGTTAAAAAAAAAATAAATAAATCCAGAATTCTGATATCTGATTTCTCAACAATTAAATAATGAGTTTGAACACAAAAGATGCTTTCTCCCACTGATATGATTTTTGCATGAGAAGTCTTCGCCGTGTACATAAAGCCAAGAGTTATACTTTGCAAGTAGAAACAAACCACAAATTAATCATAACACTTAATCATTATCGCATGCAAATTTTAGTTATATTTCTTCTTCTTAATTATTACATAAAACTTTCCACTGACAACAAATATACCCTATTCGTCTCTTAACTCCGTAAATCGAAAGTGACATGAAAAGAAATATAAAATAAAACAAATGTAACGAAATTTTCGACAATAAACAAGGTTCCCACGTTTTACTTGGTTATCAATAATTAATGATGATAATTTAATTATACTGTACACGTGTCGGTTTTTTATGATAATTTAATAAAATTTGTGTTATTGAGCATTTTATTAACTTGGATTTGAATATCTTAGTGCGTAAATTATTATTTGCAAAAATAAATGACTTAAGATCTATTAGTGTACTCACAATGTAGTTATATATAATGAATAAAATTCATATTGTTATGATAAGGTTCATATTACTTTTTATAGATTTATTGATATTTTAATTTGAATAATGTTATTTGTTAGGAACAATTTTCAATTAGTAGAGTGTATTAGGATTGATTAATTAATCGGTAGAAGAATGCGTACGCGCAGATGAGGGACGGAGAAAAAAATACTTTAATAAAGAAAATGTTATTTTAAGAGAACAAGTTTTAAATATTTCGTACTTTTTAAATGTTTTCATGTTGACCTTGTTTGAATTTGGTTTTAGTTTCACTTAATTAAACCTACATTTATCACAAAATATTTAATTTGTAATATTATTGATTGCGTTTTTAAGACTTAAAAATTTTCAGACTGATTTTTTATTTGGATATTCAATTGTTTTAAATTGAGTAATTAATAAATTAACCATTGTGTTTTAGTTTTTTTTTTCATTACTTGCATCACTATATAATTATTAATATTAAAACTATAACTTATAATATATAATAATATTATTTTATATTATATATAGTGATGCAATATAAGATAATATGGATTTTAATCAATTAATTTAGATATAAATTATTATATATAATAATATTATTAATTTAGATAATAAATATTTTATAAATAATATAAGATATAGATTTTAGTCAATCAAGAATACAAACTCTTTTATGTAAATATAAGAAGTTTATATATATAAAATTCAATCAAATCTTATTTAGGTTAAATGGGTAGTTGGTTATTCAATCAAATTAACAATTAATTATTATCTTGTTTAATATATATATATATATATATATATATATATATATATATATATATATATATATATATATATATATATATATATATATATATATAACGGTGAATGTACCGTTTAAGATTCAAAAATTTAATCATGATTTAAGTGACAATTAAACTGGAGATAAATTGAATTTAATAAAATAATATATTTTAATTATATAATAATAAATTTATCATAATATAATAATAATTTTAATCTAATGTTATTTAAAAAAGTATGATATAATAATAAAAATAATGTATAGAATATATAAAAAAAGTAATATGAATAAACATATTATTAAATATTTAAAGTATAAAGTAATTAGATAATAAAATTATTGTTGCCACCTAACTTAAAAATAAATAAAGAAAAAAAATTAAAACTAACTTAAAAAATAATTAGAAAAAAAATTACGTCTAACTTAAAAATAATTAAAAAAAATTACATTATATATTTTATTGTATTTAACTTCAAATTTTATATATTTTATTTTATTTTAAGATATGATTCTAAAATCCAAAAATAATTATTTACACATCAAATTAATTTTTAAAATTTAAGAAATTATGAATTATATTTTGATTGATAATTGCAATAATAATAATAATAATAAACAATCATCACAAAACGAAATCAGAGACAATTAAAAATAGTGGGGTAAGTCACAGTAACCATTATAAGAACAGAATACTGTAATAAATAAAAATACCACTACCACATATAGTAAAAAAACCACGTCATTTAACTCTTTTTAAAAAAAGAAAAAAAATAGTTATCTCTTAACTTTTCTGGTTTCACCGACGTTTCAACTTTTTAACTAATTCATTATTTATCTAATTTTTAGAGAATTTTGGACTGATTATTATACCGATTTTTGGTCCAATTGATTCAAGTAACCGATCCGATTTTGATAAGTAATTGTTGATATAAAGTTTTTCAAAAGGTGGTGAAGGAGTTGGCGGGCGTAATATTTTGATATTAAAAAAAAAGAAAATAAAAAGATGAAGAGTGTTTGATTTATATGAATATGATACGATATGATCTTAGCGTGTTCCGGTTTGGTGTGTTTGACTATGGAAAGTGGATGCACCAACCACAACGACAGTGCCATCTCAAATACCGATGCAGATGTTTTTTTTTTTTTTCTGATTATTTTAATAAGCAAATTAATGAAAGATGAAAGATCAAAACGAAGTCTTGAATGAATGATTTAGTATTATCATTATTATCTCATGGTGACAGAATGATCTAGCTAATAAGTTCCCCACGGGCTCTCTCTTTTTGACTTCCGAGTTTCGTTCGTTCATTGTTGAAAGGCTTTTACTTTTCCTTTCAGATTTCAAGCCTTTTCACTCTTTCAAGTTTTGACATTTGAATCACCCCACCTTCTCAAGATTCTTTCTTCCTCTCTCCCTCCCTCCCTCGCTCTCTCTCTCTCTCTCTCTCTGTGTCAAATTTTTGGATAAGGAATTCACTGAAATAATTGACTATTGAGGTTTATGATTCTTCCTTACAACCTTAAGCTTCAATGGCATAGCTTTGTGTTTTAATTATCTGGGAAAGCTAATTCCCACATGCTTGTCAACTTTTTGAACTTCATCCCACTTTCCAACCAGATAAATCTGCCTGATGATGCTTTTATTTTTTCTGTTTTTACATTCCATTGACGTTTCTTGGAAAAATGACATACATGACCGGGTTTCTACTCCAGTATTTTTGAAGTTGTTAGATTACCTTGTTCTAGGAGATTTTAGATCAATAAATATATTGTGTCTTGAATGTATGCTGCGGATGAATCTTATTCCTTGCAATGTTTCAATTTCAGTACTCCCTTTATTCATCATCCCTTCCATTTGGTTGCTTTTCAGGATATACTGTGATGCCGGCTCTGAGAATTCATGGATATGCCTTGGCTGTTTCGTTTTGTCTTATCACCTTCATAGCAGCATCACAACGAACAGACCCTTCAGAAGGTGAATTTGCATTACGTCTTCAAGTTTTTGAATATTTCTTTTTCACTTTGGTCCATCTGGCCTCTGATTTTGGACACTATACAAGAGAGCTCACGTACAAATTTCAATCCAAGTTGGAAAATACAGAAAGATATCTTACCCTTTTTTCCATTCTGATAGAAATGAATTTGTTATTTTATAATGATTAGGTTAGAGAGAAAGTGTTCTGAGTGTATACCATTTCATTTTAGCCTTAAATGACTGACCTATATTTTTTCCTATTTGTAGTTAATGCGCTGATAGACATCAAGAAAAGTTTGATTGATTCTAAGAACAATCTTAAGAACTGGAATAAAGGAGATCCATGTGCAAAAAACTGGACTGGGGTTTGGTGTTTTGATAAGATTGGGGCTGATGGGTACTTCCATGTTCGTGAGATGTATGGATTCTTTTTCCTTCTACTTTCTTTTTGTTATTAATTTCAATGTTATTATGTAGATATCGCACACAGTTAACATTCGAGGGGCTGCTAAATTTTGATTGTTTTCTGTTATCTTAATTTTACTGAAGCTACTTGATGAGAATGAATCTCTCCGGAAGTCTATCACCTCAGCTTGATCAGCTATCCAGTCTAGAGATAATGTGGGTTTCGTCATATTTTTATTTGCTCTCTAGAAACAAATATGTATCAGAAGAAACAGTGATTATATTTATGAGATGCTAATATTTTTATTGTTTTATGCTTGAAGGGATTTCATGTGGAACAATCTAACAGGCCCGATACCAAAGGAGATTGGAAACATTAAATCATTGAAACTCTTGTAAGAACTTTACCAAAGAAGATGAATTATTAGTATTGATCCTCATCAAGTTTTTAGTTTGAGGTGCTGTTGTCTGTCTTGCTTGATATTGTCTAGTTGTTTCAAAGGCTGGATCTTAATTAGTCATATTGAGAATTGACATTGCTTAGCCTTTTGTTATAAATAAACATGTTGTATATCTTTGTAACTTTAGTTTGAAGTTCACTTGTGGAGTCTAATTGGGTGAATATACCATACAAGGAACATATGCTGCAACTTACGAAAATTTATTATGCAATCATACGTATGTATGGATTTTCTTTTCTTCTATAACAGGAATAGCTTTTCTGATGTGTTTTCTATGCAGGCTCCTGAACGGGAATAAGTTATCTGGGAGTTTACCAGACGAGCTTGGCAACCTTCCAAATTTGAATAGATTCCAAGTAGATGAAAACCAATTGTCTGGTCCTATACCAGAGTCACTAGCCAACATGATCAATGTTAGACACCTGTGAGTGGATCTCTTAGCCGAATACACTATCAACTTTGGTTGGAGGTTGATTTCTTACATGTAATTTATCTTTTTCATTTCATGTATCGTCAGTCACCTGAACAACAACTCATTTAGTGGTCAACTTCCATCCACACTTTCGAAGCTACCAAGTCTTATGCATTTGTGAGTATTGAAGTAATTTTTTTACATTTATACTATTTCAAAACTTCCATTGCATGCATCTCCGAATTGACCCTTTTTATGAGTTTTCACTGAGTTTGCTTATTGAAATGACTTTACAGGCTTGTGGACAACAATAACTTATCTGGCAATCTTCCGCCAGAATACTCTATGTTACATGGATTGGCTATACTGTATGTTCTGTTTTAAACATTTTTAGATTTGCAGCATTTATAAGCTTCATTTTATGTTTTTATATTTTTCTGCAATTGACATGCTGTGCTTAAACAATTAGTGAAAATGTTAAAATCATGCTCTGATATGATAAGCCCGATTTCTCATGATATTTAAACAAATGGTTCATGAACATACAGGTATACATGTTTGCTAGGGAGGTTATAATAATTCATGACTATAGACTTCTGGATGATCCATGGAGGATTAAATGAGTTATATATATATATATATATATATATATATATATATATATATATATATATATATATATAACACTGTGTCCTTTCCTCTGAAAGACTTTAGGCTGATGTCAGAGTTTAGGAGAAAGAATTTTCCTTATTGTTGTCACAAGTTCATGACTTGCAAATGCACTTAGGTTAAAACCCTTACAGAAATGCGGGCTGATGATGTTAATATAATAGTTATATTATATCTTGGATGGTGTTTAGCATGGATCCCTGTTTTTTATTTGCTTCTAACAGTAAAAGGTGGTTTGGTTCTGCATGTGGACTCCCTCCAATAACTTGTAATAGTTTCTCTTGTTTGAGCTCATTGACTTATGATGGTAAACTATAGTACTATTGTAAATGATTAATTTTTCTTTAATCTTCTTTTCGTTTTACTTTATGGAAAGTTTATTCTTTTCACTTATAGTCATTATCTCTGAAATTAAAACTCCGTAATCTTTTTTTATGCACTCTACCAAGCACTTTACATGTATACTATACAGTACCTTTTTGCATGTATATGCTGTCATGCGTACTCTACCTTAGATACAGTCTCTGATTTTCAATTTACTTGTTTCCCTTGCAGCCAGCTTGATAATAACAACTTCAGCGGGAAAGGAATTCCTTCTACCTATGTAAACTTAACCAGGCTAGTGAAATTGTAAGTATTTTTAGCAATAGCTACTTGTCCTTTTGTTTGTTTTTCCACTTAGTCTAGGATGTTAAAGATAATAAATGACTGATTTTTGTTTAGCTAATGTTTTCCCTTTGATTTAACAGAAGTCTAAGAAACTGCAGTCTGCATGGAGCTGTTCCTGATTTCAGTTCAATACCCAAGCTTACCTATTTGTATGTTTCATGATGTCTAGTGGCTCTGCTTTATATTGTGCCGACTGATAGTGAAATTTTTCTTTTTCCTATTTTGGCCACCAACTCATTTGTCACGGATTCATGTTTCCTAGAGATCTAAGCTGGAATCAGTTCACTGGGCCCTTACCGTCAAATAAACTGGCAGACAATATGACAACTATGTATGTAAACAGCCTAACTTGTCTATGTATTTTGTATTTATAATGTTCTTGGTTTCCTTATCTATTTCACAATATCTATTTATTTTAATGCAAGACATAACAAAACTGAATATGTTGCAGTGATCTGTCCAATAATCATCTCAACGGATCTATTCCTCATAGCTACTCTTATCCTCATCTTCAAAAATTGTGAGAATATCAACCTTTGTTTGACATAGTATTTATCTAATTATTACGTAACAATATAAGTTCAGTTCTTTGCACATTGGGTTGATTTTTTGTTTTCATTGCCAAACACAGGTCACTTGCGAACAATTTACTGTCGGGGTCCATCCCTGCTAGCATATGGCAGAATACGTCCCTCAGTGTGAAAGATAAACTTTTAATGTAACTTTATCTGGATTACTACTTCAGTCTCGAGGACTGTTGACATTTTGCATCAAACTTGTATATTGATCATGTTCTTTTCAATGTAAACTTATATGTTTGTCTTATCTTTGCAGTGATCTACATAACAACTCATTTGAGGATGTTTTGGGAAATCTGGACCTCCCTAAAAATGTTACCTTGAGGTATTCTTATTACATATATTGGCTACATGGAATGTAGCCACATTATCTGATTTTCTCTCTCTCTATGATTTATATCATGTTGTGATATTTCATAAGTACTTTTCTTTTTAATTTTTTTTTTCATTATTCATTTTTACTATGAAAAAAGTGTCAAGGTTATGCTTTCCCTTTTTTGTGGCGTAAATTTCTTATCATTTCTTTCGCTTTTCCTTGAAGGCTTTCTGGTAATCCTATCTGCGAGAATTCTAACACACAAAGTGTTGGTCAATATTGTGAACCTGAAGCAGCTGAGGCAGCTCAAACCTCGACAAACTCTACTGTCTGTCCTGTTCAATCTTGTCCAGTGGATGACTTTTATGAATACGCCCCTTCTTCCCCAGTTCCTTGCTTTTGTGCAGCACCTCTGAGAATTGGATACAGGCTGAAAAGTCCAAGTTTTTCTTACTTTGCTCCCTATAGATCTAGTTTTGAACACTATATAACCGATTCCTTAAAATTACACCTCTATCAACTATCAGTAGAGTCAGTTGCTTGGGAAGAGGGACCTCGTCTTCGAATGTACTTGAAACTCTTCCCTTCATATAATGATTCCCGTTCTAATGTGTTCAACGTAAGTGAGGTCCGTCGCATTAGCAACATCTTTACATCTTGGCAATTTCCTCCTTCTGATTTTTTTGGACCATATGAACTCCTGAACTTCACTCTTCTTGGACCTTATGAAAATTGTAAGTTTCTTAAACTCAACTTGTTATAGAATTTTTTTTATATTATAAAATGCATACTAAATTCACTCAACCACATCATTACCATTGCATCACATCATAGGTGTGTACTGTTGAACATACCAATTCTAAAAGAAATATCCTTTGCTGCTGGCAGAAGTGATTGGAAATTTGATATGCACACTACAAAGAAATTAAATTCTATTAATATTTCTACTATTCTAATCTTCAAATTATTTTAAATTCTATATTTTTTTATATACCATTGATCATTTGAAAGAAAATAACAAATCTCTAGTTTTTCCAATGCCTTATGTTTTGTGACGGTTAATGTACAAGGGGTAGAATCCACAGAACTGCCTGTATCTTCTTTATTCTTGGTCGTAAACTGCAAAGACGAGGGGATCTCTCACCTCAAGTTTAAATCAGTCCTTGTCTTAAAAAAAGAAACAAGTGAAGTATCTTGATTGTAGAAAAATAAGATTAAAAGCAGAAATTGATTTAGATAGAGTACATTTCATAACTGATGTTAAACTTTAGCAATTCAGTTTTGGTTGATAAAATTTATTCCCTTTGGTGAGTTTCTCTAATTTAACTTTCATTTTATGGCTATAGTAATTCTTGATTCGGAGAAGGGAAAAAATAGTGTGGGCATAAAAATTGCTGTTGTATTAGCAGCTGCTGCTTGTGCTTTAGCAATATCTGCAATAATTATTCTCCTGATTACTAGAAGAAACATGAAATACCAGAAGAAGATTTCCAGGAAACGTATGTGCGAGTATTCTAAAGCTTTCTGCTGATTATCTCATTTTGGATTCTTTTTTAAGAAAGAGGTTTAAAACGCTTATTTCTTTTGCAGCTACTAATGTATCTATCAAAATAGATGGCATGAAAGCATTTACTTACAAAGAACTGGCTCTTGCTACTGACAAATTTAATATCTCAACTAAAGTTGGCCAAGGAGGTTATGGGAATGTCTATAAAGGCATTTTAAGTGATGAAACTTTTGTGGCCGTTAAGCGAGCAGAAGCAGGTTCCTTACAAGGACAAAAGGAGTTTTTGACTGAGATTGAGCTTTTGTCAAGGTTGCACCATCGCAATCTTGTTCAACTAATTGGATACTGTAATGAAGAAGGAGAACAGGTATCCAGCTTAGTGTAAATGAGAAAGGAATTTGTTCTTCATGAATCTGAATAATAATTAAACATTACATGGATAAAAATTCATCTAATAGTTAATGTTGGATATAAAAATTATATGTATAAATATGTGAAAATTCACCTAACAAGCTAGTTTTGTAGGGTTAAGTTAAGTATGAATTCACATTCTAATAGTTATGCCAAATATTAGTCCATGAGCTAATAATACTAGTTCTATTTGTTGTCCTCTTTAGTACATTTAAGCTTTTTCTTATGTTGGTTCTTTCTGTTGATCTGGTTTGGCTTGTCTGGTGTTAAGTCCACATGTAAGATAGGTTAACAGTAACAAGCGACAAACAAATTGAAAGCTAGCAAATTTCTGTGTTGAGTCTGTCTCTAGATATTTTGTTATACCAATCTGAATTCTGAACTGTCCTTATCTTAGATTTTATGTTATTTTAAATATTCAAGAAAGGTTATCTTTGGAACCCAAACATAATCTGAGTAAGATAAGTTTTGACATAAACTCTTTGCACTTGACATTGACTTCAATAGGATTCTCATATACTTTATTTTTGTTGATTCAGATGCTGGTTTATGACTTCATGTCCAATGGCACCCTAAGGGACTGGATTTCTGGTATGAAATTGTGCATAATATATGTTTTCTGCTCCCCAGTTTTGGGCTTCAATTATAAAAATATTTTAGATGCTCATGCAGTTTAGAATATCTTCTTGGTAAACGTTTAGGATTTGTATAGCAAGTTTACTAGCATTTGAAATCTGAACTCTGGTGTATTGATCAACTGCTGAACTATTAAGGAAAAACTCATTTCAAAAAGTTGTAAATTCATTCTTCATGAATACGTTTCATTTTTTACTTCTAATTGTGGAGGTTGTGATGTTAAACAAAAGAAATCATGATAATAATGGAAGTGCTTAGTATTTTCATTACTGGTTTGTCATTTTATACTTGTATTTAGAGAACTAGTTAGAAGTTAAAAAGGAAGAAATTTTCATGAAAGAAAGGAAAAACACTAGCAAAATATTAGTTGTTTCTACGAATTTTCTTGTAAAAATTTATTTAAATTTGTAGAAAATTTATTTTTTGCAATTTCTATAAAATATTTGTAAAAATATTCACATGAAATATGAGAATTTTTAGTAGGGAAGAAATGTTAATATAGTACTGTAATTTGGGATTGTTAATGTTCTCAATGATGCAATAAAGATATGTTAAGTTAATGATACTGTGGTGTGGCAGGTCGAAGTAGAAAAACCAGGGGGAGCCTAAATTTTAGTATGAGGTTGAGAATTGCAATGGGAGCAGCCAAAGGCATACTTTATCTGCATACAGAGGCTAACCCTCCTATATTTCATAGAGATATTAAAGCCAGTAACATTCTTCTGGACTCCAACTTTACAGCTAAAGTGGCTGATTTTGGACTGTCACGGCTTGTACCAGACTTAGATGAAGAAGGAACTGCTCCTAAATATGTATCAACAGTTGTGAGAGGAACTCCCGTAAGTTTGTTAAATGAATTAAGGAACATTTCCATTTCTAATATTTAAAACCAGAAGTTATATTAAGAAGTTTCTGATTACATAGGTTATTCAATCGATATCTTTTATTCAAATTTGGCAAAATAATTATGAAAGCTTCTCAGGCTTGTCATATCTTACCCTTGTAATGTTCCTCACACTCTAATTGTAGTAAGTTATTTTGAGCCACTTCATAGTGCTTAGACCTCACTTACCTTTTCCTCTATTAGTTTAAGCTATTCACAATGTCTTCAATCTGTATCACTGTCATTTTCCTTTTAGTTTTTGAGTCTTGGTGATTAAGGAGCATTAATTATAGTGTAAACTTAGATATAGTTTGTTATATACTTTTAGTATTGTTCTCCAATTAGAATTGAAGGTTATCCTCGTTAATTTGGATAATGGAAGTTTGCAATAAAGATCAATATGAATCGTTAAGGTGAAACAACAATTCTAATTATAAAGAAGCACCTAAGGAGCTACATCTTAGTTTTGTCTTCAAATCTTCAGCATCATGTGCTTTAAATTTTTCTTCAATAAAAGATTTCTATTTCTATTTTCTTAACCAATGTCCTCTGGAACTTCTTAGTCTTTATTTTTAGATACTGTAATTTGTTGTTATCATTTAATATTGTTGGTGGTTCATTTTTGTACATTTTTTCTGTAATACTGAAAAGCAATACAGTCAGAATATAATGATTACTTTGTAATTTGGCTGCAGGGTTACCTGGACCCAGAATATTTGTTGACTCATAAGCTAACAGACAAATGTGATGTCTATAGCCTGGGAATTGTGTATCTAGAGCTTTTGACAGGCATGCAACCAATATCACATGGGAAAAACATTGTCCGCGAGGTACCTTCCTTTTCATCACTCCAATATTTTACACTACCAATCAATTAGAAATCATCTTAGATATGACTTCTAAAGTACTTATTACAAAAATCAATATTGTTACCATTAATAGCAACTCGTTATTGAATGATAGTGTTAAAAGTTTGTATACTATTACTATGCTCTAATTCAGAAAACAAACCTTTACCATACATGACAATTCATGTTTGTATGACAGCTTAAAAAGTTGTTAGAATGTTAATTCAATAATGATACAAAATTTTATATCAGGTTAATATGGCTCGTGAATCTGGCACAGTATATTCCATCATAGACAGCAGAATGGGGTTGTATCCATCTGATTGCTTGGACAAGTTCTTAGCTCTGGCCCTCAGTTGTTGCCAAGACAATCCAGAGGACAGGCCATCAATGCTAGATGTGGTGAGGAAACTTGAAGATATCATTGCAATGTTGCCCGAAGCTGAAACCCTTTTCTCTGATGTTAGCTTGCACAATTCTGGCAACGTAGCACCACCCTCATCGTCAGCATCAACATCAGGATCCCATGTGACAAGGGAGGAGCAACACATGTCCTCGTATGTGTCAGGAAGCAATCTTGTCAGTGATGTCATTCCCACCATTGTTCCTCGCTGATGCCGTACTGTGCCGGTCTCCTTCACATATTCCAAAAACTGTAATTATAATTTTTTTGTACTAAGATTTTGATAAATGATAAAGGTAGGATATTTACTAGGGACATTGCTCTCATCTGCACTTCCCATTTGGGACCTTGTAAATTTTATACTTGTAATTGTAAGCGAATATTACAATTGGTAGTGAAAAGAAAAAGAGAATGATACAACTACTACATTTTTTATTTTATTTTTTAAATTATATATTTGGTGGTGAAAACAAATTTTAATTTGTTGATGGAATCATAATAGGCCAATTGATGAAAGTTCCCAGTATGGTTCATGGAACTAAGCAACTTTCTCTTGTTTTTTCTTGGATTCTCGTATATCTAATTTTTCTTTTTCGTTTCCCTTAAATATTTATAGAAGAGTTTACCCAACCATGTCCTTAGTGTTCCATATTACCTAACGTGGGACTAAGGTACCCCTGTAATAACCAAGTCATGTAAAAGTCATTGGAATTTGTTAGAACAAGGTTTTCTATTCATACCCTACTCTTTCAGGTTTCAAAGTCTCCTCCAATTGATTGAGAGCAAAAAAAAAAAGAAGACTTCAGACTTCATGACCATGCATGTCTCAACCATGAACAGTTCTGTTCGTTTCAACTACGCAATATGGTTTACTGTATCCACGAAAGGCTCTGATTATGTACCAACATCGAGTTGAATATCAACCAGATATGAATCCAAATTTCTTATTATGCCATTTAGTGTTTTTCAAATATTATTTCGAGAATAAAAGAAAACTCATGGTGGAGGATTTAGTTGTCCAATGAATTATTTTCTTATAATGAAGTTGTTAGCATATTTTTGAACTTTTATATATTACATGCTCAACAACAACAATAATTATAATAAGTAACCATACTATAATCTTATAAAATCAGCTTCTACATTAATAATAAATTGTTTCCAGTTTTTCATTTCTCACAAGAAGACATCGTGAAAAGGGTTGCAAGTTCCCCGACTTGGGAAAAAGGTGGACACCGAATTGTTGATTACGCTTAGAAAATTGGTGTTAGTTCAGTTCAGAGCAATCAATACTAATAGTACATTCATTCCACGCAAGGACAAAACTCAAATGAAGAAAGTGACAAGTCTCTAAAAAGCTTGAATAAATACACATTAAGAATCAAAAGAACGTGAATTTCACTCCGTAGAATAATTAACAGTTGACACAAAAGATACGTTATTGAATAGTATTATCTATATAAATACACCATATCCACCACATTACTGTGTGGGCTGAACCATAAATATAGGTGCCAATATATGTAGTTAAGTCATCACCTTAGAAAGAAAAACCCAAATTAGAGTTCACATTTGCCAAATGAGTCAATCAACCATGGTTTGTTTCACCTCAAAATTCCAGTTCTTCTGCTACTCTTGGTATCTGCAATGATATTGCACAAAGGCAATTGTAGCACGCATAGTTGCAATGAAAAGGATCAATCTGCCTTGTTACTCTTCAAACACGATGTGGTAGACCACTCCAACAACCTCTACTCTTGGTCCAATGAGGAAGATTGTTGTGCATGGAAAGGAGTCCAGTGTGATAATGTGACAGGCAGAGTTACAAGACTTGATCTGGACAACCAATACTTGGAAGGTGAAATCAACCTATCTCTGCTACAAATTGAATTTTTGACTTACTTGAACTTGAGCTGGAATAGTTTTACAGGTTTAAGTCTTCCAAAGAACCTCAACCAATCGTGTGATACCTTGTCTAACCTTAAGTACTTGGACTTGTCCTTCAATGAAGATCTTCATTTGGATAATCTTAAATGGCTTTCTCTATTTTCTGCATTGCAATGGGTCAATCTCAGTGCAATTAATTTAGAAAATGAAGCAAACTGGCTTCAAATCATGGCCATGCATCCTTCTCTTTTGGAGTTGAGATTGTCAATGTGTAATCTAAATTATATCATCCCTTATGTCAAGTTTGTGAATTTTACTTCACTTGTGACCCTTGACCTCTCTCGGAACTATTTCTCCTCCAATTTACCTCATTGGTTGTTTAATATTAGTAGTGACATCTCTCACATTGACCTTCATGGCAATAATTTTCAGGGTCAAATACCCAAGAGTTTGTTAAATCTTCGAAATCTTAAATCTTTAAGATTGGATGACAACGAACTCACAGGACCTATTCCAGATTGGTTAGGGGAACATGAACATCTGCAGCATCTTATTATATCTAAAAACTTTTTTAATGGTCCCCTTCCTTCAAGTCTAGGAAATCTCTCATCCTTAACTGAATTCAGTGTTAGCTCCGATTCATTGACGGGTAACCTTTCACACACCATCGGCCAGCTCTTCAACTTGAGGAGTTTATACATTGGAGGATCATTGTCTGGTGTTCTATCTGAAAAGCATTTTTTAAAACTCTCCAATTTAGAATCACTTGTCTTGAATTCGGCTTTTGCATTTGATTTGGATCCCAACTGGGCTCCTCCTTTTCAGCTCCTTGAAATTGACTTGAGACATACAATTCTAGGTCCTACTTTTCCAGAATGGCTATACACACAGAGGACACTAGAAACTCTGGATATTTCTTCCTTAGGAATTTCATCCATAAACGCAGACAGATTTTGGAGCTTTGTAGCCAATATCAGAGAAGTTAGATTGTCCAACAACGCAATTAGTGCTGATATATCAAATGTCACTCTAAATTCTGAATATATAACTATGGATCTCAATAATTTCACAGGAAGGCTACCACTTATATCTACAAATGTCTTACATTTAGATATATCTAACAATTTCCTGTCTGGACCCCTTTCCCGTTTGTTGTGCTCTAAACTGAGAAGGGAAAATTATACGTTGTTGTATTACTTGGATGTATCACATAATCTTTTGACCGGAGGTATTCCTGATTGTTGGAAAAGTTGGAGAGGTTTAATTCACCTGAACATTAACAGCAATAAGTTGGGTGGTGAAATTCCTCCTTCAATGGGTTCGTTAAATAAACTCCAAAGAATGTATTTAGGCAATAACAACTTGTCTGGTAAGTCACTGGACATTTCAAACTTGAAGTCATTGATCGTCTTCGACCTTGAAGAAAATAATTTTTTTGGAGTTGTACCAACGAAGATTCCAAAGAGCATTCAACAGATGGTATTGAGCGGCAATCAATTTACTGGCAATATTCCAGTAGAACTATGTAGTCTCCCTTCTCTAAAACTACTAGATCTTTCAACAAATCAACTTTCTGGATCTATTCCTCCTTGTCTCTACAACATTACTCCCGTGAACGCAAGACGAGGGAGCTATTTTTTGTATGGCCTTGATCTTTCATCAAACAACCTTTCTGGAGAAATCCCACCAGAACTCTTTGGCTTCCCTCAATTGGCGATCTTGAACTTGTCTAGAAATCATTTCGTGGGAACGATATCAGGCAACATTGGTGGCATGACAAATTTGGAGGTCCTTGATCTCTCCCACAATCATCTTTCAGGGGAAATTCCTCCAACCATCACTCGTGTGAGTTTCTTAAGTTTTTTCAATATATCATACAATGATTTCACTGGAGAAATCCCAACACGGGGGCAGCTTGGAACGTTCGATTCATGGAGCTTTGTTGGGAATCCCAAGCTTTGTGGACCTCCTTTAGCAAAGAAGTGCACCGAAGAAGTAAATCATAACAAGGCAGAGCAAGTTGGAGCAAATGATTCCCTAAATGAGACATTCTATTTTGGAATGGGAGTTGGATATGTTGTTGGCTTTTGCGGAGTTTGGTATTCTTTACTCCTCAATAGAGCATGGAGACAAAAATATTTTCGGTTCCTGGACAATATTCCAGATTGGTTTTATGTGTTTGTAGCAATCAGGTTAAATAGGTTCCGTGAGTTCAGAGCAAGTGCAAGGTGAAGAGAAGACTGTTTGGATGAGCTTCGGAAAAAGTGGTAATGTCAAAAACTACTTTTAAATAACTCATTTTGTGTTTGGATGTACATCTAGTTAAGTGCTTTTTTAAAATGGTAAGTGGTGTTTGACATTTGGTTGTAACTTGAAATAGATGTATAATTGATTTTGTTTAATAAGATTACTCAGAGGGTGCTTATTTGAATATAAATAGAAACAGTAACAGATATTATTTGGGAATGTTTTGGTGTAATGATAAGGTTGCTATCTTGCTAACAAATTTTATATCTTATGAAACCCTGGCTATTGAGGGAGTAGAAGGTTCCTTACCAGAACAGAGAGTTTTTGACTCAGATTGAGATTTTGTCAAGGCTAAACCATCAAAATCTTATCAAGGTACACCTTTGATTTCTATATCATATTGCAACAAGTTTTAATTGAGATTAAGAGTGTGCATATCAACGAGAAAATAATATGTTCTGTATGAATCTGCATAATGACTAGACAATTCCATAGCATAAGATAAGCATTCATGTGAGTGTAAAGTCAGAGCCCTTAGTCCCTGACAAAATATGCATGTTGTTTGTCTTCTTTAGCCTGTTCTAGCCTTTCCTTATGTTGGTTCTTTCTGTTGATCTGGCTGGATTTGTGGTATAGATGCCTACTTTTTTATTTTGTTTGTGCATAAAAATAACTTCTTTCCTTCATTGTAAATATATTTTACAAGCTGGTGCAATTTAGAATATCTTCATGGAAGATGTTTACATGTTTTTCGAATCTGAACTTTGGCATATGGTTAATATGCTTCTATTGAAGGAAAGTTCCTCAAGTAGTTATTACTTCAGTTTTCACAAATATCGTTTTTCATTGCCAAATTCTAACAGTGGTGGTAGTGGTGTTAAACAGAAGAAATTATTCAAATCATGTTCATCGTGAGAGGGAGCTGGAAAATGTCATTGCAAATGGTGCTTGAAACTGAAACTCTGTTTCTTCATATTGCAAAGAATGTCATTATAATTCTTTTGATATTAAGATTTTGATAAAGTTAGAAAGTTTAGTTTTGAAAATTCTACGTCGTAGACTCAGTCCCATCATTTTATTTTAAAACCAATTTTTAACTAAAATCAATCATACAAAATTAATTTTTCAAACTAAGGAAGGATAATTTTAAAGGAGATATTTGCTAAATAATATTTGCAAACGTGATTTTTTACAGTAAAAATAAAAAGAATAATCTTTTGTCCAATAAAAAAAGAGAGATTGCATAACATTTATACATAAAACATTGAGACACAACAAACTTCTTATATATGTCTGGAAACACTAATGGTGCATATTTTGCATTCATACGTTGATGGGCCAGTATGGTCGCCCCAGTATGCTGTGGAGCATGCTGGTGCAGGTGAGGTTACAGTGCACCAGTGCTTCTGCCATCGCACGTTACGCGCGTAACGGTCAACTAGACCATGCTCGCAAGGTGTTCGACGAAACGCCTCTCTCTCACAGAACCATCTCTTCGTGGAATGCGATGGTCGCCGCGTACTTCGAAGCCCGACAACCCCACGAAGCCCTCCTTCTGTTCGAGAAAATGCCCCAGAGAAACACCGTCTCTTGGAACGGCCTGATCTCCGGCCACATAAAAAACGGAATGCTACTCGAGGCGCGCAGAGTGTTCGATGCAATGCCCGACCGCAACGTCGTTTCGTGGACTTCCATGGTCCGAGGCTATGTGCGAATCGGCAATATAGCCGAAGCAGAGTCGCTTTTCTGGTTGATGCCCCACAAGAACGTGGTGTCGTGGACAGTCATGCTTGGTGGGTTGCTGCAAGAGGTCCGTATTGAGGATGCGCGCAAGCTGTTTGATATGATGCCTGAAAAGGATGTGGTAGCGGTTACCAACATGATTAGAGGGTATTGTGAGGAGGGTCGTTTGAACGAGGCGCGTGCGCTGTTTGATCAAATGCCTAAGAGGAATGTGGTTACTTGGACTACTATGGTTTCCGGGTATGCTAGGAATAGGAGGGTGGATGTTGCGAGGAAGCTTTTTGAAGTGATGCCGGAGAGGAATGAAGTGTCTTGGACGGCTATGCTTATGGGGTATACTCATAGTGGGAGGATGAACGAGGCTTCTGAGTTTTTTGACGTGATGCCGGTGAAGTCGGTTGTTGCTTGCAATGAGATGATCATGGGGTTTGGGCTTGATGGAGAGGTGGATAAGGCAAGGCGGGTGTTTGAGGAAATGAAGGAGACGGATGATGGAACTTGGAGTGCCATGATTAAGGTGTACGAGAGGAAAGGGTATGAGTCGGAAGCGTTGGGTTTGTTTCGGAGGATGCAGAGAGAAGGGGTTGGACTGAATTTCCCATCATTAATTAGTGTTCTTTCTGTGTGTGCCAGCCTGGCCAGTCTTGACTATGGTAGTCAGGTGCATGCCCAATTGGTGAGATCTGAATTTGATCAGGATTTATATGTTGCGTCGATCTTAATTACAATGTATGTTAAGTGTGGCAATCTTGTGAGAGCAAAACAGATTTTTGACAGGTTTCCTTTGAAGGATATTGTTATGTGGAACTCTATGATCACTGGTTATTCTCAGCATGGATTGGGGGAGGAAGCTTTGAATGTTTTCCATAATATGTGCTCGGCGGGGGTTCCACCAGATGATGTTACTTTCATTGGAGTTCTTTCAGCATGTAGCTATAGTGGCAAGGTGAAAGAAGGGCTTGAATTGTTTGAATCAATGAAATGCAAATATCAAGTGGAACCGGGAATTGAACACTATGCATGCCTGGTTGATTTGCTAGGCCGAGCAGGCCAAGTTAATGATGCAATGAAACTAGTAGAAAAGATGCCAATGGAACCTGATGCTATTGTTTGGGGTGCACTGTTGGGAGCATGCAGAATTCATATGAAGCTGGATTTGGCTGAAGTTGCGGTTGAGAAACTTGCCCAGCTAGAACCTAAAAACGCTGGACCTTACGTCTTGCTTTCAAATATGTATGCAAGTAGAGGAAGATGGGGAGATGTTGAAGTCCTTAGGAAGAAAATAAAAGCTAGGAGTGTTATCAAATTGCCTGGCTGTAGTTGGATTGAGGTGGAGAAAAAGGTACATATGTTCACTGGAGGAGACAGCAAGGGCCACCCTGAGCAGCCTATTATCATGAAAATGTTGGAGAAGTTAGGTGGATTGTTGAGGGAAGCTGGGTACTGTCCTGATGGTAGCTTTGTCCTTCACGATGTGGATGAGGAAGAGAAGACACATAGCTTGGGTTATCATAGTGAAAAACTAGCTGTAGCATATGGACTCCTAAAAGTGCCTGAAGGAATGCCAATTAGAGTTATGAAAAATTTGCGGGTTTGTGGTGATTGCCATTCTGCAATTAAATTGATTGCAAAAGTCACTGGGAGGGAGATCATTTTGAGGGATGCTAATAGATTTCATCATTTTAAGGATGGTTGCTGTTCTTGCAAGGACTATTGGTGATTTTCCTTGAAGCACATATGACCTAAGATTTAAAGTAGGCATGGCAGGGTCGGTGGGTTTTGACTCTCCGTTTCCCGTTTCGACTTTTTTAACCATCTCCATTCTGCTGTGTTTCGGGTTCCGACCCCATCCCCAATATATATTTTTTTAAAGAGATAATTACATTTATAATAAATTAATTTTACTATCTATTTTTATATATAAATAAATATTTATAATTTATAATTATTATTAATTAAATATATATTTTAATTTATTATATTTATATTAAAATATGTATATAAAAGAAATATTTAATTATTTTTTATTTATAATATTATTATTATTATTATAATATTGTATTCAAATGTTTGAATACTTATAACATTATTATTATTATAATATTGTATTCAAACATTTGATTATATATATAAGTTAATTCATTTTTAAGTTGTTATTTAAAAATATGAAATATATAATTTATAGGAAATATTTAATAAGTTATTTTTTATTTAATTAGTTTGAAGTAATAAAAGTTTAAATTATCAATTCTTTTACTAATTTAAAATACAATTATTTTATTAGGATAAAATTTGATATATGATAAATAAGATAAAAAATATTACATAATAAAACCTAATAAATATAAATTATAAATAAAATAATATTAGTTATTATTAAGATTTATCTAAAATATTTAGAAAAGAAAAAGATAATAAATAAATAAAAATAACTTTGTGTTCATCAAATTGGTTGAAAAGATTGAAAAAAAAACAAATTGATGTGAGAGATTAAAAAAATGTGAAAAAATTGGAAGGTAAGAGAGAATAATGTAATAAATTAATTGATATAAAATATTAAAAAAGACAAAAATTTAAAAAATGGGTAGATAAAAATTGGTGAAATATAAAAAAATGATCTTATGTGTAATAAAAAAAGAAAAAGAAAAGAAATATTTTTAAAATATTAATATTTAAAATTTAAATTTAAATATAAAGTCCGGGTGAGGATTGCATTACAGATCCCCATCCCCACTCTTGCTCCTGACTTTTTAAAGCGGGAAAAACCCGAACCCGTCCCCGATCAACTCAAGTTTTCCTGAAAATGCGAGACGGGGACGGGTCGGTTTATATGGTACGGGTTTAATTTGTGATCGCTATAATAGAGGGGGCTTTCTCGTGAGGATGATAGGCTTGGATACCATGTACTTAGTTGGGTTGTATTTCACAATCAAATGAAGCTCCTTAGTTCAAATTGCACTTGTAGCATACATGAGTGAGTATTATTGTACATTCTGTTGAACAGCGTCATTTGGGACTATCATGAATGGTTTTAAACTGTTACGGATATGCTGAGACCCCATAGGCCATAACTGGATCTGGAATTGTGTTTCAGGATCTTTTCATGGGGATGCAACCTATATCACATGGTAAGAACATTGATTGCAAGGTAATCATTTTGTGGCGCCTGAAATCTTTTTAGCCACATCAGATTTTAAAGTGTTTTAAAGGATAATTCTAATGGTGTGTATATAAATATTATTAATGTCCTCAATGAAATAGAATGTTCCCCCTTTTTATCTTTCACTCTTAAAAGAAACACTTGAAGCTATGTAAAACTATCATGTCCTGTTTGTTTAGTTATAAAAGTGTGCTTAGACAGAATAACTAACCAGATTCTTCAGAAACTCGTTTGGATAAATGCACTACATGTTACATTCAATTGTTTGTGAAATACTAAATAAGTGAAAATTTATTAAGCAGGTCTTTTTAGGTATGTATCCTCAGACTTTAACTTACATTACTTGTAAGAAATAGTGTCCGCTGAATATAGCTTGTTTTCTTGGCTTGCTATTTAAAATTTTAGATAACAGATTGATTTGCTTCCCTCCCAACTGATTTTATTGAGGGGATTAACTCTGGCACTTGGCTGTTGACTTGTTGCCAGGACAAAGCAGAGAAGAGTCTATCTTCATACGGTGGTCAGGGATCATATCCATAAAACGTTGCCGATGCTGAATGAGAGATTCTTATTTAGAGTACAGGAACTTAAATAAATCTAGTTTAAACAAAAAGTTTACACATTGGGTGTTTAAACTTGTCTGTGCAATCATTCCTCACGCTCCTCACTCGTGTGGTACTATATCCATGACATTATTTTGTTTTCTATATTTGGAAAAGATGTTTGAAGATATACGATGATGTTATGTGTTTAAAGTGGAACTTGCCAGAACATGGAAAGAATGTACGGAAAAATGCTTAGCAACCTGGCAGCATATTCTCCATTATAAACAGAAGAAGGGTTCCTTCCGATTGCATTGAGATGTTCTTATTTCTTACCTTTGGCTCCGAGGTGGTGCTTTGCAAACACACAGAAGAGACCCATCGAAGTAGATGAGATGAGGGAGCAAGAAAAAATATTGTTGCAATGGTTATGGTGCCTGGAACTGAAGTTCTTTGTCAGATGTTACTTTGCATTATAATGTAAAGTGGTAACATCAGCAATCTACATGGTACGAGAGAACCGGTAACTATTACTTCACCTGTTTCAAAAAGTGATATTGACTTGGTGATGTTGGAATATTTATTGGTGGGTAATCTTGCAAAGTGTTTGTAGTTTTTGACTTAAAAATAAGGGGATTGACTATGATAACAATTAATGTATGACTCAATTAAGATCATGATGTACACAACGATTGTAGATGCACTAGTGAATTGTTAAATTATTAGAAAAATTGAGATGAAAAACAAGCAGGTAAGACAAATCAGAGTATTGACGAATAATGAATGTAAGAGGTTGTTAACAAATAAAAATAAAAATGCAAACATTTTTTATGTAAAATTATTGTATAAAGTGCTGGAATCTAATAATTGGCCTAAATACAAGTCAAAGACGCAAGTCCATGCCCCTTCCACGATTTGTGCACTACAATGAAATTAAGCTAAGTAAAATATTATTTTAAAGACTACAAATAATTTTAAAAAAATATTTTAGTTTCCCAAATTTAATATTTAAGAGTTAACTTTTTTATCAGGTTTATTAGATATTTTTGTTTTATATTCAACCAAACTAAATTAATTGATTTTAATTGGTTTGAACTTTTATTCTTCAAAATTCAAAGGACCAGCCATGATCTTTAACTATGGCAATTAGGATGCAGTTGATTTACCCTTCCAATTATTACTTTATTCGGAAAAAATTTCGTTATAAACCTTGAAAAGTAAGAAAAATAATAAATAAGAAATAGACAAAACATTTTAGACAAAGGTCATAAAACATACAAGGATTCGTATCTTTTTCCTTAATTAAGAAAACAGAAGCCTTATGCGTTTATTCAAGGTTTAATTAATACACTCGTAGGTTGCTCATAATTGTGAAGTTTTTAATCAAGTCTTAAACTTAAGATAATTAAACTTTAAAATGTGCACTTTTTTTAAAGCATAAGGGTGCGATTTTTATTTCTTACAAACTTCGATAAAATTAAATAATTTTTAGGCTATATTTAGTATATTATTTAATTGTGTTTTTACAATATACATATATTATTTAGTTGTTAAAAAATCATTTATCTATAAAATGTTAAAAAAGTTGTTGCTCAACCTACATGTTAAAGCATGTTAAGCATATATGTTAAACCTTATTTTGTATACACTTATTTGTTATTAATACAATATGATATTATAGTTAACATATATGTTATTCTTTGATTATACTTTAGGTTAGAAATAGAATGATATCTAATATTAAATTGAAGTTAAACAATTTAAAAAACTAAATGATCGAATGTACCATTGAATTTGTATAAAACTACAAATTATATATTTTAAAACTTAATTAATTGAAGTCAAAAAGTTTTAATCAAGTTTTTAATATTTTTAGAATAGTTTATGACATTTTGAAATTTTATTAATTTTCGATACTCAATTAAAAACATTATAAAGTAGAAAAATCGAATTATTTTTTCTTACTTTGAAATATAGTCAATGTTTATTAAATAAGTTACAAAAATATTGCTTAGATGTTTATTCAAATAATTAATGTAACCATATTGCTTAGATGTTTTTATTATTTTAAATTTCATTTATGCTATTTTAAAAAAATCATATAATATTAATGTAACCATATTTATTTACATGATATTTATTGTAAATATAATACTAATGGTACTTGTATAATATATTTATATAATCTAATAATAATAATAATAATAATATTCTATCACCTAAATATTTAGGTCAGGACTATATAAATATTATGTTAAGAGTCACAGTTATTACTTTTATTAAATAATTTAATAAAATTAAAATACAAAATTAACATTAAAAATAACAATAAAAAGATAAGTTCATGAAAAAAAAAGACATTATTTAATCAATTTTTAGGAGAAAAACACAAAGTCACGGTCACATTAAAGGAAATAAATAAAGCATTTTATTTCCCCAAATTATGATTTGTTTTGGGTTTTGAAGCTGTGGACGCCAAATACGTTCACACTTCACGTTCGAGTGACGTCAGCATCGGTTTCTGCGTGCGCAAAGTACCTGGTTTTGGTGCCCCAAATCCCCCGATTTCTATTAACGTGGCTCCTCTCAATTTCTAATCAATAATCGAATTAGGGTTTTCAAAAGTCATCCCCTTTTTCTTCGTTCTGTGCCTCTGTGATTCCCCTCCGGAACAATCACCCTAGCATGTATGCCCCCTTTAACTTTTCATTTTTTTCTTCAAAGATAACGATGCTTTTACGTCAGTTAAATTGTGGGTTTTAATTGGGTTTTTGGGTTGTGTTGTTTTGATACCAACAGGTAGATTGGTCGCGAGGGGTAAACCCTATACCAAATGCTGACTTATTGCATTTGGGGTGTCTTTTCAAATAACATTCTTTCTGGAATTTGATATCAATTGGTATTTCCTGAATTGAGTTGATAGAATAGAAGCTTATGGAGTTGTAGTTGTAGCTTCTGAGGATTTTGATTTGGGGCTTGTGGCTTAAAGAAGGTGCTCTTTCAGATACTCGCTAATTTTGCACATGGCTCCAAATCTGAGGCTAAGATTCTGTGTTCCCTTGTTATTTTTGTTGTTGAGTTTTCTCTTGAATTCAAATGCGGAATTGGATCGTAAAGTTTCACATAAGGTCATAACTGCTCCTCATAAAGATGTAGGAACTAATGTAATCGATGGCACTGGTGTAGAGAATGCTTTTAATTTTGAGAATGGAAATAGTGCGGCGGGTAGTAGGAAAGGTGCAAGTAATAAGGTATCAGTATCAACGGTTGCGTTGTTTACTCTGGCGATGGCAGCTGCCACTGGTTTAGGTGCTGTGCCCTTCTTCTTTGTGGAGCTTGATCCCCAGTGGGCTGGATTATGCAATGGAATGGCTGCAGGTGTCATGCTGGCTGCGAGCTTTGATCTAATACAGGAAGGGCAGGAGTATGGTGCTGGAAATTGGGTTGTCACTGGGATTCTAGCTGGTGGAATCTTTATTTGGCTATGTAAGAAGGTGATGATGATTCTCCCTGTATTTGTGTCACTACTTTTCTCTGTACTTTTTAAAGAAGTTGCTTGGTTTTACAGTTTTTCTGCAGCCCTGCTTCTATGCACTGTATTATCTTATTCCTTAATGTTGCTTTGCTTGAGTAGTACATTGTTGAACTGGATAAGCTTCACATCCACAACTCTATAAGATAAAAATAAAAATTGAATTTGGGATTTCTTATTCACTTCACTTGTGCAAGTCAGCTGTACTGATTTTTCAGTGAACATTCGCACTGGTGTTCTACTTCGAAAATGTAGCGAAGTTGATGAATTGATCATTTAATATAAGTATTATGTGTAGTGCTTCTCTTCTTTATTCTGCTCACCTGGATGCATTTTGTGGTATAATTCTTAAATTTTACGCTACAAATATTTCTTAGTTTTTTAACTTCCTCACTTTTGTCTTAATTAATCTCTTTGTTTTTGGTTTCAGTTTCTTGAGCAATATGGGGAAGTCAGCATGTTGGATTTAAAAGGTGCTGATGCTGCCAAAGTTGTTCTTGTTATTGGAATAATGACCCTCCATTCTTTTGGGGAGGGATCTGGGGTTGGAGTCTCATTTGCTGGCTCAAAGGGTTTTACTCAAGGCCTATTGGTAACGTTGGCTATTGCGGTACACAACATCCCAGAAGGATTAGCTGTGAGCATGGTGCTTGCATCAAGGGGTGTTTCTCCACAGAATGCTATGTTATGGAGTATAATTACATCTTTACCCCAGGTAATTCTTAGTTTGAGACTTTAATTTTCTTAAATTGTCAAGGAGAAAATTATTTTGACTTTAGTTAGCATTTCACTTTGAAGAGTTTTATGAGTTATATACTACAGTTTTGCTATCCATTCTACCCATTGTTGTAAACCCCATACTCACATTATCCTTTTGAATAAAATTGTGATTGGATGGGTCTCAGTTGTTTCCCTCTGTTTTGTTCCGCATTTAGTCTGATTCAAGTGAGGTGTAAATTGCATTGCATTAGGCCAGAACAGAAGCATTTGTAGTTCTGCTTTCAACCACTGACTGGTTATGTTATCCAACTTAAGAGGACTACTCTATCTTTGTACTATCACATAGACCATAAATGATTTGATAGAGTCTTTTAAGTTCTTAATATTATTTGACATAATCAAATCACATCCCTTGTGAAATTGCTTTTGCCATGGTGCCAAGTTGCAATGCCGGTGGGCATCTAATGAGGCTTAGTATTATTTTTTATCCTTGTGTCATAATAATTTATTGATCATTAAATGGTTTTATATGCCTGATATAGATAGATTGCTTAGTGGATAAAATATTGTTATCCTTCGGACCTTAGGTTAGTGTTGACTGATTAAGACTTCTGTGAAGTCCGTTTTGTATACTCTTTACAGTAGCCTAGACACTTATACTTGTGGCATCTTAGTATGTTTTCTTTGCTGAACTCAGCAAAAGAAAAGTTGGCAAATTGAACAACAACGATTCTTTAGGATACTATAGATTTAAGCTTGCAATTGCTGTCTTTGACCGTATCCTCTTATCATCTTTTTCTTTATGTTAATGCAGCCCATTGTAGCCGTTCCTTCATTTATCTGTGCTGATGCATTCAGTAAGTTTCTTCCTTTTTGTACGGGATTTGCTGCTGGATGCATGATTTGGATGGTTATTGCAGAAGTGCTTCCTGATGCTTTCAAGGTTATTTCCCATTATACTATTGCACCAAAGATATTCTTATATTTTCTTCTCCTGCAACATTCTGAAGACTTACAAATTTGGTTTTCAGTAACTATTTTTTTTTTTTTTTGGCTTTTTATCATAGATCAACTCCCAAAACTTAAGCTGTTAGGTGAAGGCTCATGAATGGTTTTTAATCTCTAACAATCCCTCAAGTTCAGGCCACCTTAGCTTAAAATACAGATTCAGAGATACAATAAATAGAGAGACATGATTAATCCTAGAGAAGATAAACAGATGCATTCTAGGAACTAGGTCTACAACTAATCTCATAAATGTCCAACAAGATACACTTAATCTAATAAATACTTCAACACTCCTCCTCAAGCTGGAGCATACAAATTGAATGTACCAAGCTTGGAACAAATGAATTCCATTCGAGGTCCTCTCAAAGATTTTGTTAATGCATCTGCAAGCTGATCATTGGAACCAACAAACTCAGTACAAATTTCTTTAGTCAACAACTTCTCCCGAATAAAATGACAGTCAATCTCAATATGCTTAGTCCTCTCATGAAATACTTGGGTTGGAAGCAATGTGAAGAGCGACTTGATTATCACAATACATCTTCATAGATTGAATCTCACATAAGTTCAATTCTTGCAAGAATTGTTTTACCCAAACAAGTTCACAAGTAAGAGACGCCATTGCCCTATATTCGAGCTTCAGCAGAGGATCGGGCAACAACGTTTTGCTTTTTGCTTTTCCATGAAATGATATTTCCTCCAAGGAAAACACAATAGCACTGTAGTGGAACGCCTATCCATAGGAGATCCAGCTCGAGTCGAGCATCATAGTACCCAAAAATTTGGGTATTTCCCTTATCTTCATATAATAATCCTTGTCCTGGAGCTTTTTTAATGTATCTTAAGATTCGAATGATAGCATCCCAATGATCCACACAAGGAGCTTGCATAAATTGGCTGACAACACCAACTGCAAAAGACAAATCAGGTCTAGTAATCGTCAAATAAATAAGTTTCCCAACCGAGTCTTCTATATCTTTCCGGGTCGGAGAAAACTTCACCCTGTCCCGCCATTAACTTCAAATTTGGATCTATAGGACTCGTCCACAGGTTTGCAATCAATCATACCTGTCTCTTTTAGAATATCTAGAGCATACTTCCTTTGAGAGATGACAATACCTTCTCTTGATTGAGCTACTTCAATACCCAAGAAATATTTTAGATTTCCAAGATCCTTGGTCCGAAAATGACTACACAAGTGTTCTTTTAGCTGAGATATTTTAGCGAGCATCATTCCCTGTGATGACAATATCATCAACGTACACAATTAAATAAACATGTTTGCCAGGGCGGTGTGACAAAAAACACTGAATGATCTGCTTCAGCTGCGTTTTAATCCAAAAGCTTGAACAATAGAGCTGAATTTTCCAAACCAAGCACGTGGAGACTGTTTTAGGCCATAGAGGGATCGACGTAATTTACAAACCAAACCAGACTCCCCCGAGCAACAAATCCAGGAGGTTGCTCCATGTAAACTTCTTCTTCTAAGTCACCGTGCAAAAAAGCATTTTTAATATCCAATTGATGAAGAGGCCGATGACGAATGGCGGCCATGGCAAGGAACAGGCGGACAGTGGTCATTTTGGCTACTTGGAGAAAAAGTATCACAATAATCAAGCCCATATATTTGAGAATACCCTTTAGCTACTAACCTTGCTTTAAGACGATCAACCCGACCATTGGGCCCAACTTTAATAGCATAGATCCAACGACAACCAACCTGTTTTCTTTCCGAAGGAAGAGGAACAAGCTCCCATGTTTTGCTTGTGATCAAGAGCACGCATTTCGAAATCATGGCTTGTCGCCATCCAGGATGATCAAGCACTTCGACCACATTTTTGGGAATTGTAATAGAGGAGACAGAGGAAATAAAAGAACAATAGGAAGGAGACAATCTATGATAACTAAGAAAATTGTAAATGGGATGAGGATTACGAGTAGAACGAGTACCTTTACGAATGGCAATGGGCCAACTGGAGTCATCGTTATCAGGAGCCGTGGTATTAGAGGATGATGGTGAAGGACCTGTTATGGATGGCTCATCTTGAGGAATAGGATTGTTCACCTGGTTCCTGCGTTGATAGGTGATGATAGGCTGTGATGTCGATTCTAGAGTATTTTGGTTGGGATTTGGGGTGTCGGGAATAGGAGGTACAACTGATTCAACAAAGGGAACAGGAAACACATTTTGGACAGAATCAATATCCCGCATAGAATAAGGAAAGAAGGATGATGATTCAAAAAAGGTGACATTAGCAGACATGTAATACCTCTTGGTTTCGGGAGAATAACACCGATATCCTTTTTGAAGACGAGAATACCCCAAGAAGACACATTTGATAGCTCTAGGTAAGAGTTTATCTAAGCCAGGAGACATGTCATGAACAAAACATATACATCCAAATACTCTAGGAGAAACATGAAAAATTGGTTCCTTTGGAAATAGAATGGAGTGTGGAACTTTATTATCAAGAGAAGAAGATGGCATTCTATTAATGAGAAAGCATGCAGTTAGAATAGCATCTCTCCAATGATGAATAGGCATATTGGCACCCAGTAACAAGGTACGAGCAGTTTCAACCAAATGTCTATTCTTTCGTTCTGCTATACCATTTTGTTGTGGTGTGTGAGGACACGTGGACTGGTGTAAAATGCCTTGAGAATTTAGGACATTAGAAAAATCAGTAGAAAAGTACTCTTTGGCATTATCACTTCGTAAAATTTTGATTACTTTTCCAAATTGAGTTTTGATTTCATTAAGGAAAGACTTAAAGATAGGCAATAGTTCGAACGATCTTTCATAAGATAAACCCAAGTACATCTAGAAAACTCATCAATAAAAGTAACAAAATATCTAAAACCAAAAGATGAAACACGACTAGGTCCCCATATATATGAATGAACAATACTAAAAGCAGAATCACATCTAGATTCAGAATGATTTGGAAATGATGACCTGGTATGTTTCCCTAGTTGACAGGCTTCACATTCAAAAGTTTGAAGGTTCTGAAGTTCAGGAACCATTTTTTTCAATTTTGCTAAATGAGGATGCCTTAATCGCTCATGTAACAGTTTTGGGGATAAGGATGCAACACAAGATACAGATGACTTAGTACTAAGGTAGTATAAGCCTCCAGATTCATGTCCTTCTCCAATCGATCGACCAGTACCACGTTCCTGGATAACAAAGCAATTGGCATTAAAGGTTACTCGAGCAATTCAATGATTTGGTTAATTGGCTTACGTAAAACAAGACTGAATGGAAAAGAAGGAACACAAAGAACATTTTGAAGGTTTAAAGAAGAAGAGATGGATACTTGACCAATTCCTTTAGAGGCTACTTTAGATCCATTAGCTAAAGATATGAGATGGGATGTTTTAGGAAATGAAAGAGAGGAAAATAAAGAGGTATTACCGGACATGTGGTCGAAGCACCTGAGTCAATAATCCATGGATTTTGACTTTCCACAGATTGCGAAATGCAAGCGGTTGATGAATTTGGTGTTGTAGATGCTTGAGCCAAATTGGTTGATTTCATCCTTAAATATTCTTGATACTCTTCATGAGAGAACTTGGGCTCATCAACTTCGATTTTGAGGTATTAGTCGCCTTATCGGAAAGCCGTGCGGAGCAAAGCAATTTTCCTTAGTATGTCCCATTCTTTTGCAATGAGAGCACCGAGGACGTCCTTTCCCACCACGTCCTCTAGAGCCGTGATTACCTCTTCCACGAGCGTAAACCATGGCGGAAGAATCAGCAAGTTCCTGACTCGTTTTTGCTTTTGATAGAAGGAACACGAAGTAGCCTTGTGATTAAACTCTCCGTAGAAGGAACTTCTTCTCCAGTTAGAATCTGGTCTCTAACATGATTAAACTCTGGATTCATAGCCCTAAGAATCATTACCATATAGAATTTATCCAGCTTCGTCTTTCTTTCTTCTAATGATTCTGCCTCCAGGAACATTTTTAATTCTTCAACAGCTGACTGAGCTTCAGCAACAAAGGACATCATGGAATTATCCTCTTGCTTAAGGGAGGCAAGTCTATTAGCGAGAATCATAAAGACGTTGAATATCATTAGCAAAGATATTTTGGGCCTTTTTCCAAAAAGAATTACATGTCTTAAAGGCTCGAAGAGTGCTCAAAATATGTGGTTCAACAGATTGCCATAATAGTGCACAAAGTTGATAATCCAGTTTCTTCCATTGAGGAGCCTCGATCTCGTTGGTATAGTACTCCCATCTTCTTCTAGATGATCATGAACTCCTTGACCTAGAAACCAGAGCTCAACAGAGGAAGCCCAAGACAAATAATTTTTTCCATTTAATTTTTCCGTGGTTATAGTCTGAGTCCCGAAAAAGATACAGCACACGCTTCTCGACATTTTCCAGGAAACAAGAGAGGACCAGCGTGTTGTTAGAGTGCCGTCGGAGACGGGACCGAGAGAGGCAGAGAGAAAAACACAGACCCACCACGTTTTGTGACCGAGAACACAAAACAAAGTGCAGATCTAGCACCAGGACGACGAGGCGAGCCGGATAGAGGTGGCCTGGAGCAAAACGGCCATCGAGAGGACGGCGCGTGAGGCCCACGCGCGGAGGAAGCCGCGGACAAGGGTGGCGCGTGGAGGCGCGTGAGGCAGAGATAGAGGAAGCGAACACTGGGGTTGGGTTGCGCTCCTCGAGGCGAGCCAAACCCAAGTGTCAGAGAGGAAAACAGCGCCGGAGAAGACAGCACCGGCGACGGACGGCGGCGGACGGCGGCGAACGGCGATTAATGCCAGAAAAATAACAGAGACAGGCAGAGCGGGATGAACCCGCTCTGATACCAACTTGAAATAGAAAAAGAAAATAAAGAACTGATTTTGAGAGCCTGAAATCATCTTCTTGTGTTCTCTTATTTATAGGAGATAAAAATACAGATTCAGAGATACAATAAATAGAGAGACATGATTAATCCTAGAGAAGATAAACAGATGCATTCTAGGAACTAGGTCTACAACTAATCTCATAAATGTCCAACAAGATACACTTAATCTAATAAATACTTCAACAGCTTATACTGTAATTTTATTTTATTATTAAACTGTATGTATATAGAGCATTATTTTCTCCTCCTTTGGATTACAGGAAGCCTCAGCTTCACAGGTTGCATCAGCTGCAACCCTTTCTGTAGCATTTATGGAAGCTCTCAGCACCTTCTTTCAGAATTTCAGTCATGACTACAAGTGAGTTTGTATTAGATTTCCCTTTAGCTATCAGTTATATTTCATTATTTGGGTTTGCAAGGATGGCAATGAAATAGTATTAATCATCCATGCTCTGTTTGCTAAATTGCTAAATGTAGAAATATGCAGAATGTTACTCTCGTCAATTATTCTGTTATAGTTTTATTTCTCTAAATTATGATTTCTTTGTTACAGCTCCGAGGATGCTTCTGGCTTTTTTGTTTCATTACTTTTTGGTCTTGGACCTTTACTTGGAGGAATTATTCTGGTTGTATTTGCTCTTGCATTGCATCTTCAGCATGCTCTCCTCATGGGCACCGCATGTGGTATTGCTTTTGTTCTTGGTGCCTGGCGACCAATACAGCTTATCTTGTCTTCAAAATTGGGATTTATTCCCGTTTTGTTACTCCTGGCAATGGGGGCTGCTTTCATCCAGGTTTCTACTTCTGGTGTATTGAAGATGGCAGCTTCCAAAAAGGCCTCAGTCAATGACTTGCCTACACTCACTGGTTTCCCTCTCAGTGTTCACACCCTTCAATCATTCATATCATGCGGTGCAGTAGCCTTTCATGCCTTAGCTGAAGGACTTGCATTGGGAGTAGCTGCACCAAAAGCATATGGACTCGGTCGTCACATGGTCCTTCCAGTCTCTCTACACGGCCTACCTCGAGGTGCAGCTGTGGCCAGCTGCATATTTGGAGCCACTGATAGCTGGCATGGTTCCCTTGCAACAGCTGCCATAATTGGATTTATGGGTCCAATATCAGCAATAGGAGCTATTCTTACTGGTATTGACTACAGTGGTCTTGATCACATTATGGTTATTGCCTGTGGTGGATTAATCCCTAGCTTCGGACCTGTAGTGAAGAGAGCTCTTAGTTTGGACAAGAGAAAGAGCACCTGTGGCCTCATTATGGGTATTGGGTTTGCTACTTTATGTCTAACATTCACTAGGTTGGTTTGCTTACATACACCTTACTGCAATTCTGCACCAGAGGCTGTCAGATAAGAGTCTTATGCCGCCTTCCTGCATCATCTATTGTTATTGTTCTTATAACAGTTGTATACATCTCTGTAATTCGATTTCCCAAAACTTCGTTGCCCTACCTTGGTGAAGAAACTAGAAAGTGCAATTTGAAAAGGCAAGGCAGATTTTTACATGTGACCAAAGTTTTCATATACAACATATCCTTGTGTCATGTGTAGTGTTTACTTGTATATACAGTTTTACACAGATCTAAATTTGCCCAACTATGTAAAACTATTGACAACTGAAAAAGATGATTTTTATTTATATTTTTTTAATTTCAACTGGTTATGTACAAAATAGAAATCTATATTTTGGATATATTATTGACTTTGAATCGGGTTGGTCAGTGGATTAATTAATCATTAACAATGGTAATAATTTTTATAGTACTTTTCTTTTCGTTGATTAAAGAAATAAGTTAATTGTATTAAATTTTACTAATATGTTCATTTAAAAAAAATACATATTATACTCTATAACTGAAATTCAGACATGACTTAAAATTTAAATATTTTAGAAAAACATAATTAAATTAAATAAAAATAGTTAAAACTTTCTTTATATTTAAAAATTTTATGATTTTTTTTTCTTATGAATAAAAACATGTATAATGCTTTAAAATAGGAAATGTTATTATTTTCTACTAATGTATTTTATTTCTTTTATTTTGGTCCAATTGAACATTGGACCTATTCTAATAGAATAATTTACTGTTTTTTAGATAAATTAAAATTCTTTACGGTGAAATATTTTCACGATAAACTTAGGAAGAAATATGAACTTTAAAAAAAATAACCACATAACAAAATTAAAAATTATGTAAATAGAAGTTTAAAATTCTTTGATGCTTTTATTATCTAATCTGGACATTTTAGAGATGGCCCCAATAATCATTCAGTATTTTTCTGAATGCAGATTTTTTTTTCTTTCATTTTCATCCATCTTTTTTTTTCTCTCTTCGTTTTTTCTCTTGACTTTTATCTTCTTTTCTCTATCTCTCTTCTCTCCATCACATGTCATTATTTTACAAAAATTAAAAATAATCCCCTAACTTCTAATCACTAACCCGTAAACACAATTCAAACAGATAATTATAAGAACTCCAAACTTTTTATTAAGACAATAGTATTTTATTTTTAATACTCTTAATGCAAGAATCTTATAAAATACTATCATCATATTTTATTTCACTTCGAGTAAATTTAATCATGTCATTGTTTTTAAAATTCTTTTAGTAGTTTTATTGCAATCTTAAAATATTATAAAATAACATATTTATTTGATTTTATTTTATTTTACAAAAATATTTTTTGATATAAAAAACCTATTTTTGTGAATAAATTGAAAAAAAAATGTATTTGATAGTTTTAGTTAAAAAAATTTGTTAAACCAGAAAAAAATATACTTTGATGATGATGATTGTTGTAAAGGTGGTGATTTTATGTAATTATTGATAAAGATGTAAATATTATTAACGAAAACAAAAGATAAAAAAAATTATTTTATTAATTTTAATTTTCTAGTAGTTTTTAAAAATAAAATAAAAAAAAAACTTTTTTTAACAAGTATTTTGACAAAACCTATATTTTTATTTGTATTTAATTTGTTATAATTTTGAAAAATATTATTTTAATTGAATGTGATTATAATCTTATGAACAAAAATTAATTTGATTATTATTATTAAATTTTAATTTAATATCATTAAGTTCAGCAAATGTTATATTTACATGAATGAAAAGTATAAAAATATTTTGCTGCTCTTTGATTGTTTTCACGACAAACTTAAATAATTACTGTGATCTTATTAAGATCCAAATCTTAATTTTTAAAATCTTATCAACATATTTCAATGGAAGTTTTCTTATAAAACCTAAATTTTAAATGCAAGACCCATTGAAAGTGTTTTAAATTATTTTTTTATACTTGAAAACAATTTCCGGAAATTGTAAATCCTGAAAAATTAAATTCTATTTGACATGCCAAACTCTTGCCAAAAACATTTATAAAAATAAAAAGTAACATTATTTTTATTTTAATATTTCAACTCTTAAGTTTTATTTAGCCAATGCCTCAAACTAGATCTATGGTAGTTTTACAAGATGGATGCTGAGAAAACGACAAGAAAAACCTACTAATTGATCAGAACTTAGAATAAAAATCTACATGGCCTAAATAATTTTGTTTTTCGAAGGGAGGGGGGTCCAACACTACTTTGGCATGTTATTGTTGTTTCAGGTAACATGTTTCAGCAACATTCAAGCAGCAAATGCCATGAACTGGTATCAAATCTCAATCTCCCACCTCAATATACCTTTTTTTCACTTATTTGATGCTGCCAAACTCTTCAGATACCTTAGTAAACCCTACACATGATTTCATAAAACAAAAAACCTTACCTTCTCCAACTCCAACATCCCTAAGACAAACTGTTCTCAAACAAGCCAAAGTGAGTTATGTCATCACTTTGATGGTGCTGTCGACTGATTCTGCAGCCCCTCTTCCCTCTCTGATTCCACCTTCTCCTTCTCAGAAATTAAAGCAATCTCATTCTCCTTCTGCTCCCCAACACTCTGTGCTCCAGTTAACCTTGCCAACACCACAAAGGACATGCCCCCAAGAACATTGTTCACACACCTCAGCACCAACACTGAGGACTTGAATGCCAAGGGGTTAAGAACTCTCTCCAGCATGAATTCAATACCATTCAGAGTCTGGTACCTCAGGTTGCTGCTAATCCCCATGTGGCCTGCCCAAGTGAGAGAATTCAAAAGGGTAGGTGGGGGCTTGTTAGGGGTCTCAAAGGTTGGATCCATCTTCTTCCTCATCTTGATCAACCCATTGGAAAGTGTGGTTCCAACTAGTCCTGCACCAAAACCAACAACAGAAAAAATGGTCCCTTTGTACACCAAGGTTCCAATTCTATCCAGAAGGGAATAAGCACCAGGCTCAAACATGTGACTCTTGGGGCATGAGGCAAAGAGGGCTGGTAGGTTGGATGCTGATGATGTCATGGTAGGTGCCAACAGATACATGAGAGTGAAATTGAGAATAGCCCCAACAACCAAGGTTGAAAAGACAAAGTCAAGTTCATTCAACCCAAAATTAGGCCTCGAAGCCATGTCACCTAAAACACACGCACTTACACCCACCAACTCCTCCATCAAAACCTTGAAAGGGAATTGTGGATCGGCAGCGACCCTTGATCTCCACCCATTCAGAAAAAGACCCAGAATCCCGACAGAAGAATCTTTGGAATTTCCGTCATCACCTCCACCACCACCACCACCACCACTCCGCCCGACCCCATCTCCGCCGTCGCCTCCCGCGAAGGAAAGTCTCAACCTTTGAGAAGAATGAGGTAAATTGGTGAGATACAGAGGACGATTCTGAAGCTTAAGCGATGGAGATGGTAATGATGGGAAAGAAAGTGCGTGTTGCTGATCCGAGAGTGGGGACAAACACAACATACCCATGGCAGCCATTTGATCTGTACAAGATGAAAAATCTTTAAGAGAGCAAAAACTTCAGCAGATCAAACGAATGAATCTCGCGTCATTTATTCATGATCATAGCAGATCATCGTTGGTGCAAAACCAGAGGCATATACATAATAAAAAAAATGAACTTTTAAAACAAATATCAGATTTTCTAAAGATGGTTGGGATCATGCAAGTAGGTCTTACCTGGATCTGGAAGGTTGTTTGGTGAGAGAAAAAATGATGGCTGCTAGAGAGAATGTGAAGAACAAAGCTTAAACCTTCAGCAGAAAAACCCCTTTTTAATTGGGTGAGAGTTGAGGAAATAAGAAGCAAGAGACAGCACAGCACATTAGGGCAATTTTTGTTATTGGAGTGAACCAGGGTTTGTGAAGTCATTATGAAAAACATTAAAGTTATGGCAATTGAAATGAAGGAAATAGAAAAAAAAAATGGTAATAGAATATATAAGTTTTTTTAGAAAATAGAATGTACATGTTATTACAGTGAAATAAGAGTAAATAAATACTCAATAGTATTTGTATTGTTAAATTTTAATAGTTGTTAATTTTAAAATCGTATTAATAGTTATTAATAAAAAAATATACTCATAATAGGTCGATACAAAAATACTATCTTCTTAATATTTAGTTATGATAAAGATTTTGAGGTGATATTTAAAAAGTATAAGAAAATAGGTCATACTATAATAATAAGTGATAAGTTCTCAGTTAATTTTTATTAATTAGCATTCAAGAATATTAACAATTAACTTTTAATTAATAATGTCTTTAATTCTTACTTTAATCATATTTTTATTAGTTTTTTATTCAATAATTGAAAACCCACTGTTTGTTCATTGGAATATTGTTTTTACGTTTCTTTTTATCTCTTACTTTCTTCTTCTTCTTTTCTCATTTATTTTACCTTTTTTATTTATTTTTTCTCTCCTTTTCATTTATTTTCTTTTTCTTTCAACTCTTTTTTTATTTTTTTTCTCTAATTTCCTTTTTTATGGCACTTTGATTTTCCTTTTCTGAAATTTTCTCTCATCAAAATTATAACATTTTTTTAATAAATTTCACCAATTTTAAGTGTATTCAAGTGAAAGTCAAAATCTCACTTAATATCAAAAAGTTAAAGCTCTAATGCAAATATTGCTATTATATTCATTTTAAAGAATAATATTAACATCACATTTAAAAAAAACGGAATTTTAGTAATAAATTATAAAATTAATAACCACGTAAAATCAAAGTTAGGTTCTTATAACTATAAACTCAATAAAGCTCTCTTAACAAAATAAAACTTATTTATAATTTTATGCGAACCCTTATTTATAATCGTTCAACCCATTTAATTAAAAACATAATAAAAAATAGAAAGAAAAAAACTCCAAAATTATATCATATCATATTTGTAAAGTAGGAATTCCGTCTCATGCCGCACACAACTTCAGAAAAATATTTTGGTAATTATATTTTAAAATTGATAAATCAATCCTTTAACTTCTTAAAAGTGTCTTCTTTCAGTTTTTTTTATATTTAAATTTTGCATTTGATAATAATTTTTTTGCGGTTATATAGCAGAAAGAATAATTAAATATAACGTTTGTTTTAAGGTTTAGAGAATAATTCAAATCTAACCATAAAAATAGAATAAAATATGGTTTTGAACATTTTAAAATACGTAATAGGTTAAAAATAATCTATATTTTTTTTATTAGTTCAATATCTGTAAAACCAATTTTTAAAAAATTGTTCACATGACAAAATACATGCATGAGTTTCAGACCCTTTAAAAATATGCATCAGTTCAGTTTGAAAGGATGTGCAAAAGGCACATTTGTTTTCTGTTACTAAGGTTTTGGTTTTGACAAAGAATAAAGAATAGAAAGGAACAGAAGAAATTGAAATGCTAAAATCAAACGTTGCAGAGGATTTATATGTACCATTCTATATAAACAAATACCACATTTGTTCTTTTAATGGTACATGGTAAGAAGTTTATCTGACATGCAACATTCGAACTACAGTGCATAGTCCTCCAAAGAGAATACAAATGCCTGTGACAAACAACTAAAAAGAATCCAGCCTATGCTAACTTATGATAAATATTAAAATACCATGAGACTTTGGCAATGTCACAAGCCAATAAACACTGCATTGTCTTAGACCTAAAACTTCAGCACCACCAACCATCACATGTATATATTCCACACTTCTCAAAAGTAACTAACGCAAGAATAAATCCAATGAATGTATTAAGTTTGCAAGAAAGAAAGAGGATAGGTTTGAACCAACCTATTCTCAATACCCCAACTATATAATTTTTCTCTCTTAAAAATTCTTCATTCCAGCTTTGTCTCCTGTCTGTTCAGGAAGAAAAAGTTAGGGACAAAGGGGAAGGAAAAACCACCAGAGTGCTAACCAGCAAGAATTGTTAGCCTATTCTTTTATAGCTTGCATTGAATGAGACATGTACTGGAAGATATTTCCAGCAATCAATAGCTGGAGGACCATAATACTCATCATCTACACCATCAATCAAGGACAACTTTCAGCGACCTGTCTTTGCACGTTTCATTCCGCTAGAGTTGAATGGGGACAGACTACCACTTGGCCCTGGACTCTCTTCTCTGAAATTTGAATTCAGCATGGCAAGTTCACGCAACTGCTGCCTCTTGATGTAGTCCTGTGACTCCTCCTGAATATCAATAGATGACATCCAACACAATAAAAATTTAACCAACGAGATGAATCAGCAAATTGGTAGCCTATGGAAAAAAATTGGGTGTGCAGAAAAGAAAAGAAAAAAATTATATACAGATGCAGAACTAATGAAATGACTAGTTTGTAGAGTGTTTTGAGATGTTTTCCACTTGTGGAGAATGAGAGACCATTTAGAGTTTAGAGTATAATTTTGACAGAATCCTTTATAGGTAGCAAGGAAAAGAAAAAAGTAATCATCAAATTTCCAACAGAATCCTAATCAATCAACCAACATGGATTTGACTCTTGCAAAGAGCAAGGCACACTTGTAAAAATAAAAATGAAGGTGGACAATGTCATATGTATATCCAATACCAATATGCCTGAATACAATATTCAGAATTTTCTTCAAATTAAAACAACTGTTTTAACATCAACTGAGGCTTCATTTCTCCTATAGTATAAGCTACTACTTTGCACAACCTTTTTTTGCGACATGTTTATAAGGGAAAGAAACTCCACCTATGGTCTCATAGGCAGTTGCAAGCCTAAATAAATGAGGAGGGTTGTGTTGAACATTCGACAATCAACATAAAACTCGCTAATAAAACACACGGATAACTCAGTCTTTTGACAGATCATAGGTGTGGATAGTATTCTTACACAACAGCCTACCTTGATTTAAGTTAAGCAAGTTGTTTTCAATCTTTCCTCTGACTGGCAGGGGTTCAGTCCAGATGGTTTTTCTGGTGTTTTTTTATCAAACTTCTCGGGATATTATTCAGCTTGATGTATACAATTTTGTTTTGCAAATTTTTAGAGAAAAATGGATGTTCCCAAATTATAACTCTAATCACATTATTTTAATTCCTATGGAATCTGGAGCAAGTATAAATTGCAAATTTGGACTGGTGACATCACTAAGGTTAAGACATGTATTAACTTGGGATAAACTAAGTTCGAGTTATCAAGAGGGTGGTTTGGGTTTGAGATCAATAACCAAAATCAATGAAGCTTATATGGTTAAGCTTTGTTTCAAATACATCAAGGAAGGTATGGATTGGTCTCAAGTCCTTGCTGCTAGAGTTTTTTTTTGATACATGGTTCTAGGTGAATTCTATTTCTTCTTCTATATGGGCACTGACAAAGCACGTTTATCCTCAAATCAAGGAAAACATTGTTTGGCAACTTGATAATGGCAGATTGATTCATTTCTGGTCTGATTCATGATTCACAGATTCAGTTGAAAATATGATGGGCATTAACAAAAGCATACATAATATGCTTAAAGCAAAAGTATTACATTTCATTTCAGACAAATTATGGCAGACTCCTTCATTCATTCCGCAAGATATTAAGCAACAGATAAGTTATTATTCCTGTGGTAGATAGGAAGGAAGGATACTATTAGATGGAATATCTTACTGTTAGGAAATACAAGTGGGAATCTAAGTCTCACATTGTGTAAGAATGAGAAAGTTGAGCAACATATAAGAAAGAAAGACTCATAACTCAATGTCTTAAGGTTTTTGGTTGAGAATGATGTCAATTTCTTATGTGGGTTGGACTCATGTCTCATTGATGTTGCATCTCACCTGAATTCCCCCTCAAAAGGCCCAACACTTACCATTAAGGATGCTTATATCCAAATGTGTCTTGGAGAAACAGAATCTGGAACAAATTCATTCTTTCCTCCTTCTAAAACCTTTATTTTATGGAGATTTTTGCATCATAAGTTACCTATGGATGATCTTCTTAGGAAATGTGACTTTAATGTGAGACCATTTTATTCTCATTGTTCTAATGCCTATAAAACTGCTAATCATTTGCTTCTCAACTGTCCATTTCCAGCTAGTTGTGGAAATGACTTCAAAGCATTATTGATCAAAGGCTAGCTGGACACTACTAGCACTATGACAATCATGCAGCCTAATACAAATTGGAGTAATTTAGTGCTGACAATGCTGTTTTCTGCTATTACATACACATATTATAGCAGAGATTTGGCACAATAGGAATATAATTCAGTTTGAGGGACGGAAGATTCAGTACCAACATATAAAAAAACCTAATCTTTTTTCTGCAGCGAATCATTCTGCTTCTTTGGCAACAGGTAACTTGCATTCTACTATTGATGAATTCTAAATTATTACGGCTTTTTTGGTTGTTTGCAGGCCAAGGAAATTAGATAAAATTATGCAAGTGGATTGGACTCCTCCTAAAACAGAATGGATCAAATGCAATATGGATAAAGAGTACTCTGATCATGAACATTAATCAGCTTGTGGTGGTATTTTCAGGAATTCATAATCTGAAATTATGGTTGTTTTGCAATATATCTACATGTACAGTCAGCATTTCAAGCTGAGCTTATGAGAGTTATGCATCCTATTGAGATTACTATACACAAAGGATGGAGAGCTTGTTGGATTGAGATTGATTCTTCAGTTACTGTGAATTTTATTAATGATAGCTCATGGTTTCTTGGAAGTTAAAGTAATAAATAGCTTAATGCTAGAGTCAATTAGAAGATAAGAGGCATCTTTATATTCAATTGACTCTTCACGTTCAGAAAAGTGAAGTTGAACAGAAGCTAGTACACTCTCCATAACAGAGAAAGATATGGGGTGCATGAACATACCACAGGCTTTAACAGTTCTTCAATGATTTCCTGAGCCTGCCTGAGCCTTATTTCAACAACATTAGCAGGTAAATCAGCCTCAATCAAAATGTGCAGTGGTTCATTGAGATGCTCATAGCCTGGTCTTCCTCGTAATTTCTCCTCCTTAAAATTGAAAAATAAAAAATAATCACAATGGATACAAGTATGATTGAGTATACATTCGTGAATGCACCATAGTTTAGGCAATTTGCCAAAAAGACCTAGAAAATTAAGTAAACTTTCATTACCTTATCCGGATCCTTTATCGATCCTTTTCCTCTAATATACACACGACAACCAGTAGTAGCTTCTACACGTTTCAAAGAGTTGCCTCTAGGCCCCAGAAGTCTTCCAACAAAATTGAACTGATGCAATAATGAGAAAAATACTTTTATTACTTAAAGATGATAGATCTTTTGGTTCCAGAAAAGAAAAAAAAAAACAGTTGTCTGATCAAGTTATCATATTTGACTTTGTATAACAGGCCTTTGTATAAAAGCTTACATTGGGATATGTATCTACTGGAATTTCCAGGCGCAATATCCTTTTAACAGTGAATGAACTAGGACTTGCAGGTGCACTTTGCCAGTCCATTGTCATTCCAGGGGGTCCACATAATCTCTGTTATTTACAGAGAAAGTAATGTTGATATATAAAAGTTAGAAATAACCATGTTAAACAGCAGGAATAAATGATAAAATTTTTGTTATTAAACCATAAATCAATAAGCAGCTAGCATTTTCAATCACGTGAACCAACCAATCAGGAAATTCTACAAGTTTGAATGAATGAGAGAAGCAAACAGATGAATATGCAGAAAAGGCACTGGAAGAGGCAACTGTAAAACTTTTCTGCAAGTCAGATACACTAATGCTTTACTATTCATGGAAAATAGCACAAATACAGGATCAATTAGATTTTATGTTGGATATATGGCCTACGTTACAAGGAAGACACCAATCTCGTAGTTTGCTTGAATTGTATTCAAACAGAGTCGTAGCTTCTGTATCAAACATAGTTTCACTAGCATATACATTTCTTCCAATCTTACATCAAGTAAAAATTTGTATCCCATTTTTTATGCAAGTTTATGCCTTGTCTAAAATTATCCATTAGCTAAAATTTTTAAGAAACCTCTTTATCCCATAAAATATGTCAATGCAAAAATTTAGGCATTCCTCTGCATCCTTAGGCACAAAGCAGAAGCAAAAATTGCATGCTTCCAAATACCCTTGCCCTAAAGTGAGAAAATAGTGAATGTGTCAAACTAGTGTACTAATCCAAATTCACCAAAAAGCCCATATTTTATGGGATAGAGAGGTTTTCTTAAATTTTTTTAGCTAATGGATAATTTAAAGGAGTGCACCTTTGGTTGATATTAACGAAATGATTCTTTGGCCTTCTTGTCCCTCTTTTAGGAGGATAAGGTAACATCCTCTCTTGTAACAAAATACATACACACACATTTCCATACACACTTTATCCTGCAAAGTTTGGTTTTATTGTGATATTTGAAATTTCTAACAAATGTATGGGTTAAAACTTCAGTAATGCCCACTAATCTCATTTACCATTCCCTCGCTTTCAATATTTTCCAGTAATTTATAGGATGTTGTCAAAAAAACCGTCTCATGTCACATCACATCTGTTTACAAGAACCTGCTTCGAAGACCAAAAGAGAAGGTCTTGTAAGTGCTGTGGCATTAAACCTCACCTTATGGTATTGTATTATTAGTTTATTACTATTAATATTATTATTAAAAAGAGAAGACAAGGATTTAGAGTACATGAGGCTTCATAAATAGATGATTCAATATTGAGAATAACAGCATTATAATATCCATGTAGTCAAGCCTACTTGGCAGGAATAAGGCTTGATTGTTGTTGATGCTCAATTCAAGGAATAATGATGAATATTTTTAAAAATATCCAATGTTAGGAATTAGACTAGAGATACATGTGATAATATACTTGAATTATACAAGAAAAAAATGAAGATATAAAGTTCAGATGCAACAATTAATAATTTAAAGCCAGTCACCTCCTGCTGAAGGCTATTCCATCCACCCAACCCTGTTCCACTGACATTGGACATAAGGTTTGAAGAAGCCATAGGACTAGGGCTTCTATGCCGCAGTCTATCAAAGTCACCAAAACCTTGGTTGGACAACATTCCAGAGACTCTTAATATTTCTGCATATAAAAAAATTGAAATAGAAAAAACAACGCATAATCTCAAAAATCATAACAAATGAATGGAGAAGGTTTTTTTTAAAAGAGTAATCAAGACATTGAGTGAAGAATTATGTAATAATACATATTAGAAGCTATTATAAATAAATAATTTTGTAATTAGCTGGAAGTTAGAAGTATAAATAGACCTATTGTATATTGTGAAAGGCAGAAATGAAATATAGTCAGTTGAGTTTTCCTCTATATTCTTTCTATATGAATTGTGAGTGAGTTCCCTCTATACTCTGTTGGAGTTGTGAGTGAGTAAGAGTTTTGATATTTGACATTGGTATCAGTAAGTTGGGTACGTTGGGACAATGGTGACAGTTAAGGAACTTGAAGCGCGCATGGAATCCTTTGAGAAATCATTCATCATGGCTCAAGATTCAACGAAAGAAACGCTGGATTCTTTCCAGAAATCTATAGATACTATCGTTTCTTCACTTGCGACATGGAATGGTGGGCAAAAGATCATAATTCAAGATGACCTGGAAGGTGCTTCTTCCAAATCTGTGATTGAAAGAGCACAAATCCAATTTCCTTCATTTGATGGTACAAATTTCCGTGAATGGCGAGCAAAGGTAGAACAATTTTTTGAGTTGGAATCCACACCAGTTCATCAACGTGGCAGATTGCTTTTATTATCAATGGATGGAAAAGCTTTTTCGTGGCAACGCCATTACATGCAGCAAACGTCTTTCAAGAACAAGTCTTGGGAACAAATTCTTCAAGATGTGGCATACCGATTTGATGATAGTTGTTTTGATGATCCAGTAGCTGAGATTTCAAGATTGAAACAAGAAGGGGAATTGATCGAATATCTAGAAGCATTTGATTCCTTATTGGCCCGGGTATCTGTTTCTGAATCCTTAGCTCTTAGTTTTTTTTTGTCTGGATTGAAAATGGAATTGGAGAAATCTGTAAGGGTTCATAGGCCTCAATCTCTTCAAGAGGCTGTGCATTTGGCAAGATTGCAAGAAGACATATTGAAGGAAAGAGAGAGACACAGCCATCAAAGGAGATTAGGGTCCCTAGAGACACAATCAAGAGTAACCAAATCATGGATAACTCCAGCAAATTTTCAAAAAAGTCATTCCATCACTAGTCTTCAGCAGAATATCTCTCAAGATTCCAATACTATTCCTACAACAAATTATTCCAAGAATGCATCAAGAAAGGAAATCAGTGAAAGGATAGCGAGAGGATTGTGTCGATTCTGCAGTGAAAAATGGGACAAGAATCATAGGTCCAAATGTAAGGTTTGGGGTAAGCTTAATGCCATTTTTTGTGCTCAAGAGGAATTAGATGATGATGATGATATTGATCAATGTGGTGATGAAGAGCAAGAGTTAATCAACAGTAGCTTAGCATTGGTTCAAGATCACGATGTGCATATTTCACTTAATGCCCTACAAGGAGTAAGCGGGAGGAAGTACTTTACAGCTTAAAAGGATTAATCAAGAAACGAGATGGTACCTTTTCTAATGGACACTTGGAAGCACCCATAATTTTATTGGGGAGAAATGGGTCAAACTTCTTGGTTTAAAAACTCAGTTCATCAAAGATTTTCCTGTGATGGTAGCATCGGATAAGAAGATTTTAATCACTAGGAAATGTGAGGCAGTAAATTGGAAATTCAATGATCATAAATTTACAGTAGATTTTCCTGGTTTTGCCAAGCAACACTTTTGGGGTGATCTTAGGCATGCAATGGTTCAAGACATTGGGAGAAATTCACTGGAATTGCAATAATCTGACCATGAAATTTACTCATCAAGATCAAGTTGTGACTCTTCAAGGAGAACAATCCTGTATGGAATTGCAAGAATGGACTGGGAAATTGAGATTGTTACAAGGCACATGTTGGGCGCTTGTTATACAAGATTCAAATTTATTAGCTGTAACTAACAAGGTTGATCTAGGAGAATTAACAGAAGACCAATCTGAACAATTACAGGTTGTCTTGGACAACTTTCAAAACCGATTTGTCGAACCAACCCAACTTCCAACTACCAGGAGGTGTGATCACAAAATTCAATTGACAACTAACACTCCTGTATTTTCCAAGCCCTATAGATATCCTCATGTACAGAAAGATGAAATTGAGAAACAAGTACAACAGTTACTTTCAACTGGGTTTATCAGAGAAAGCAATAGTTCTTATGCATCTCCTCTAGTGTTGGTCAAAAAGAAGGATGGCTCGTGGAGATGTTGTACTGACTTTAGGAAGTTAAATGCTATCACCATCAAGAATAAATTTCCTATACCACTTGTCGAAGATCTTCTAGATGAGTTAAATGGAGCTTGTTATTTTTCAAAGTTGGATCTCAAAAGTGGATATCATCAAATTAGAATGGCTGAAGAAGATATTTGCAAGACTGCATTTAGAACACATAATGGGCATTATGAATGGGTTGTACTTCCTTTTGGTTTATGCAATGCTCCAGCAACCTTTCAGTCCCTCATGAATGATATATTCAGGAAATATTTACGGAAGTTTATATTGGTGTTTTTTGATGATATATTAGTTTATACAAGGACTTGGTCAGATCATTTAAAGTGTTTAACAATTACATTGCAGATTTTGGAGGAGAATAATTTGGCCGTGAATTTTAAGAAATGTAGCTTTGGGAGGAAGACAATTGAATACTTGGGACATGTGATAACTATGCATGGAGTTCAACCGGACCAAGAAAAAGTCTCTGCAATTCAACAATGGCCTACCCCAACTAATGTCAAGGAACTTAGAGGGTTTTTAGGTCTTTCGGGATATTATAGAAGATTTATCTTGAATTATGGGAAAATTGCAGCACCTTTAACAGAGTTGTTGAAAAAAGACTCGAAATTCAACTGGACTCCACATACTGAAATAGCATTTCAACAGCTCAAGAATTCATTAGTTTCTAAGCCAGTCTTAAGGTTACCTGACTTTCAAAAATCATTTACAATTGAGACAGATGCATCTGGGGGAGGTATTGGTGCAGTTCTCCTCCAAGAGGGTCATCCGATTGCTTATATAAGTAAGGCTATGGGACCAAAGTACAAGTTGTTATCCGCCTATGAAAAGGAATTTTATGCAATGTTATTTGCAATAAAAAAATGGCAACACTATTTGTGGGGAAAACATTTCATTATTAAAACTGATCAGAAAGCGCTACAACAATTATTGTTACAGCCACCTACAACTTTGATGCAAAATTGGGGATTACAGAAGTTAATGGGTCTTGATTTCAGCATTGAATACAAAAAGGGAAAGGATAATCAAGTAGCTGATGCATTGTCTAGAGTGGAGATGCAAGGAAGTCTAGCTGCTATAGTGCACTTATCTACAGAGTTAATGACAGAAGCTATTCACTCTTGGAAAGATGATACAAAATTACAAAAGTTAGTTGATAAATTGAGGTTAGTTCAACATCCTTTCAAGCACTATACTTTTGAAAAGGACATATTGAGAAGAAAAGGAAAAGTGGTGGTTGGATGTCAGCCAAACCTCAAAACGAGGATTCTCAATTTTTTTCATAATTCAACGAATAGGAGGTCACTCGGGTTCCGATTTAACATATAAAAGAATTAAGGAGCATTTTACCTGGAAGGGTTTACAGCGAGAAGTTAAGAATTGGATTAAGGAGTGTGAGACATGTCAAAGGTTCAAGCCAATAAATCAATTACCAACAGGACTTTTACAACCATTACCTATTCCTCTTAGGGCATGGAAGTCAATTTCTATGGATTTTATTACCGGCTTGCCTAAGTCTAATGGGATGAGTATTATATTAGTAGTCATTGATAGGCTAACTAAATATGCTCATTTCATGCCTTTAGGTCATCCTTTTACAAGCATCTAAAGTTGCCAATTTATTCATGAATAATGTGGTGAGGTATCATGGGTGGCCGGAGGAAATAATTTCTGACGGGGACCCAATATTTATGAGTAATTTTTGGGCTGCGTTGATGAAAGCACACGGGGTGCAGCTGCTGAAGTCCACAGCTTTCCATCCACAAACCGATGGACAGATCGAAAATCTCAATAAAACTTTGGAAGCTTACTTAAGGTGTGCTACCGGTGACATGCCTAAACAATGGATCAACCACTTAGCAATGGCAGAACTTTGGTACAATACTAAGTTTCATACTGCAACTCGAGATGACACCTTTTGAGGCACTATATGGTTATAAACCTATATTACCTAATTTAGTGAACAAGTAGCGAAAATGTGGTGGAAGTCGTTAACTATGTGGTGAAGACCGAGAGAACAAATTGGCAAATTATTACAGGAGAATCTTCGCAAGGCACAGGAGAGAATGAAGTTGTATGCGGATAAAGGGAGGCTTGATAGAGAGTTTAACTGTGGAGACATGGTCTATTTGAAAATACAACCATACAAGCAGCATTCGTTGGCAAACTCATCTTTTCACAAGTTATCAGCTAGATATTATGGGCCTTATAAGGTGATTGAAAGAATTGGAAAGGTGGCATATAAATTGGAACTTCCAGTTGACTCTAAGATTCACAATGTCTTCCATGTGTCACTATTAAAGAGACATCATGGAAATCACACAGTTATCGTTCAGCTTCCACAGTTTGATGAAGATGGAGATTTGCAACCTAAACCGTTGGCTATATTGGATAGAAGAATGAAACAGAAGCACAATCAAGCTATTACTGAAGTACTTGTGCAATGGGAGGAAACAAATCCTGAAGATGCAACTTGGAGAGAGTTACATGATTTACAAATGCAGTTCCCTGATTTTGAGTGGAGAGTAATTGAAAGGACTTGAGGTCAAGTCCTTGTTTTAAGGGGGGGAAATTGTAATAATACATATTAGAAGCTATTATAAATAAATAATTTTGTAATTAGCTGGAAGTTAGAAGTATAAATAGACCTATTGTATATTGTGAAAGGCAGAAATGAAATATAGTCAGTTGAGTTTTCCTCTATATTCTTTCTATATGAATTGTGAGTGAGTTCCCTCTATACTCTGTTGGAGTTGTGAGTGAGTAAGAGTTTTGATATTTGACAAATTATCTCAGAGAATATATGTCTTTCACATGTGGACATCATTTGCAGCAATCTATATCACACAAAGTCCTATATTATCAGACACTCCAGCAGATAGAAGGTCAGGCTTTAATCTCGTAGGAAACTGTCCATTCGATCATTGAAAAAAGGAAGCAAACAGACAAGCCGCAAATTTTTGGAAGGAGGTCTGCTGGAGTCAAGAGTCCCAATGTTAATGGCACCAGCATTCTACATGTTAATTGATGGGAATTTACAAACTAATCGCTACTCCAAGCATGAAACCCATACCAAACACTTCAAATCAAACATTTTCAATTCCTTACATTGGGAACACTTTCAAGAGTGAATACGTAGCAAAGATAGGACTTTCCTCATATCCTCTCGAGTAAAGAGAATGCACAATCTGTTCAAATTCAAAATAATCCCACGAATAGATACCATTCTGGACTATGAAAATCACTGAAATTTCATCTCTCACCAACAAACTCATCACCGGTTGCGTTAGGTTGACACTATGAAGGTACATTTCATCCACCATTCAGACACCACCCAACAGGGGATACATATAAACAATTTTAATTCAACTTGCATGCCCCCTTAGAAGTTAAAAAATCAGCATCAAGTGAAGTGAGAAGGGAATGGTGCCACAACAATGACGAGGATGACCGGAAGAGGAATCAATGCACGATCAACTCTATAGTTGGTGTCCATTGTCCAAGAATTTTGACACAGATAAAAGCTTTGTGACACGATCTGACACACACACACATCAAGCATGCTTCCATAAAGAATAAGAATGCAAAAACATGAAGGGATAGATCCACAAACAAGAAGAGACCTTGATTTAGGAGGCGGCTGCATATGGGAAGCACCTGCATGAAGGGTCCAAGCTTCTGATGTTCTGCCAGCAACTCTGATAGGTACTGACTGCAAAAACAACAACCACCGTTTTCTTTTCTAAATCAACAACACACGAATTCATCCATGACAAATCAAATAGACTAGGCCAAATCCAAAGATTGTTCCACCAAGAGTCCAATATTGTGTTGTGTTTCTTTCAGTTTTGATCTCAAAAACATTACCAGAAAAGAGAAACCAACCCACCTGTCCACGTCTGGGTTGCTCCTAATCTGAGGGGAAGCAGCTCTAGCAGGAGAGAAGTTGGGATTGTACAAGCCTGACATGGCTCACTTTTTCTTAGTTTTCCTCAAGGATTGGAAGAAAAAACCACCAGTCTCCGAGAAAAAAAAAAAAGTTGAAAAAGAAGGTTTAGTTGGTGTAGTTCTTGCAGAAGAAAAAGGGGATACAGAGCACCATCAATTAAGGGGGGTCTGTAATAAGGAGAAAAACGAAAAAGGGTGGACAGTTCTCTCTGAATTTTACACAAAAGGAAGCAACAAATAATTATTTATTTATTTCCTTTTTCTCTCTATTCTCTTTCTCTCTCTTAGTCTTAATATTTCTCTTTTTCTGCCTTTTTTCTAAAATAACATATTTTCCTTGTCCACAGACTGCCATGTAAAAAACAAATACAAAATAAAAAAGTTGAAGACAGTGTACTGAAATGGAAGGGATCTTTATAAGGAAACAACAGTGTGCAGCTAAAGTTTAGGCAGTAAAAGGTTACTAGATTTTGTTTGTGGCAGTAAAAAAATTTCACAGTGACCAAAGAAGTAAAGAGTTTTTCTTTTCTCACATGTAAGATCACTGATAATACAACTTTATAGTATATGTACAAAAATCTTGAACTCTGTATCACTGGTTAAAGTGGAACAGTTTTCATGGTATGAAAGTGAAGTGGTTATGGTTAAGGTAACGTAGGTTTGATAGGAGTGCCAAAAGGTAAAGGGTATAGGGCACAACAAAACAACAAGTGGAGACGCGTGTTAGGCATGCAGAGAATCATAGATGTGTGTCTAATCAATCCTATGTGTGTGTATGCAAATACTACAAACTGTAGGTATATTATTTCTTAAGGCTTAACAGTGTTTTGGGAGAAGAGAGAACGCAAAATGTGAATGAATCAATGGCCAACGATAATGATGTTTGCCAACGCGGTCTTAGCTGGACTGTACACTGTACACTCTCTTACAAATCTACCTCACCATCTCCACTCAACTACGTCGTTTTGAAGCTCCACCTCAACCGCTAGCTCCAACGTCAATCCTTGTTTTTCCACATTATTATAATCATATTAGCATTACAATAGTCCCATTTGAATAAAGTTACAAAATTTCTGTTCTTCAGTTGAATAATGTTATCATTGAATTACGGTCCGATTCTGTTCCTTTTCAACTTTGATTGAACACCCATCTCATTTTTTCTCATCAAAATTATAACTTTTGATTAGCATTGCTAAATTCTCATAAAATTTGACTTTGCATTCATGATATGCATTTGCACCCACCTATAAATAACCCTACCTGATGTTGTTAGAGCCATTTTTTGATGCTTTGTTCCATACTATTATTTGGCCCTTCGGTGTGGAATACATTGCTCTACTCACTCTAAACCATTCCATTTTATTGTTTTTTATTGTATAGTATCAATTGCCAATCTTTGCATTCTGTCTTCTTCTTTTTAATAATTTGGTAACATTTTTATTTTGTTAGTATATAGTTTTCGAGAACAGTCTAAACTAAATTTCTCCAATACCTTTTTTTTTATTAATTTTTTAGGTCTAGGAAAGGTTGTCAGCGTACTTTTGACTCCCTTCTACGACGAGTTTCATGTCATAATTCACAATAAATTATTAGGCAGTATGAATGCTTGGTATTACTTTTGCTTGAGTATATCCTCACAATCGATACCAGTTCAGATCCTATTTACCCACCTTTTTCATTCCTTTGATCATTTTTCATTTATTTATCTAGATGTCGTATGTGATAAGGATACATAAATCTATCCACACACAATAAAAGTTTAAAAAGTTTAAATCTTTTTCAGTTTTTGTTTCACTAATTAATTTTTATCATCTGGGTAATTGATCCACTAATTAAAAATGTAAAAAAGAAAAGTCTGGCCCAACTTCAGATTAAAATATAACTATGACATTTTTATATATTTATAAATAACTCAATCCACAAATTTAGATATGTAGCTGGCCATTTACCTGTTTTTGTTTTTGCCAAAAATACTAATTACCCAATTAAGATGAATGGGAAGCAAAAAGTGTATTAAGATTTTAATATTGAAGATAAAACAAAAGATGGTAGGGGCAGAGTAGGGAAAAGAGGTTGGTCTTGTAAACCAGAGAACTGTCCACAAACCACAACAAGACAATGCAAGGTGGGCCATTGTTTTAACTGAATGCTTCACTGCCTCTGACTCCATTGGCAGTAGGAGAAGAATCCTAAGATGTTTTATGCAATAAAATAGAAAAATACACCATTTTCTTTTGCCCTTTGTCCTTGCCTTTGATTCCTTCCTCCCACACCTCATGTGTTTGTTTCAGTCATTCTCTAAATTAAATACATAAAAAAATTTTGACGATGTTGTATTTTCTTATTAAGGGTAGCAAATTGGAGGGAAAAATTCATGGACTTTGTAGCCAAAGGGAAAAGAATATTTCTTTGTTATTTTTGGTAATAAGTAGTAGTTGGGAGGGGATGGTCCATTTGTCCTAATCTCACCAGGCAAATTGTCACACACAAATATTACAGATATAAATGTTTCTTTTTCTTTCTGTGCATTTTTTCATGTTTTTTATTATCTTGTTTGTTTGACAAATGATCATGAACATGGTGAGTGAAAAGTAATATAATTTATTTTGGCCAAGTGAACTGAGAGGTTGAGGTTGGATTAAAAAGATAGAACAGAACAGAAGAGAGTGAGTGAGAAACAGTGATCCCAACCAACAATAGACCATGTTTCCAAAATAATAGGATGACTCAAGGAAAAGTGTCTAAACAAAGTTTGCCTTCGAGTCAGACAAGATTCGGACAGGTCATGTCTTCCAAATTGAAGTGAGGTTGTGGTCAGCCCTAGCATCAGTACTGGAACAAATTAACTGCTCAGTAAACCTATCAATAGTTTCATACTGCTTCATCATTTCTCATTTTTCTCATGTTTATTAATAATTAAAAAGTATTTTATTTTCTTCAATTGGATAAGAACGTTTGTATTCTCGATTAATCAAAATTTTGTTAATCACAATTATTAATAAATGTAGTATGTCGATCAATATAATTGAAGTAATTAAAACAAAAGAAATAAATATAAAAAAAATATTTATTAAATAAAATTATGAAATTTTTAATATTTTTTTTTTGTTTTAAGATAATGGATGGAAAGGTTAAATTTACGTACAAGTCAATAAGAACTATTTAAAAATAAAAATTAAGCCTAACAATAATGCACCTTACTATTCCCCCACATGGAAAATATCACGTGCTTATTGACAACTTTAAGAGGCAAATAACAAACAAATGGATAGAACAGGCCCATTTAGAGAAAGAAAAGCACTGGGCTTTTGTGATGAACGAGGCCCAATAAGTAAAAAAAAAACTAAGAAATACGCCAAGAGTGAAGAAAGAGTGAGTTGGAAGAAGAGAGAAGAAAGAAGAAGAAGATGAATTTGAGATGGATGGAAGCGGTGTTGCCGCTGGGAATCATTGCCGGAATGCTCTGTGTTATGGGAAACGCTCAGTATTACATTCATAGAGCCGCGCATGGCAGAGTAATTTCTCTTTTTATTTTTATTAGTTTTGTTATCGATCAATTTTCGATTGGATCTTTGTCAGTGATGTGAAATTCTTTCAGCCTAAGCACATCGGGAATGATATGTGGGACGTGGCGATGGAGCGAAGGGACAAGAAGCTTCACGAACAAGCCTCCTCCTCCAATTAACATTGTAAGCTTCGCTCTCCTTTTTCTCTTTCGCAATGCACTAGGGTTTCTACGAATGCTGTCCATTTTGAATGTGAATTGTCGAAAGGAAAATTTTGTTAAAGTATAGGGTAGACGCATTAGATCGGGCGAAAATTTGTGTAGTTTGAGGTTTTGCTGTGTTGCTTTGCAGCTCTGGAGCTGTTATAATGCAAAACGATTCAGATATTTGAGATTGTCGTTTTTTGTAGCCCATAGGGTGAAGTAGAGTATTCTTCTAGAAAGCACAAATGATTTTATTGTTTTTTTTTTTATTATTTATCTGAAGCCTAGGATTTAGGGAGGAGATGGGTATGGAGTTATGGTTGTTAGTTTGAAGCTTCATGGTTGAGATTTTAATAATTCCGTGATTTGTTATAATGTGTGTGTATTCTACTATGGTTTTGTGTGTTGATTGTTCAATCAAAGGTATAACTTTGCCGTCTATTTCTTAGATTGCATTTTTTTTACTTTGGATTATGCTTGAATTGGTAAAAGAATGAAGATGAAATATAATGGAAACTAGCGCAACTTATTCCTTTCTAAGTCATGTTTAGATAAACTTCTTCATAAGGACTTGTGGAGGAAAAATAAGAAGATAAAAATGAAATAACCTTCTTATTTTCCTTTTCTTCTATATGAAATAGTTTATCCAAACGGGACCATTGTCTATTATTTACCCCAGATTTTATTTCTTCTCAATCTTTTAGGAATGAGAATTTTATTTCATTGCATCATAACATTTCCGAAGAACGGAATGAAGATTATATTCCATTGTATTCTATTCAATTTTTATTTTATTTTATTTATTTCAATCAATACAAACCCAGCTTAAAGAGAAGTCAATTTCTTTTCTAAAATTATAGGATGCAACATAGACCACAGTTGAACATAAAGATGTGAATCTTAAATCAAAAAGGAAAATTATTGTTTTAGAAGTTTGTACAAGTTATTGTAAACATAATATATGTTATCATTTATCTTGTTATATTGATATTCCTATTTTTGTAAAAGTTCAAAGTAGCCATGATGGTTATAGCTTCATGGCTATTCAAGCGTCTGTGCTTCCTTTGTGTTTTAGCTCCTTTATAGTGCTTAGCTTGATGCTATGTTTCATTATCCATTTTGTTTTCTGTGAGATTTGGGTCTTTCATGTGTTTCTTTGTCTTACATAGTTTTTTGTCCATCGGTCTTTGCTTTCAGACTTAGTTTTCCTTTCCTGAAATATCTTCTCTTGCTGTAAAGAAAAACTAAAGAATTACAGTTTAGATAATCAAAAGGACGATTTTGGTATATTGTTCCATTTTCAAGGAAACATGCAGCATTTTGGATGAACATCAAATTTTACATGGACTTGTCGTCCATCCTCAACAGGAAACCCACTAAGAATATCCTTCTTTAGTGTTTGTAGTCTCATAGAATTTGTTTTGCTGAACTTAATGTTTTGGGCGTACAGACTACAAACCATAATATTTGTTCTGGAACATGCAGGTTATTTTACCGATGTCATTGTGAAGAAAATAAACTGCGCACCTGGATTTGAGGCTGCGTTCTTGGGAAGCTGAGTGAATCACTGGAATGAAATTCCGTTTGTTTTCTTGTATCAATTCAACATAAGATTTATAAATATACCTATGCTTCAGTCACAATTGCTTTCGCTAAGCTTGTTGAAAACTAATTTGTTCTGAGATAGCTGTTGCCTTATATAATCTGACCATTCTGTGCTTGACGAGTGACTATGAATCTTGCCAGTTGACGTCAATGGCTTTGTGAATTATTATGTAATGTAGCGCACATTCTCAATTCATACACCACCGCAAAATTTGAATTGAAAGCTGAAAACGGAAAACACAAGCATTCCGACTAGTTATTGATATTTCAACATGTTATGAATACAAGAGGTGGGCAATGTAGAACCTCTTGCACCTTGTATGTAGTATTTTTGCAGGAGGAAGTGATTGTCCTGGATTCTAAGAAGGGGCTTATTAACACGAGATTTAACATATAACGCGGTTTATAAACCATCTGTTTGTTTATAGGTCATCAAAATTGTGTTTCCTCTAAATTTCGTTTTATAGCATATTCATGAGTTGTCAGAATTTTACTCATTTAATACTGGTAAAGAAACATATGTTTGTTCTCAAACAAAATATGCTTACTGCTCTCTCTAACTAAAAATCAGCTGTATGATGTGTCTGTGGATCAACCTAGTTACACTTTGATTAAGTACGTAAAGGGATATTTCATTTTATTCTACACAGATCAAAAGAGACTCTTTTGTAAAGTGAAATTCATTATAAAGAAAAAAGAAAGGGTTAGTTGGTATTGGTTCAAACATAAATTTATTTAAACGGTTTTCAATTTTTTGTTGAGATATTGTGATAGAATGTAAAGACATTTCAAGAAAAATGTAAATTTACGAGGAAACCTTGACCATTTATGGTCCAGAAGGGGTTTCAAGACCCTTACGATGATGGATGGTTTATCTGTTTAAAATCTGTTTTTAAACGGGAAAAGATTGATTGAGAACAAATATTTACAAATATATGATAAATAATTTTAAAATATTATTTTTTTAGATAATTAATGATTTGAAAATAAATAAGATAAATGAATAATAATATAAAAATCTAAAAATGGATTGTTGAATAGATAATTTTGTCTTTTGTGTTCTCAAAATATGAGTACTCCTACAGAAAACTGAAGTGATGTCCCAATTAATTAATTATAGTTGTTTAAACCGTACAAATTTTCAAAGACTTGGACAATTATTTCAGCAAAACTTAACAGATGGAACTAGGGAAATAGAAGCAGGTATGTTGATAAGCTGAAATTACATAAATGCGTGTTTGGTATCTAAAATCTCCTGAATGTGACAGATGTTGGAGTATGGAAAAAAAGTGAGGAGATCCCGTATCATTTCAAGCCACAATTTTCTTGAAAAATTTAGGAACATTCGTACTACATTCATTTTTTTCTTTCTGCCTTTTCTCTGTTTCCTTGTGAGTGGCTCCTAGTACTCTTTTGCTCATATATTGGGGTTAAGGTTTTACGGTGATATTCTTTTAAATAAATAATTAATTAAAAACCAATACTTTTATATATATATATATATATATATATATATATATATAAATAAACATGAAAAGTTGAGTTCAACCCGTATAATATTTTTACCATGTTAAATTATTGGCCGGGTTTATAGTTGTACACTAAACATCCTTCTTCTTAGATAAATTCATCCAGAGGCACTTTTCGTATGAACTCGTCGGAATGTGTGACAATGCTCATAAACACTGTCAATTCTCATAAAATTTTGGCTTGTTGATTTTAATCCTTAAAAGAAGCGTGTATTTTTTTATATAAAGCATAACGATGACTAATTTGACTTTGATCAAATATTACATGACTGAAGTTAAATAACGAACTCCAAAAACAAAATATCCTACTTTTTGAGGATTGAAAATGATAAAAAAATTGCAAGAACTAAACAACAAAAAAGAGTTCATATTACGAAAACTTAGAAATTGTGCAAGCCTTTTTTAATAGAAATTAGAATATTGTTCCAAGTGTTTTTATTAATATTGCCCTCGTGTGCTGTTCCATTTATGTGCCCTCCTTGTGCATTTGGGACCTCGAAATTCAAGCATGAAAGAATGGAGTTAAATAATAAATTTAGAATAAAAAATGATGCGCATTCCTACTATAGCAGACACAACTTCTGGTTTTTCAATGACTCAAACTGAGTTAGGTGTTGGTGGTGCTGAGCTGTGAATGTGATACCTTCCTTCATAAGTCATTTTATCTTATCTAGCAGCTACAGCATTTCTCTTCTTTGTTTGGTTTGGTTGTTTATTATATAGAGATTGAGTAGTTGACTTGTAATAAAAGAGTGGCCAAGTCTTATCTTCAAAGTGTAAACACCAAATTCTAAATGCTTTTTGGCGACTATGGTCACTTCAGGGTATTTATAGAAACAAATCAAGTTATTGTTGCATAATATATTTCTCAGGGTTGTTCAAGTGGCAAGGAAGAGATATAGATTGTGGCACTTCAACTAATAAAGAGAGAAAGAGAACTTGTATTTTAATGTGACTCACCTTTTGGTGTTTAGGCTGCTTCTATAGTGTTTAGATTCCCATCAAGAAAAACCGTGGTCCGAGTAAAAACTAAAAAATACAAGTGTCTTGTTCAAAACCATGGCTTAGGAATTTCACAACAGAGATTCAATCGTATTCAGAGCTGAGCTGAAAAGTCATGGCACAAAAAATCTTCCCCTTGCCATGTGCTGTCCTCAGTCTTTGGAGTCTGGACAATGAAAAAGTTTTATGTTTTCAGAAAAAAACTTTTAATAGTGGAAGAGGGAGAAGTCATTGCTGTCAAAACTACATATACAGATTTACTTCTTGTCCTGACTTGGTTGCTTGCATTACCTTGTCCTTTTCTGGTGAAGATGGCCACTGAAATGCCAGCACTCAGCAGCAGGTCTTGGTATTAATTTATTTCCTTTAGTTGGTAACTTTCCTTCATCCACTTGTCTGTTTGGAAACAAAATGCAAGACACCAAATCTATTATGCAATGATCAACAGATGCTACTTAAACAAACACCAGAGCATATTCTCTACTCTAATAAATAATTCTAAACCATTACCCTTTTCATAATCAGTTTCTGAGCTTTTCCTCCATTTTGTGATTGATAAGTATTATACTTGTCATCTATGGATAAACTTCCTAATAAACAACTAAAGGAGAAAAAAATGAAGTTTTTTAAGTTAAAAGCAATTTATGAACTTCAACTTTTATTAAAGTCTTCTCATTTAACTTTTTCAAGAAGGCAAAAATTGATTTTATTCAAGTTCATTGTAAATTATGTGAGAAACTTAATTATTTTATCTTATTTTTCTCTCATATATAATATCATTAATAGTAAAAACTGCATCCTACCTAAACCTATTTGTTAGCAAGACCATTATTAACAAAAACAGTGACAAGAGATACCAAGCAAAAAGGGTACACATTGAATTTCCAAATAACCTTCTCAAAAACAAGGTGAGGGCATCGAGGTCAAGGGGTCTCTCCCTCACTTAAATGAATGAACAGGAATGATGGGAACTGGTGACTGAGCAAATAAGCATTGTGTGCCCACAACATTTATATCAAGGTATCATCTTTCAACCACGAAAAAGGGATAGTAAAAGCAATATAAATAACCCAACAAGTAGGTCTTGGAATTTTATTCTTTGTCAATGGAACAACTAAATTCATCACATAATCGTCACTTTTGACTACTACTAATTCACACCACAATGAATCACAAAAGAGATAACAGATTTACACAAAAATCGTATGTTAAGGAAACAAACAGGTGGGCAGGCAAAAGAAAAACGTGTGATTAGAAGAATTTCTGAATACAGTAAATTAACTTGAATGAGAGGAAGAGCAACTGAAGATTGTGCAAAAATATTGTGTCATGGTGCATATTCATGCTCAAGGATTGGTTGTGTTCTAGTTACTGTTGCAGCAGGAGCTTTTGTATCCCCAATCGAAGCCATTTGAAGAGGTTCTCCCACCTCTGCAGCCCTTTCCATCTGTTGCATTCTCTTCTTCTGTTTGTACTTTCTCGTCCACAGAACAAGAAGTGACAATAACACAAGCAAGGCTAGTCCCCCCACAACAGACCCTACAATGATCCCCACCTTTTTATTCTCCTTCTCACCTTTTCCTTGGGCACTTGGTGATGGCCCCCTTTTTGGAGGACTTGCAGGAGTAGGAGACACTGGAGCTGGTGCTGGAGCTGGAGGAGCAGTGGATTTAACAACTATAGAGAAATGCCCTTGTTGGAAAGATGAACATGTGTTGCCTTCTGTTAAATCACTGAAATTGGAGGAACCCTGTAAATCAAACGAAACACATTTTGCAACAGCACCATGAGGGACTGCTTGAACAGCCCTGAACTTGACCAAAATAGGGCCTTCAGATGCATCTATGACTAGTTCTGATATATTTGTAGCTGACAAATTTGAACCATTATAAGCCAGTAGTCCCAACACTGGAGCCAAATAGGTATAATTAGTCAAAGGGTAGTACCTGGAGGATCTATTACCCAGATTTTGGTACACCAAAACAAGCCTTTCCACATATGGACTCCCAATAAGTCCCTTGGGAATTTCAAACTCATTGTATGGGTGGAACCCTTTTCTCCTTAAACTTCCACTCCTTAATCTCAATGCTGCAACCTCAATCCCAGTCAAATTGGAAGGAAGATGGGTTCCATTGTAAATGATACCTGTTTTTGGATTCACCAAAGCCCTGTAAGCATATTGTTGCAGAAGTGCATCAAGAGCCTTTGCTTCTTCCCTTGTTGAAGACCCAGGAGAAGTAGTAGTAGACTGAGCCCTAATACCAGGAAGTGATGCAAAGCACGGAACAAGAATAAGAATGATTACTAGACTTGGAAGAAGCTCCATCAATGCTTAATTTAGGGAATATTGGAAATTCGGCTCAATGTGGTTTCTCTGTATTTGGTATTCACCTTGGACTCGCAGATACAGCCCCAATGCAATATCACAAACGAATAGTTGATGATAACCAATAAGCAAGAAATCTCTTCAAATGGGTCTTAAAAATGAGAACTTGTAGGCACGTTTTGCTGTAATAAAGAAAAATATTCTCCTGGGGGAGCAGACGTATGAAAGCAGCTTTGAACGTTTCAACCGTTACAATGAAACTCTTCTCTCTCAAGAATCCTTGCAAAAGGCAAAGCCAAAGTGGCAAAGATTCACTCAACTCTTGGCAATCTTCTCCTGATTCTGAGCATTTCATTCCCCTCTCTCTCCCTCTCACTCTCTCAACTCCACCAAATCTTACACGGGCTTGAGCAGTTAAGGCAATTATTGTGTAAACTTTAAGGAGAATTATTGGGAGAGCAACAAAACCTGAAACTGAAATCAATGCTGTTCATCAAACTGAGATTCCAAGAAACAAGATCCAGGACCCCTTTAGATTTGGCAGCTGTTACTCAGCAAAAGTAAGGCAAACAAGAGTATTACCTGAATAAATAAATAAAATAAAAAGTGTTTTCCTTTAGCTATGTGTTGGAACTCGAAACTGAAAACACAAGCACCATGCACTTCAAAGCAACTCCAAACTAGAGGCAACCAAGGAGTTAAGCTTGTAGAGGATGCCAACAACAATAATCTTCAAGAAAATTATCCTTGGTTGTGGCTTGGTCATGAGAGTGGCAGCCCCCATTTGGTAAATCTAGAGGACAGTGACATGGGAAGTCAAGTCCTAGTTAATGATTGATAGTGGTAGATGCCTACCCTGGACAAACTCATTTCTTTGCTTTTCTTTTGTTTATGTATGATTTCTACAGTGAATGTATTATTTTCCTTCTGCTTGTGTAGCAGCATAAGAGTTATAGTGGGAAGAGAAGGATAGGTTGTGTTGGTGTGAAAGTGCCAACTGTTGCTTGTGACTTTTTGAGTTGTGTGTGTGTGAGAGAGAGAAAGAGAGAGAAGAGTTTCTAGTTCTGGATGCACCCTACACTACTACACTGGACTCACCAGCAAAGCAAAGAGCAAAATAAAAACAATAATGATAACAAAAGACAGAAAGGCAATGTGCTGTGAGTGAGAAAAAGGGCAAGAAAGTGAGATGGGAAACAGAATGAAAGTGTTCATATTCATATATAATTCATTTTTTTCTGGGCCACTCACTTGTCCTCCATGTAGGAATTACTAACAAGTTCATTTCTTTGCTCAAATATTTCCTCATACACTCAATTTTCACAATCAAAATTCTGATATCAGTATCAATAATTGAACCTAAATCTCACGCATATATACAGATAGATTTGGTTTCAATTTAACAATACTGTTAATGGGATTACTCTATCTTAAAATCTAGTGCTATCTAGAAACATTTTTACATACTATAATATAGAAAGATAGGAGATCCTAATAAGTGATACAAAAACTGAAACCCTAAAATAAAAAAGTTTGTATTCATGCTCAAAAGGCTAAACATGATTAGTTATGTCCTTTGAGATTGAACCCTTTGAGGCCAATTTTAATGACTTTATGGTTGCCGTCTAGGTTTTGCTGATAAATTTTATCTTAATATTAATATTAAGGATTAAAAATAGTAGATGAATGAAAATAACAAAATTAAAAATTATTGTGATTTAGATAATAAAGAAAACATTGTGGAGTGTGTGACCACTTCTGATATAATAAGGAGATACCATATCAATGTCAAAATCTGCCTCAACCAACTAAAAATAAAAGTACCTTTGTATTATCTTTCACTATTTTCTTTTTCTTGTCTAAAATATTTGAATAATGGATAATAAAACCTTTTTTTTTATTTGTAGGGTTGTTTTTAAAAATTCGCATATTTTTTCGGATTTTATTCACATGCTAGCTCTCAGAATTCAAAAACTAATTAATATATTATTGTTTGATAGATTTATGTCAATAAATAAAATAAATTAAATTAAATAAAAAAAATCTTTAGACTTTTGTAGCAACTTGGACGAAGGATAATGAAAGAATATGGAGCCACCAAGCAGAATGTTTACTCTTGAGGGTAGGTTAGGACGTATTAAAAAAAAAATAGTAACAATTATCTATAAATAAAAAAAATATTATTATTCATCGATTAAAAATTTGTTAAATTTTTTTTATAAATTATTTTTTTCTACTTTAAATAATTTTTTTAGGATCTTTTAAAGAAGATTTTAATAAAAAATTATTATGAATTCATATATAAATTACTTAAAAATTGGGTTTATACAATATTATTTTTAAATAATTTTCTTTTATTTTAAATTACTTAAACGCGAGATATATAATAAAATATTTATTTTTATTCGTAAAATTTATAAAAAAATATTTTTTATTCTTAATTATGGGAGAAAGATAAAGTTAATTAAATATATTTAGTTCGTAATTAGCACTTAATTAACAGCATAGATTTGACTTGTGGGGCAATGGTAGCGCGTCTTCGGAGCGCAACAACTTTAATTGCGTTAATCATGCATGCATGCATGCTTTAAGAGAAAACTTTTTAATGTTTAGCACTTGATTCAATAAAGATTTAAATAACACTGCAGAAAAGGCTTTTTACATCGGTTAAAATGGACTTTCGACGTCGGTTAAAGCGGCGACATAGATACGAAGTCATAGAAAGTAAGGTTTTCTATGTCAGTTCCTAATAACCGATGTAGATACGTCGGTTAATAGGAACCGACGTAGAAAGTCTTACTTTCTTTGAGCTATTATGATCGGTCAAACTTGTTATGATCGGTCATAAAGCTATCTTGATCAATCATAACAGGTTCTAATCGGTCACAGAAAGACTTTCTACGTCGGTTAGTCAGGGAACCGACGTAGAAAGTCTTATTTTGTATGAGTTATTCTGATCGGTCATAACTGGTTCTGATCGGTCATATACTTTCTATGTCGGTTAACACTTATAACCGACATAGAAAGTACTTTCTACGTCGGGTAATGACATAACCGACGTAGAAAGTGTTATTTTTTTTTAAAATACCTGCATTTTATTTACAGATGCTACCTTTCTTCGAGTAGACCTGCCTATTCATCATAGTTCCAGACAAATAACCACATATCCAGTATAGACAGATATGCACAGTTCATATATAAATTTGCTACAGATATATATCCAGTACAGACAGATTCAGTTGCAGACAGATATGTACATATGAAACACATTGAAATGAATATATGTACAGACAGATCTAGTTCCAGACAGTTCATTTACTTAAACGAATGTAAATTTCCTAACTTAAATCAATTCTATCTAAATTGTTACAAGTTAAATTTCCTATGAAGATTGAATGCTTAAATTTCCTATCAAGTTGGAGCATTCTCCCAAAATCCTTCCATATGGTCATAACGGATGGCATGCACATCATCTATTTCTACATTAACACTCAAGTTTGGCATATTTGAAGAGAAACATGGTGTCTCGGGTATATCAAGTACTAATTCATCATTCTCATCGAAGTATACATGGGTTTTCCTTGTAGAACTACTGACCATCCTTTGTTAGCGGGATCGGTGACATAAAACACTTGTTTTGCCCGAGATGCCATGATAAATGGTTCTTCGGTATAACGAGTATTTTCAAGGTTAACCAAGGTAAATCCAAGATCATCGGTGAAGATGTCGAGTATTAAAATCAACCCACTTGCATTTAAAAATAGGTACTCGAATATCGTGTAATCTATTACCCAAATCTCTTCAATTACACCAAAGTAGCCCATTGATGCCCTTATCGGATATTTATCCTTTGAACTCGAGAAATGCATTGATTCAGCCACCACCATGACTCCACTATTTTGCATTGTGCTTATTTCATCTTCTCCCTTTGTATAAAATGAATAGTTATTTATATCATACCCCACCCCAACATATCACATCAAAGTTTGGCTCACATGCTAGCCACTTTAGTGTATCAAAAGCTGTATTGTCACCTTCAACTTGTTGTTTAAACCACTTCAAAAGCTCTTGTTGTGTTCAGTGATCACCCACTTTTTAGGCATACGTGGATTATTTCGCTTCACAATCTCTTTATGAGCACTTAAGTAGGGGATGACTTCTTCACTGTTATTCAATATGTACAAATGCGCTTGAAGTACTTCATCTCGACACATTGTCACAACTTTTGCACCTCGAGTTCCTCTACCAAGACCTATTCCATGGTAACGAGTCTTAGGTAACCCTATAGCTTCAACTTCTGATAAGTAGTTTGTGCAAAACTCAATAGCTTCCTCTGCAATATATCTTTGAACAATTGATGCTTCAGGACGATTTTGGTTCTTCACATACCCTTTTAATATTTTCATGTATCGCTCAAAAGGGTACATCCATCGTAAGAAAACTGGACCACAGATTCTAACTTCCCTGGCTAGATGAACAATCAAGTGAACCATAATATCAAAAAATGATGGAGGAAAGTACATCTCAAATTGACATAATATTACTGCAGTCTCATTCTCTAACTGATCCAAAACATCCGGGTCCATAACTTTACTACATATGGCATTAAAAAAAAGCATAATCGAGTTAAGGAATATCTAACATTGTCTGGTAAGATACCTCGAATAGCCACAGGTAGAAGTTGTTGCATCAACCAATGGGCTTAAAACATCTTCAACTCTTCAACCAATGGGCTTAAAAAAACATCAATGTCATTTCCAGGTTGTCTGGGACCCGAGATCATCAAAGATAGCATCAAGTACTTACGTTTCATACACAACCACGGAGGTAAGTTGTAAATAACTAACACCACAGGCCATGAACTATGTATACTGCTTAAATTTCCATATGGATTCATTCCATCTGTAGCAAGTCCAAACCTAATGTTTCTTGGATCATTACCAAAATTCTGGAAGATGGAATCAATTTTTTTCCATTGCAATCCATCTGCCGGATGCCTCAACTGACCATCTTTAATACGACTATCTGCATGCCATCTAGTGAGCTTTGCATCATTTCCATTAGTGAACAATCGTTTCAACCTTTGAACAATGGGAAGATACCATAACACTTTTGTCGGGGTACCCTTCATAACATCATTGTCAGAATCACCATCCTTCTTCTTGTATCGTGATTCCCCGCATTGTGGACATTCGTGACAGTTCTCAAATTCTTTCCTGTACAACACACAATCATTCGGACATGCATGAATTTTTTGGTACTCCATACCCATTGGACACAATATCTTCTTAGCATCATAATTGCGGGTTGGCAATGTGTTACCTTCAGGGAGCATGTCACTCAACAACTCAAGCAATTCTGTGAAACTTTTATCAGTCCACCCATTCTTTGCCTTCACATTGAACAATTTTAGTACCGCCGACAATCGTGTGAACTTAGTACAATTTGTATACAAAGGCTCTTTTGCATCATTGGACAACTTCTCGTACACATGTGTGTGTTGGAAGACATCTTGTCCAAGCTCACGAATCATTTCCTCCAGCTGATCATCCATCTCTAGATCAACTTCTTCTTTGTCTTCTACACTTGGCATGTGTTAATAATTCACCATGCTATGTCCACTTTATGTAACTCTTTAGGAAACCATCACAAAGAACATGTTCCCGAATAACTTCAGTCGGTAATCTTCGCTCATTCAAGCAGTTAACACAAGGGCAATAGAATCTTCCATCATTATCCGGAACATTCATCTTAGCAAATTCAAGGAATTGTTCTACTCCACTCTCATATTCATTTGTTGTTCGTCTGTAATTGATCCAACTCCGATCCATTGTTACAAATCTAATTTTCAAAATCAAATTAGCTACAGAAACACGAAATAACTACATTATAATGCCTACACAAAATCCAACTCCACTCTCAAAATAACTACATTATAATACAAATCTAATGTTCAAAATCAAAATCACGAAAGAATGCCGACAGAAACACATTCAAATGACTAAACTACTTACAATACATCTCTAAATTAGCTAAAGGCACCCGTGATGTTTCCCTCTCTTGACAGCATTATTACTTACTAGATTCAATACTGTAAACCTACATTGGCTAAAGCAAGCACAAAAACTTACCTCTTGAAGACCTACAGAGGTGGCAGGTGGCGTGACGTGCAGAGCTGGGTGGGGAGAAGCGTATCCAAGGCGACGGGCACCAGTAGCAGCAGGCGGCACGAAGCGTTGGCAGGTGGCGTGACGAGCAAATGTGGGTGCGGAGAAACGTATACAAGCGAACGGGGGAGCTCTGGTATGGGTGAACTGATGAAAGGAAATGGAGCGTAGGAGAAACGTACAGGGGAGCTCTGCTATGGGGGGGAAGTGATGAAATGAAATGGAGTGGGGGAAGTGATGAAATGAAATGGAGCGCGGGGGCGGGCAAAACAGAAGATACTATGTCGATTGCCCTAACACCCGTCATCAAAGACACTTTCTACGTCGGTTAAAATTTACCCAACATAGAAAGTTCATTTTCTACGTCGGGTAAATGTTACCCGACATAGAAAGTTAACTTTCTATGTCGGGTAAATTTTAACCGACGTAGAAAGTGACCTTTCCACTTACTATGTCGGTTAAAACTTACCCGACATAGAAAGTTTATGATTTTATTACAAAATTGCCATCGCGCCACATACTATGACGGGTGGATTACGACCGTGATAAAAACCCGTCATAGAAAGCTATTTTTCCACTAGTGTAAGTTTTTCTAATCAAATATTATTACATAATAAATCATATGTTTTTATCGTTTTATGTGTAAAAAATAATTAATGAAAAATGGCAAGAAATCAAAACATTTTTAAGCTTTAAAGGAATGAATGAATGATATACAAACTAATTTTGTAAACTATACAGATATTTTTGTTGTCATCTAATGATTGGTTAACCCTATAAAAAAAACTTATTTTGTACTAATAATACGCGTTTATAGAACTAATAAAACTCACATAAATTCTATTGGAAGCATAAACATTTATTATTTTTCTAAGAGTTTGGAAGTAGAAAGAAAATATGTGGACCATGGTCCATTTAATCAAAAACCAAATGGATTGGGACCAGCTAAGAAGATATTGATCTCTTTGAGCATATATTTCTTTACTCCTACCCATTTAACTTTTGAATTTTATAACAATGAAAAATAGGTTAAAAATGAGTAACTAATGAGGAGAGTTTATGGTGGTAATAAATGCAAATTATGCAAATAATTTTGGGTTTGTTGAGGTGTCAATGTGATATGGAATTTACTAAATAGCAATATTTTAAATAAAGAAGAAGAGAATGAAAATTGAAGAGAGGGGCCACCTTGCAAAAAATTCCAAAACAATTCACTTAATATTTATGCATGCACAAAACCAATGTCAAATGGTATATTGTACTCTCTCACGTGCATAATCATATTTTTTTATATTATTATTATTATTATTATTGTTGGTAAATGGAGGAAAAGAGGTCCACATGCATGATGCACCAAGGGCACATGCTTTGGCCTTGGCATTTGGAATTGGCATGCGATGTGGGATTGAGATATTATAATTTTTAACTACCCAATGTCTACCAATTTTTTAATATTTATAGTTATTTAAATATTATAATAATGCACTTAAAACCTTTTTATAGTTATTTGTTATATTTAACCTCGTTTTTTTTCATTGCATAACGTGACACAATTCAACATATATTATCACAGGGACAGAGTCACATTAATGATGTAGCAGCGGTTCAAGGCCACACTTCTGACACCATCAAACAAGGATTTGCAAATTAAGGGCCCAGGACACATTAATGATGTTTTTTAACCCATGCAATGTTTTCTAAATTTGTACCTTAATTATAAACATAGTTTCACCCTCATGTCTCTAATAATGTTTTCATACCAGTTAATAAATCCTTCTTCTTATAAAAGTAGGTATGAAAATATAAAGTTTTCCTCCATTATTGTAGTTTCCATGCTTTCCAAGCAATAACACAAAAAGACAGAGAGGAAAAGGGACTCTTTAATTGCCCTTTCTTTGTTCCTATTTCCCTCGTGTGTTGGTGAAAATGGAAAGAATCCAAAGCATGTGAACCAAATTTTAAAACATATATTTGGATGTTCTACATTCAACAACTTGTTAATTAACTCAATTTTACAAACATATATGAGATTTGTATTTTATTTAACCTATAATTATTTTTTAATAGGGTTGGTGGATAATTGAAAAGTAGTTTTTTTTTTTTTTTTAAAGTCCACAAGTGCCATTATAGGGGGTGTTGTTGTGGTTGGGTGTACCAAAAATAAAGGATCCTAAGGACTTTGTCCTCCTTTTTGGGCCAGGCTACCTCACATTTCCAGTTCTGTTCCACTCTAAGATATAGCTCTCTAGCAACACTATTCAAATAACAAAGTATTTAAAGATAAACATTTTAGGATCAAATCAAAGACATAAATATAAAAAAAATGGTAAAAAGATAAAATTATAAATATATAAATAAATATATTAAATAATTATTAAGTTTAAGAAGGGATGAAATCATATGAGAATTAGAATTGATGAAAAAAATCAAAGACATAAATATAAAAATAAAAATAAAAGATGGTAAAAAGATAAAATTATAAATACATAAATAAATATATTAAATAATTATTAAGTTTAAGAAAATAAAATCATAAATTATATGAAAATTAAAAGTGATGAAAAGATAAAATTATAAATATATAAATATATATATTAAATAATTAAAGAACCAAAATCATAAATTAAATTAAAGTTATAAAATTAGGAGAATTACGAATCTCTCTAATCATAAATTCCAAAAATGAAAATAATAAATTATAAAATACATTTATTTTTTTAACCATCACTGTTAACAAAGATGGACTTTACAAATGTATACATGGTAATACTTTTAACATCATTAATAACTTTTATATATATATATATATACATATATATATATATATACATATATATATATATATATATATATATATATATATAAAATGACACTTTTACACCAATCCATATGGACGTAAAATAACACATAATTTCATTCAACACAATACTAAAAAAACACCAGGATTTAAATTATTTATCGTCAATTTTATATATAATTTATACGTTTATAAAAAATTCAATTACAATATGATTTATACATTTTATTGTAACTTTAATTACATAAAACAAATATGTGTTTTATGTAATACACATGCGAAAGTACCAAGTTAAAAGTATTTGTTAAAAATAATTGGTAAACTAGTTGTTAAATATATATAATATAAATAAATATATTCAAATAGTTGATCTTGACTTCAGTTTTTCTCACTATGCATCTTTTTCAGATGATTTAATTATCTATTTTTTAATAATGATAATATTGATAAAATTATTCCTCGTTGAAATAAGAATTAATATTAATTAAAACTTTGGATGAATATAAGATAGATATTGCTTATCCAACATAATTAATTTTATATTCAAAATGATATAACCAAAATTTAAATCTTGAATTACTTTAGAAAGATAAAAGTATCGATCCGAGTCATTTACATAAATTTATGACAAAAGAGAACGAATGTGTAATGAAGAGAATGCTGAAATCATAAATTGTAATTTCAATTTTATTAAAAACATAGTTGATTTGCTAGCTCATCAACTCTCAGCTAACTTATCAGTTAATTATGGCAACCATATTTTCAATTAACTTATTATTAATAAATTTATCATACATGATAATATTTTGATCAAACATTGTTAAATAAAATACTTTTTTTTTAATTTAAATAATTGTCATTAAAAGCAGTTTTTTCTCATCTAATTATTTTTTCACTCTTTCTCTCGGGGCAGGTTTTTGAAGAGTTAAAATGCGACACACTATTATATATTATTATCATAAAAGATTTAAGATTATTGATTAAAAAAATTCCATTGATAAATTAATTTTTTAGGATAGGATATAATATAACAAGGATGATGAAGATAATTGTAGATTTCATTAAAATCTTATGACTATTTTAATAATTGATTAGTAATAAACCATTGTAATTAAAAGTGTAGGTTTGTCCATAAAAGTGAAATATAATTTTGGTGAGAAAATGAAAGGAAGTGAGATAACGAAAAGAACCATTTTGAATGTGTGTTTGTGCGTATAATTGTAATAAAAGATTAGATATTTATTATTGCAGAGTGTGAAATGGGAAATGATAATTGGGGACGATAAAGCGAAGGGCAAGTATAGCATCCGAAATGGTTGCTTCTCTCTTTTCGTTATATGGTTTGTCCTGTAGCGACCCCATCTTTGTCTCTCTCTCTTCCCTCTCTCTCTCTCTCTCTTTCTCTCTCTGTGGCGCTTTTCCCTGCACACCACAGCAGAGAACAACACCATCCACCCACCACCCACCCTCGCTTCCTTCAACCACCGCCTTCACTCTCCTCACTCCACACTTCTCGTACCATAACACAATCCTCAGCAATCCCTAATCTTCCTCTCCCATAACCCAAACCCTAGGCCCTCTTTCATGATTCACAGTTAGGGTTATGGAACCCAACAACGCTGACGTTTTCCGACCTTCCTCTTCTCCCTCCTCGTCCCCCAACGCAAGACGGATTTCCGGGATTTTGTCACCGTCTAATATCATTCAGGCTCCTTTATCGGCACTATTGGAATATTCCGGCATCCTTCCGTCGCGCTCCTCCAACCACCACAGCCAGCCCGCTCCCGACGCCGTTAATAATGACGACGAGGTTTCGATTAGGATAATCGGCCCCGCGGAGCAGGAGCAGCACCCCCGGGAGGAACAGCAGAGCCCGCCTCCTGCTGCGGGATTGGTCATCGGACTCGCGCATTCGCAAAACGATGCCGTGTTGCCGTCCGCGTCGCCTCGTGGAGACGCTGAGGAAAACGCGGTCTCCTCTGGGGACGGCGTTGGGAGAGATTCGTCTTACCAGAGGTACGACATTCAGCATGCTGCCAGGTGGATTGAGCAGGTCTTGCCGTTTTCGTTGCTTCTCTTGGTAGTTTTCATAAGGCAGCATTTGCAAGGTGCGTTTTTGAGTTACTGTTTTCTTGGATTAACGTTTTTTGTTTGTTTTGATTTGATGATGTTGAGGAATGAATGAATTCAGGGTTTTTTGTGACAATTTGGATTGCGGCTGTGCTTTTCAAGTCCAATGATATTCTGAGGAAACAGACTGCGTTGAAGGTGTGATGCTTGTTCTTTGTGTGTGGTGGAGAAGCAATTAATGTTGTTAGGGTGTATATGAGAATTGTGTTGTTTATTGAGTGTATTTGTGTGTTTGGTTTTGGCGGGTGCAGGGAGAGAGGAAAATACCGGTTTTGATTGGGATTTCTGTTGGGTTCGCGCTTCATGTGGTTGGTGTTTATTGGTGGTATCAAAATGATGATCTCATGTATCCCTTGATCATGCTTCCGCCCAAGGATATACCGCCTTTTTGGCATGCAATTTTCATCATCATGGTCAATGGTGTGTTTCTCATCCTCTCCCTAATGATTGCTTGCTTGCTGCATGGTTTATATGGCATTTTAATTTTGTCTCTACTTGCTATGGAGAGTGCTTGAGAGATAGTCATAAATGAGTCGTACTTTAAGTCTTGTCTTCTAGTTATCACTCCTTCATGTGTTTTGAGGTTTGTGCTTTTAGTTTGTTGAAACTATTGAATAGTGTCCTCATTAGCGACCTGTGTGTTATTTCTTGCCTTAGAATGAGTTATTCTAAGAGTGGCGACATAGTTTTTTAACTGTTGGACTAACTTGTATCCTTTCTCCATGATTTTGTTGTAAAATGATTTGTGCTTCTTTTTAGTTCATTTTGGTTTAAATGTTGGTGAACTGATATGTGACTGCAATTAGTATGACATCACATAACTACTTTTGTTATGGAAACTCTTGCTTGTTGCAGATTTTGGAATTATTTATTTGTTCTTTGGTTGAAACTCATTGGGTGATTAACATTGTTGCTTTGTCATTGTGTTTTAAAATGTCAGATACTTTGGTCCGCCAAGCTGCAATGGTATTCAAGTGTATATTGTTGATGTATTACAAGAATAGCAGAGGCCGAAGTTACCGTAAGCAGGTGAGGTAATAAATTATGAAGCACTAGGAAGATTGAGCTAAGCATTTGTGTGCGGGGGAATAGAAGAACCTTTTTAAGATGGCTTATTTCTTCTCAAGTTTAATTATAGTCAACATGTCTTCCCTATCTCTTGTAATATTTCCATGTTCAGGCTCTATATCATCTTTCTCATGTCATTACATTCTGATAGTACTATAATTTATTTGACAGGGTCAGATGCTGACTTTAGTTGAATATCTACTTCTGCTTTACCGTGCCTTGTTGCCAACTCCAGTTTGGTATCGTTTCTTCCTGAACAAAGAATATGGAAGCCTCTTTTCTTCACTGATGACAGGATTGTATCTAACATTTAAACTCACGTCTGTTGTTGAAAAGGTGTGTGTTGGTCTTTTAAAATGTGTAGATTCTATTTTATTTGAATGAAGGTTGTGAACTGTAATCGCCATAGTTTCCCTCCCTTAAACCATTATCATTAATATTCAACTATTGTCTTATATTTATCTGCCTGTCATGCTACCCTATTTTTTTTTTTCTAGTTTGTGCATACTTTGATTTATTTGAAACTTTTTTTAGTTTTCTGACTTTTTTTTTTTGTGAAATCTAAAATTTCAGTTCCAGGAGAAAAGGGATGAAAATGATTATGTTTGGGTCAGAAACTTATTTTTTTAACTTCCAAGTGGTTTTTAAATTTGATAAATAGAATAGCTTTTTACAGAGGAGATGTTTGGAAGAGTTTTCTCTCATATTTTCTGCTAAATCACTAGTTTAATTATTCATGAGAAAGTCCTAAGGAACCCAAAGTATAATGATGCCATTTAGCTGGACTTATGAAGGCACTCAGTTTCTTCTATTTTTTTGCGTTAAATTATCTGTGGATTGCGGCCCTCTGCATCTAGTTGGTTTTCTCTTATCTCTGGCGTGGTTGTCAGGTGCAATCCTTCTTTGCTTCAGTGAAGGCGTTGTCACGTAAAGAAATGCACTATGGGGCTTATGCAACATCAGAGCAGGTACTGCGAGTGTCTTCTTTTGATCATTGATTTTAGCGTTAGTCAATCAATCACTGAAGTTTCACTGTAAATTACATTTTTGCAAGTTAAATGGTAGAATTTGCTAATACCTAAGCAATAGGCATTTGCACTATTCACAATCTGTTAAGAATTTTATAGCCTGCTATATGCATGTCTGGGAGCAGGGAGTTATTCATGCAAATAATTTATCTGATGGCAGGTCAATGCAGCCGGTGATCTTTGTGCTATTTGTCAGGAGAAGATGCATGCCCCAATCTTACTACGTTGTAAACATATTTTCTGTGAAGATTGTGTATCAGAGTGGTGAGACTTGGCTATTATTTTTCTTGTCTTCTGGTCTGCATAACAATATGAAATTGCTATTTACATTTGGGTTGAATAATGTTAAAGTCAATTTAACACCACTATCTGAATTTTGAAGCTGGTGGTTTTAAATTCATATGTTGCTTCATTTTTGTATGATAAAATTTATGTTATGCCTTTTAAATGTTGGCAGGTCTTATTTTGCTTCCTGTTTTTTGGTTACTACACGTTAATACAAATATATTTATTTATCTATCTATTGTTTCTTCTGTGTTTTCTGGCACCTGATTATCTTTTTTTGCCAGGTTTGAGAGAGAAAGGACCTGCCCATTATGCAGGGCTATGGTAAAACATACAGATCTTAGGTCATTTGGGGATGGCTCTACTAGCTTGTTTTTCCAGTTATTCTGAAATATCATATATAAATACAACCCAGGAAGTTTTTTCTGCTTTGAAGCTTTGCTTTTTCAAAGCAGCAGTCGCGATCTATATACATCGACACATGTAAAATGCTCTGGAGGGCAATCGTGGGGATACTGAGAAGATGAATGCAGCCGAGTACATGCGTTCATTTAATGTACTAGTAAAAGGTTGAGTGTATCTAAATGACCCTGTAAACTAGGAAGTTGATTGAAAATATAATTAAACATGATTCTTCATTTGCAAGGAATGAAGGTCTCTTTCTCCAAATTGCATAGCTATTCTGTCATATAGTGCCAATCAATCTGTCAATTTTAAATATTCTTTTTACTTTTGAATTTCTCTGTATGTGGGTTTTGATGCACACCTCAAGGAGTGTTACCCACGGGCAGGTTATGGATGGTTAAAGATCTCACACTTTGGTGCATGTATTAAATCTGTCAAATTGTGGATACTAGTTTGTTTTTTAAACACTTAATTTGACCATGAATATGTACTGATCACAATGTAACACAACATTAGAAAAGCTTGAGCACCGCTTTAATTTGTTCAAGCCTAATGTGTAGATACGACTGCAATAAATTCCAATCCTGGGTATTGCAGACTTTTTTCTGCGGCAGAAATATCAGCTGATGACCATATTCTCTTTACTCGGTGTTGCAATAACTAATCAATTGTAAAGATGTTTTACATTGGGTGGTTGGGCAGAATTTCTTTGTACCTGAAATCTTGTAGCAATCAATGGTCAATATTTTGCAAGACGGGTAGAAGGAAAGAATCTGAACGATATTTAGAAAAAGTTTGGATTGGGAAGTATTTAGTGGAAATCAAATGATAAACAATTAAGTATCGGTATCTTTGGATAATGGATTATGTTTTTGCAAAACTCATAGATAAACTAAAACTTTTATATAAATTTAAAATTGTTTGTCTTGTTATATAGATTAAATCTAATATTATATATTTTTTAAAAATATATTAAAATATCAATAATTTGATTATTGTTTAATTTTAATAAAATTTGATAATAATAATAATAATATGAAGTTATAATTTAAAGGTTAAATTAACAAAATTCGCATTTTTAATTAAAATTCTTAATTATGTAATATTTAGTAAAAAATTAGGTAAGTGCAAATTTGATGGTTACCACTCTCTCCCAACCGCTCCATTTTTTTTTCAGACAGAATGAAGTTTTAAAGGGGCTCATATTTATAGTCTATCTTTCCCTTTCTACTTCAGACCAAACAGCGGATTCCTTCTTTAGTCTGTTTGCTTCTTTTCCTGCGGATCAAGCAAACCCTCATGTAAGATTTCATTGATTTAATCAACATAAACCAGTTGAAGTAATTAAGCTTTAGTTTCCTCCAGCTATGCATACACCCTCTTAATATATTTAAGGAATGGCAACTGTTTCACAAACTTTAAAGGACAATTTGTTTTGCATAGACTTTATTTAGATAATTATTTTCATAAACACTTAAATAAAAACGGAAAATATTATAATCTTTTTGTAAGATAAAACTAATTTAGGTATAATGGAAAATCAGATTTTAGAGAAATTAATAATGTATGAAAACTTTTATAAATTAGTTTATGTAATTTAATTTATTGGAAGAAATTAGTTTTACTTTCTTCTTTTGCAAGTGTTTAAACAAAGTTGATCCATCCCTAATAGAACATGTAATCCCAGATTGTGAATAAAATTCAATGCCTATTGTCAATTTAGAAGAGTAACTAATGGTTACCGAAAAATTTGCTGCAATGGATCATGTTTTAAAGAGGGTAGTCAAACTCTTGAGCTGAACCAAAGAAGACGTTCTGTTAAAGTGTTTCGAGTAAAATGTTAAATAAAATGTCAAATTCTGAATAGATCCAGTTCCAAAAAATTATGATCGATCAATCAATACATTTTGTTCAAAAGGAATTTGCCAAACCAACCTCACCATGAAATGAAAGTCTCACACACAACAAAAAATATGGCTTTCTCTTCATATACCCCCACTCTCTTTTCCTCACATTGCAACAAGGTGAAAGACATAAATAAACGTTCCAAAGCATGCACATATTTTCCTCAAAACAAGAGAAGTTCATCTAAGGCTAAACCATGAAAAGGAAAGAAAAGAAAAAGAAAGGAAGAAAGAAAGATGTCATTTTGTATGTGGAGAAACTGAGACAGTAGAAGGAGCCTCATCTTCTATCACAGTAAATAATTCTTTTGACAGCATAGGTGGCCTTGGTGACAGCAGAACATCCTTGTCAGGTGATGAAGAGACTGATAGCAACCGTGTCATCCCAGATGAATCTGAAGGGTAAACTTCAGTAACTTCTTCCATGCCCTCATTTATGTACACCACATCCTGCATGGTCAGCTGATGGTACTCCACAATTTCTCTTAAGAAACGGTTCTCCCTAGAATATGTCTCATTCTCATTCGCCAGACGAGCCTTCTCAGCAAGAAGTGTCTCCAATTGATGCCTTATCTGAGCACATCACAACAAAATAGAGTTCATTTCTAAAACAAGTTAAAGTAGAGAATTATCAAACTGATTCATACCATATCATCTTCATCTTCACGGTTCTGTCCCTTCTCACTGCCCTCTCGGTCCCGGAGTATTTTATTTTCTTCTTCAAGTTGAGCACACCTTGCTTTAGTAAAAGCCAAATCTGCTTTAACGGATTTTAGTTCCCGAAGAAGTAATTTGGCTTTCGCAGCTGTTGCCATCGCCACCTGCAAAGCGAATGCAATTTATGATTCTCTAATCACATAAAGAAACCGAAACAGTTTATTCAAATAAACAACTATCACATGCTCAGTTTCATGTTCACGATCACAATCAGATGCAGAAGTTAAACTTAGTTTCCTGCATCTACATTGAGTATGAATTCCTATAGGTAACAAAAGTCACTCTTCTTATGCTAACTTAAAACTATTAACAACTCCAACAATATTATACAAGACACTGCATGCCTACACGACATGCACTAGTGAGGGCAGTGTCACATCATTACATAGTTGGCACCTTACGTCGCGTGATGCCTTGAGTTTCGTTTCATGGTTAGACAGCTTCTCTATCTGGGCTGCTTCTTGCAATGGGTTTCTCAAATCTGAAGTTTGGTTTGTGTCCCCGGAGTTATTTCCTTTTCTTCTGATTTGAGTTCTCAGATCTGCTGTCTTACTCTCCACAATTGTTCGGCCTTCCTGAAGAAATTAGAGAAGAATCATTGAATTGGAGAAAGTGATATAATAAGCCGAGTAACTAACTAAGAAAGTCTATTTGTACTCCTAATTGAGGTATGAATATCTGATGCACCGTTGAAACATGAAATTCAGATAAATTTTCATCAACAACTGTATTGCGTTTAACTCTGTTGTTTGCAAACTACACTATTTTACACCGTTTTAACAGTGATAAACGTGGTTAAATTATTGGTTAATAAGATGTATAGATTGATAAGCAGGCTAATAATATGTTACCAATGTATTAGTAATTTAACCACTTTATAATACACCTTGATATCTAATTACTGTCATTATTAACCAGGATTGAAACGACGTGAAAATTTTGTGTCTGCACGAAACGTTTCTGGATTGTGACGGTGGAAATGGCAATGTGCATCAGTGCAAACATAGATGAACTAGAATTGTGGAGAAAACCCACTATTAAAGGGAAGTGTACATGATAAAGGTAAGTGTGTTTACCTCAAAAGCCTTCTCAAAAGTGTCACCTAGTTGATTGAGGGATGAAGTAATTCTATCCAAGCCCTTCCGAAATTTAGGATTCTCCACTTTTCTGTTAATGTCGAGGGATTCATATACTGGCCTTAATTGTGAAGGAGAGTTCTAAGTATGTCAAAGAAAGAACACAGAAATACAAAAGTTAGTTTTTGCAGCAGCACTGTATCGTACATACTATGGGTCTTCCTGCATTTTATATAACATAATATCGAGTGAAAAAACACCAAATTATACATGACAATCACCTGAGTTGCAGAAGGGGCTGAATCGGTACTAGATGACTGTGATTTGGGTGTTTGGGGCTTGGTGTCATGTTCTGGGATTGGCTTATTATCATCATCCAGAATTGATTTGGCTTTTTGCGCAATCACACCCCAGAAACCAGACTTGGAGTTGCCATTTGTATAAGCCTCAAAGCTCTGCATTCATTCGAAGAATTAACTATATACATGTGTGTGTCAAAGTGCACTGAGATTGAAATAAACTTGATCATTCAATCAGGATTTATTACACTTTCACTTTACATATGCGCACATATATATCTGAACATATCAACTGATGGGAGGTAAGATTGATTACAATTTGACCCTTTAATCTTGCTAGAACGATTAAGATTAGATTTCCGTAAAATCAATTTCAATTCATCATTGTAGGATTGAGTCGTTCAGATTATCTCTTCACGTTTCATATTCTAACCATTTTATCTATCTATATACCAAATCAAGAGTTTCAAAGTTATCATGGGAAATTGATGACCACTATTGATCCAAAGGTTGTTCCTGAACAAAAAAAAACTAGACATATTGAGCATCCAATACCTTGGATCTTTGTTGGTCGGACTCAGGGGGGGAAAAAGCAAAGGAAAGAGAGGGTTGGTTACGAGAAGAAGAAGCTTTGACGGCTTGAGCTGCGAGAGATGATGAAGAAGTTGAAGAGGGAGGTGAGAAGATTGATGGAGAAGCATTGTCATGATCAGAATCCTTAACACCATCCAATGATGATGGATCATGAAATTCTTCCTTGAAAGTGGAAGCCCTGGATATACCTTGCCTTCTCCTGTATGCCATGCTACAACACCAACCTCAGATCACAAAAACCAGAACCAGGAGATTCAACTGCTACCCAACCAACTCTTCCTGTTTTTTTCTTCTTTGGTGGGGGTTCATAAAATGAAATGTTATCCATATAATATATTAATATTAACAAATGCTTCTTAATGACATATCATATAGACACACTGAGAGAGAGGAAAAATAGATGTTGCTTTTAACTGTAACGAACAGGTGTGTGGTGTGTCCCCTTCATTAACATATCTCATCTACACTCAGTAAATTATCAGTTACTGTTAATAGCTTCATAACCATATTTTTAATGATACATAACTAAATAACATTACTAAATTATACATGCTCTTAACCATTAAATTTTAGTCATAAGAAATATCAGGTTTAGGTAGGGATATAGTATATATAACCCTTTTTCTTTTGCTTTTCTCTACTCATAATTCCATTATTGCATGGGAATGGCAATAATGTTTATAAAAGGTATTATGGATGGATGGTCCATTGACTCTTATGTTTCTCCCGAAAAGAAAAAACATGGTCATATCGATATTTATGATGAAGTATCAAATCAACCTTCATAGGAAACTTTGTAGTAAAAAAATTATTGGGTATACTCTATATATAGTATGCCATATTTTATCAGTTTTCTTAAAATTTGTGTGTTCTGTTATTACAATGGTATGAAGTTCCAAGTCTAACCTTGGTTGAAAAATCAAAGGAGAGGGAGAGTCATGCGCGTTTGTTGACAACTCAACTCTTTAAGACAACCAGCAAAGCATAGAATTGTCAATAAACCAGTTCATTGAACAGATGTTTCTTCACAAAATTCTTGTCAAGTGATGCTTCTGTTCTTTTTTTTATTTTATTCAATCACTGATATCCCTTAGCCTACTATGTTAGAGAGTAATCTCATTCACAGTATTGTAAGTATTACTGATCTGAAAAGTTTTCACAGATATCTAAAATGGTACATCAAATTCCTGCTAAATATATTGTCTTCTCCATCAATTTCTTTTCATGCTTGACATCATTATTAATTCTGAACAAAGCTTTTTCATGTGGCAACTTTAGTGATGCCTTTCCCATCAAACGAACCAATTGTGTGGCAAGAATATAATTGTTTGGCTTTCCACTTAGTCCAACACTGACACCAGTTTTTGGTAGGCCTGAAAATGTAAAAATGCATGGAACTATCCATCCCTTAAAGTTCATATTTGATAACTTTTGAAAAAGTTTTCATCTTTTACTTTAATACAACAAGAAAACACTTTACATGGGCAACTAAATGTATAAGATCTATAGCCAAACATATATACATAGAACAATCTCAGTACTGAAATATTCTCTCATGTGGGCTCTTTCTTTTTCCCATACTTTTTTTCGATTGAACAATCTGAAATATCATAAATGCAAATCAAATATGTTTTATATTGAATTTTTTTATGCACAACATATTATAGGATTCAAAGGATAAATCACAAACAAATTTCAAATCTTAAAAGTGAAAATGATGGTTAAATAAAGGTAAGGAGTTGTAGGTGCTAGAGTTGGGTTCTTTGAGGGGATTTACGATAGAGAAATATATCAATAAGATAAGAGTTCAATTCAACATCAATCTTAACCTAAAACCTTAAGACACTATCTTATAAGTCGTACTTCTTTATATGTTACTAAACTTTTTCTTTACTATGTAACTCACACTTGCACTACCAAATACTTAGTACCAAGGTATGATACGAAAGAGAAAAACTGAGCTCAAGGACATTTTTATATTTTGCATATATTATAGAAGTGCATAAGAAATTATTAGGGTGCAGAAAGAAGGAAAGAGGTGAATAATGTGATCCACTATGTTGCATAATCTATTGGGCCAATATAGTGGACCGGGTTAATCTATTAAGGATCTGATTCTTGCACCCCACAGTTTAATCTTCACCTTTTCTAACGAAACAATGTATTTAACAAAAGATAAATTATTGGTGGGGCATAATGAAAACATGCTTATTGAGGCGGTGGTATGTATAAAATTGTTTATAGTTGATTAATACTATAAAAATATATAATAATTGATCTCAATAAATAAATTTTTACTTAGTGAAAAAAATTGTATCATAAACCATTTATAGATAATAGATTTTTTTTTAAAATCATGTTATTTAATTTTAAGAAAATCTTGAGAAGGCTTAGTGGAAAAAAAAGGATAGAAAAGTTCCAAAATAGTTGTTGCATATTATTGAAGTCCTTATCATTATAAAGATAAGTGATTTAAGTGAAGGTTTGGCAGCATTAGGTTATGGCACTTGGCACTATCCAATGGGACAAACCGACAAAAATACATTCTAATTGTAAATAATTATGAAGTGAAACCCATATACACTATTATTTTGTCATTATCTCTTTCCTATAATTTATTAATTACTTTATTTCTAAAACTCTCTTTATTATCATCTAATTATCACTATTAATGATTGTCATCACTAGTAATATTAAAATTTATAATCACACATTTTTCATCGGTGATTTGGTGATAACATTGTAATTAGATTTTTTAGAAAAATATTAAAAAAGAAAATGTATTAAGTCAAGATAAAGAATTTTTAATTTGTTTTTTTTTTTTATAAGAGAAAGTAGGTAATAACTAATGTTCACGCGTCAGAAAAACAGAAATAACAATCAGTAATTAAGTTTACACAAGAAAATGTAATGGAAATTTTTACCCGATTCAGAAGGTGATTTAACAAGAAACGATAACCAAACGTCGTCGTGTCGTGTGGTTCGGGGCGTGTTGACGAGGCTGGCGGAGTCGCCGGCTGAGGATTTGATAGAAAGAAAGAAAGATTAAAGGTATCATCTTTCACGACTCATTCTTCTTCCCTTCGAAATCAAAATCCAAACCCAACTTGTTCACTTCAGTTTTCGAACCCCTTTTGAAGTTCCTTCGCTGATCCAACTCTCTGCTTCTTCGCGCTAACTTTACACTCTCTTTCAGGTCATTTTTCTCTCACTCTTATGATTTTAACTCACAATTTTTGTGCTCTATAATACCGTCAAAAGTTCGTTGTTTACACTTCCCCCACATTGTTCCCGTTCTTATTGACGATTTCCGTCTTCTGGGTATTTCGTAATTGTAGTGGTTTAGTTGCGATTATTTGAGTATATGATAATACTATCTCATGATTATGCTTATTGATTGTAATGTTTCGCAATGTGCTTTACCTTTTTCCTGAATTCACGCGCTTTCCCATTTCCACTAATTATGTGCATTTAGAGTTAGAGATACTATGAGATAGACCTAAAATTGAACTGGTCAGCATCGGTCTGCCACTAATTGTGTGAGCTGTTATAGTCGTGATTTTAGTGATCTTTATTTTCGATGTAGGTGAATTGGAAGTGGAGTGATTTATGATTGCCTGATTTGATACTTATATTTTGGAAGTAAGTGTGTAGTATTGAATTTTCAACTTAGCACATAAGTTATTTTATATTTATTTTTTTCAGTTGTAGCTAAACGAGAGAGCGAAGTTGATTTTGATTCATTGTAACCAAACAAGCCAATGTTTGCCAAAATCATGTTTGTTCTGCGCAAAACCATTGTTTGGGGATTTGAAATGCTCAGGCCCCCCACACTATGAGCATTTCCATGTGCCTTTGATACTTGATTAAGGCTCTGCCTCTTAGTATCTTCTTTTTGAGCTTAACCTGCTTGATTTGATGGGATCTCGTTGGTCTGTTGAGTTCTGTCTATCTTAGATGCAGTTGGGTCGTAGTTCTAGGTATTGCTAATAATTATTGTGTCTTGCTAATGCTTAATTTAGATGCCTTGTTATTCACATTTTCTAGCTTGTTTGATTGCCTGCTTGGTTATCTATTATTGTCTTCGGTAATCTAGATTTTGCATGGGGTTTCAGATGGCTGCAAATTCTGGGAACATCTCATTTTCATCGTCTCAATCTAGTTCACAGGCCCATGGGGATACTGATTCTGTCCAGGTTGCAGTGTGTTCTCTTTGTCAAAAGGCCGTATCACATGATCATGAGATGGCAAGCGATCTTGCTAGCAGTGGTGTGTGCGGTGATTGTAAATTTTTGTTACTTGAAGAATTCGGGAATCATACAGTTACCCAAAGTTCACGAAGGAGGCTTAGAGGAAGATTCAGGCGCAACAGTTCTGAATCAACGGAGAATAGTTTCTCACAGCAGATTCCTCATGTGGTTAATACTGTGAGACAACATTACTCACCTGCTTCTGAGGAGGAGGATCAACTTGTAGATGATGACACATCTGCTTGGTCATCGCAATATGCTAGTACACAAAATACCCCTGGTGGGTCTAGAAGGTGGAGGCATGTTCTATCTGACACTGACAGTGATGGTTTTGATAATTGGACTTCTCCTTTTTATGGTGAAAGTGAATCAAGTGTGAGTTTTCGGTACAGGGTTCTCCATGGTGAGACAGATTCTTTCTCTCACAGTGCTTATGGAGGTGACTCGGATATTTCTATGGATACTCATAGTTTTTTTGGCACTGGAGTCTTTAATTTACCAGATGTGTTCGATAGTGACACTGACATTGATCCAATGCATGCTGGCCACAGCCAATGGATTTCAGATGAGGATGATGAAGAAGAGGATGAAGATGAGGAGGAGGAGGAGGAGGAGGAGGAGGAGGAAGAAGAAGAAGAAGAAGAAGAAGAAGAAGAAGATGGAGAGGAGGAGGAGGAGGAAGAGGCGGAGGAGGAAGAGGAGGATAGGGAATGGGAATTAGCTGAGGCTGAGGAAGCTGAAGCGACAGCCCGCCTTCAAATTTTTTTCACATCAAGTTCAAATGAGAGCAGGGATACCTGGCAAGCTTTTGAGGATAGTGACTTACCTCATGGAGCGAACTTTGGGGATTATCTTGATGCCAGACGTTTTGAAGATCTGCTTGAGCATCTTGCTGAGAATGACAGCTCAAGAAGAGGAGCACCTCCTGCAGCTGTGTCTTTCATGAAAAATCTGCCACGTGTGGTCATTGGCAAAGAACATGAGAAGCATGGTGAACTAGTTTGTGCCATTTGCAAGGATGTCTTTGTATCCGGTGCCGAAGTAAATCAACTCCCCTGCTCTCACCTTTATCACATTGATTGCATTTTGCCATGGTTGAGCGCACGAAATTCATGCCCTCTTTGTCGTTTTGAGCTTCCAACCGATGATAAGGATTATGAAGAGGGAAAGCAGAACATTGATGGTAGAAATGTGATCCATGAGAGGCAGCAAATAGATGTAACAGATGATAGTTCCTCTGATGGAGATGAGGTGAATGACGAGAATGGTAGTAGTCAAGATGAAATACGGCATAGGGTTTTGAGCTCAGATTCTGCCGCAATTTCTTCTACAACAAGAAGTCGTAGAGGAAGATGGTTTTTTCTTGCTGCAGCTCCAATTGTTAGCTTAGTGGGCATTGTTCTTGTATTGTGGTTAGGTAATAACTCTGATATTGAAGGAAATAGAAATCTGGGCAGTCATTACTTATCCGGGCAAAATCAACATGCTGTTCATGCTTATGCCACTCCAAACCAGAGGGAGAGTAGAAGCAGAAGATGGTGGTGCCCATTTTAAGTGCTCCTTGAATTGTTTATCAATAATGCCTCATGATGGCCACTTGGGATGAAATTTTTAACTGACTCATGGCGTGCCTTGTGTCCTCACTAATTCAAGAAGACATGTACAGATTTTAGTTTGTAATACCTTATATGTTTTCTGACTCTTGTTTCCTTTCTTTCCTAGTTTGTGCTTCAAGGACCCAATGTCTGAATATTTGATCTTTCGTTGATGTTTTAGTGTGTTGGACCATTATCATTCAATTGACGGAAGTTTCTTAGCTTGGAAAACACCATTGTCACTACTATTATTATAAGCTTATTTTATTGCAAATTTTCCCAGCTAAAAGTCCATTTTTTCAATTTGGCAGGTTTTGTCAGTTCCATAATTAATTCATAGAACTCCCTGCGAATTGAAATTTTCATAGCGTGTTTAGATTACAATATCATTGCATTTCTTGCTGCCGATTTACCCATTTGTTACGTACGATTTTGCCAGTTAGACTTACAACCTGTTTATTAAGTCTAGTTTTCGTTGCAACCGCGCTTCGACACAGATTGAACATGCAACATTAACTACAGAATCAACTTTCTGTTGGAAAACGTTTCACAGTGCATGGAACGCCGAGATGTGGCAACATGGTCAGGAAATTATGTTTCCAAGTGTACACAATTAGGTCAACCCTTAGTTCATTTGATTAATCGAGTTTAATGTTAGTTTTCCAGTTCGTTTATTAAACTAAATAAACAAATTTGAATGACTCATTAACTAGTCAAATCAACATAGTTTATGAATAACTAACATCCTTACTCTCTGAGATTGATATAAAGAAGTTCTTAATAGATTTAAGGTGCAGTACCATATATTTTTACTTTTATGCATTAAATATAGAAGTTTTTTTGTTTGATTGAGATAAAGTCAAATCCTTAAATGGTTCATGGAGTTGATTAATCTCATATATGTTTGAGAAACTTTTCCTACAAAATACTTAAAGAATAAAAAATAAAATCAATTTTTCTATAAGATAAAATTAACTTGTATATAAGTTAATCAATAGGAATTGTTCCTATTAATTTATGCAAAATCTGTATTTTAACTCGTGCAAATTAAAATTGTGAAAAATATTATCATAACACTCTTCTAGTCTACGTACTGGTTTCTGTGTAATTATCCATGTACAGATGGAAAGAGTTTATAAATTCTTTCTTAAAGTCGAGTAACACCAGCGACAAAAATAAACAGGCAAACAAATTTGTCTGAGGACCAGCTATGACAAACAATTCTCTTATAATGCAACAGCAAAGGTTGTCCTTTTGTGTTTTAAACAATTCGAAAACAAATTGAGTCACTATGTGTGTACGGTGCAGCCTCTATTCAGGCATATGGCATGTGAATATAATTATTGATGATTCCTCTCTTCCATTCTAATAATGCATTGAAAAATATATTCTTCTATATTGCTGCAGAATGGGTTCTCCAAACCATTTTGTAATAGTTAATAGACCAACGATCATTAATTTGAAGTGTTTCCCAGCTTTTGTGAACTATGTGCCTCTAATGAACGAACAACAATCAGTACACAGCAGACATGTTCATCTTGCTCATCATATAAAGACACTATATATATAAAATATTGATGTTTCTCCACTAATATAAACATGAAATGAACAAAATGAATAGGACTAAAACACAAAAATCATGTAAACTATGATGGCTCTCTACAGTCTCAGAAAAGTATGTTTAGATATAGAATAATCCATCCTGCCATTGAGAATATAGCAAAGACATGAACCCAAAACAGTACAGCTGCTGCATCCCTTCCACATCCTCTTAAATTAGCAACAGCACCTGTGAACAAGTAAAATATTTGTGTAAAAAATCAACAGAAAATTACATGATCTGTAAAAGTCCAACTTCACATTTTTTTGTTATTTGTTAACTAGTTTATATCAACAATCTTGTTTACAAAGGAGAAGAATCCTTGGAGCAAATTGAGACTAAAAAGCCAAAGCAGTAACTACTTCTGACCTTTCCCACCCACTCTGCTAACCCAATAAGAACCTGTGTTGCGCTAGTTATGTACGTGCTAGTTATCAACAGTGTGTTACAGTTTGTACTTTTAACTTCAAGAAAATGTCTAGAAAGGAGAAGGGTAGATTTGTGTGTTATACCTGCAAGGACAGATGTTGGCATTGAATGCTGAAGAAGCAGGACAAATCTAAACATCTTATCGTCAGGGGGAAGAAAACCCAACTTGTCAGCTAACATGACAATCCCCATTCCAACAGGAGGCACTAAAACTAACCGGGCAAAAATAATAGCAGCAGTTGTACGAAAACCAAGTTTTGAACTTCCAGGTCCTGCAACCAAGCCAAAATACCAGCCATGATTCGTTTAAAATTTTCAGTAAAAAAGTCATTTGACTCTTACAAACATGTCAAGCGACAGTGATCAAATGTAGTGAGAACACTATGACATAAGTTTACCATCAATAAGGTTGCCTCCTAGAGCCAACAGAATGCAAGGAATCATGGCCTCCCTGATCATCAAAGGAACTATTAGAATGTATCCACTATAATAGCATCATAGGATTCCTAAATGACTTCTATCTGAGAAATAATAAGATACTGTGACTTAGTTCTAGAACACATTTTATTGGATTTGACTTCTAGCTAAGAATGAAAATTTTAAAACATTTTGTTTGGAGAGAAAAGAGGGAGGAAAACAGGATATCCTCTTCTATAACAAAAGATGACTAGAAATAAAACATTGATCTGAAATAGTTTAAATTTTACATAGTTGTAAACCTAATTAAAAGAAGAATAGTTGGGTGAAACTATGAGTTACTACAGGACTACTCTTTGTTTTCCTATGTTGTTGCTTTGTTTTCTCAAATACAATGATTCAGCTGCCAATCCCATCAAAACTTCTAGCGAAGGACTTGAACCATCAATGTGACAGAAAATGACAATAAGTGATTGATTATCCTCTAAAAGTATTATCCACGGCCAAAAACAAAAATAATTTTTTTATAGGTAAACGTTGGTATGGTGTTCAATAATAGACTAGTGAATATTTATATTATAAAAGAAAATAAACTAAATTTCAGAGCACACTCTACATAAACATTCATTTCATTAATTAAATGCATACCCAAGAATTATGCAGCTGTCTGTGAAGAAGAACAGTGGAGCATCAGGTGTAAAGATCAGTCGCTTGAGAAATGGGACTGCCCCAATTGTCATTGCAAGGATCTGCAAAAATACGCAACACTTCAATCAAAAACAATTTCACAAATATGCCAACATGACACTGGCCTATTTACCACTATCCCAGTAAACTAGTTCACAACATCTACTTCAACAAGCGTACAGGTAATGCATTTGCTCTGCGAATTTGATTGTGAACGTAGGTAAAACATAGACATCAGTTTCCGGCTGATTTTTAACTATCTAGAAGGCATGGCATTAACAGTGAGGATACAGAAAAGTCAAAAATGGAAAAGGAAAAAATAAGCATAAATGGGTGTGTGTGTGTGTAAATCATATACACAGATTTGAGACAGGCAATGTGGGGTTTTCAAACAAGGAGAATCCAAAATATAAAATGAAAAAAGATAAGCCAAATACTAATGATAAGGTCAATAAAGAAAAGCTTACTGATGCAATGATAGGGGGTTGAAGAATTTGCTTAAGCTTCAACTTCTCATATAAGAATGTCAATAGGTCTTTAATCTGCACCAACAAACATATGTTAACCACATATCAAGGGAAGAATGATATTACGGTAACAGGCACTCACTAGGAATTTGAGTGCACAAATATATAAATTAAACCATGACAATAATTCAGAAGCCAAATAGGGATATTTTAGAAGTTGAATATGAAGGATATAAGAAAGAAAATTTCAAATCAGAATGCATGTCCAGATAAATTAGAGAACTAACTAAGAAAATACCATGAAACAGTATAAACACTAATTTTTACACAAAATTGGCACAATAGTCAAGTGTCATCTACTCATATCACCAGTGTGTACATGGTTTGTCAACATGAAACACTGAAACCATTCTCCTCTCAAAAAAAAAAAGTCAATCTCACCTCCCACTTCTTTGATGTATTTTGAGATGTTGAAGAGACCCCCTCCTCCTTAACGAGCAATGGAATTTGTTCAAGTGTAGCATCACCCATTGGAGCGCTCTTTAAGGGAACACTTTCAATATCAATATCAAATGTTCCTTCTGGAGGAGGTGCTAACATATTAAATACATATGTATATAGGATGATAGCACCGACCTAAGACAAACGATAATTAATAACTCCCAATTAGTACTAGGTTTATATATAGAATAATATTAAACATATTGAAAATTGATTAAGTAGTAAATGAACAAGATATCAACAACTAGGACAAGATACAGTAGTCACCAAGTTATCGAGAACCTACCCACTGACCAAAGGATATGTAGGCAGTTCCATCTTTGCTACATTTTTCCGAGTCACCAAAGGGATTGGATTGGTCTCGGCATAAAGCAGAAATCAGTACAAGTGGAACATTCCCAATATTCCCTGCGTAGCAATATGCAAGGTTAGGACTCGGGACAAAGCAAAACCAGCACATGGATTCAAACAACTCCTTCACTAAAGATGAAGGTGTCCATGGCCAAGTCCAAGACCCAAGCAAGATGCCAGACTGGGTTGACTCATGCTTGGCTTACCGATTCCAATTTGTACAATTGTAAACTTGAAGAAAGGGTAAGGAGGACGGATGATGGTGGCAACAACAAAACCAATGAGTGAGCCTGTTACGGAACCCAGAACAACATTCATAGGAATAAACCACCTGCATATAATTAAAGGTCAATTATACGGGGTGTGTGTGTGTGTGTATGTTTGGGTACAAAATAATAGAAAAGGGAAAATAAAAGTGGGGGATAGCTAACCAATCAAGCATCTTCTGCAAGGTCACAGCTTGTCCCAATTGGGAGAATATCAAGCAAGGTAGCAATAGTGTAAACACCAGCTGGAAGAACCAAGAAGATGGTGTGAGAAAACTTGAGGTCACATCACATGCTACATGCAGCACACACACAAACACATACACATACATGCATACATACATACCCCATTCAAAAGCTTTCTTCCAGAAGCAGGCAAGATATCAACATACTTGGAAGCCATAAGGAGTCCCAAGGCACACATGGTGAAGACTTTAACTATGGGCATCACAGCAATTTTTATAGACCCCAACAAAGATTCTCCTCCTGCACCCTCATTCTGCAGGGCCAACAAAAGCCTCACCATTTCCATAGCTATGTGTGGCTAAAGAAACAGCAATTCAATCTGAAACTGCTCTGAAAAACAAAAATAGAGTCTTGGATTGAATAATATAACATTTAAAAAAGCAATGAAAACAAAATTCAATATATAAAAAAAAAAAAGGAACTTTCGAATCAATAAGTTTACCAGATACAAATTATGAAGAAATATAGAAGATCTTGGTCATGGGGCAGACCCTGGTTTAAATAAACAGATTCATGTTGTTGTTGGGTCAGCTGTGTATGTATCCAGCTACAGCACGTGAATATGAACGTGATTCTCTCCTCTTTCACAGTTTTTGTTCTCTCTCTTCCACCCAGCTATAATAAACACGCAGAAATCAGTAAACACCAACCCTTCAAATTAAATCTCAAGTTTTTTGTTTGCAGTAAAAGCAAAACAGAAATCTTTTTAAGAAATAGACTATAGTAAATAAAATAATATGATAAATAATAAATAATTTGTTTGGATTCTTTCTCACTGTCACGTGTCAGATTAATTTTAAAATATTGTTTGTCTTATTTATTTATATATATATATATATATATATATATATATATATATTTAACAATAAATAATATTTTTCATAAAGATTAAAAAACGAATGAATTAATTAATTATGTAAAAATATAAATTTAAAAGTAAACTATAAGAAGAAAAACACTTAAATCAAGAGAAAACATTTTATTTTATTTTTTTAATTGGGAGAAAATATTTTTTAATATTTTTATTATGGAGTCTAGTATTATATTCTTGTTATAACTATGAACAATGGTGAAAAGAAAAATGATTTAGAAAGAGAATAACAAGATTCTAGATAACACGTTTTAGTTTAAAAAATTAAGCATTATTGATTCGATGGAATCTATAATTATTAAGTGTATTCTTTTTCGTTAAACTTGATTGAGAAATAATTATTAAGTGTATTATTTTTTGTTAAACTTGATCGACATTATTTAATGATCGAGGTTTATAAAAATTATATATTTTAATGTTTATTATATTATATATAAAAATAAGTCGATAATAATTTTTTTCTAATATCAATCAAAAAAATATTTTAATATTGATAATGGTTAAAGATTTTATTTAATTAAATAAATTTGTTAAAATAAGGTGTGGTGTGAAACTTTGAAAAAAGATCAGAATCTTAGAAAACAAGTGCACATGTATATAATTGTCTTTTATATAATCCCAATAAATAAATATATAAATATAATTAAAATTATAAAATAATTTAAAATATAAATTCTTTTATTATAATATATATATTAAATCTTAATAAATAAAAATAACTATAATAATTTTTATTATTTATATAATTTATTTTTATCATTTTATATATATACATGGATCCACACGAACAAATATATCTTAAAAGATAAATAATGGACCCTAATCTATTATTAATGATATTCCTTTCCACCTTTAGTTAAATAAACTTATAAAATTATTGAATATATAAATTCTTATCTTTTAAGTTACGAAAATATATTTTAAAAGTAAATTTATGACATACTACATTATAAAATATCAACGATAATATAAAATAGATACATTTTTATTTTTAAATCATATATATATATATATATATATATATATATATATATTCTTGTGGAATAGGTTTTCTGTGAAGTTATCAAACATTAATAATGAGTTAGCTGGGATGAATTCAATTATTAGACCACTTGTCATTAAAAAAAGTTATTAAGATTAATTATTTAATAAAATGATTATATTTTAAAAAATAAATCATTAAGAAGACAAATAATAATTATTCTCAAAGTATGTTACTTTGTGTAGTATGAAACCTTTTTAAGGATGTTAATTTGTATTGTATCAAACCTTTTTAAGGTTTGGGACCATGCCCCAATGTCCCACCATGGCCTTCACATCTAAAATATTCGCACTTATTAGATCTTATACACGTGGAAGTCACATAGAGTCGTGGCCTAAAACAAAAATAACCAAAAAAACAATATAAACATACAACAAGAAACAAAAAAAAAAACTTAAAATATAAAAATTTAGATTTTTTTTTTATATATTAGATAACTTTATTTTTTTCCTATAACTATTTTCTATCCTTTTTTTAGCATAAAGTAGAATGGGACCATGCATTTGAAACAACGGTAATATTTCTTTTCTACTTGTTTACATCTGAAAGAAAAATAGTGTCTGCTAGCGGAATGTCATAGAAGAAGAGACGAAGAAAGGTGGGTGAGAATAATTTATCTTGTCGTTCAAAATGTTAGGTACGATGACTTTGAATTTTTAAAAATTATAATCTATCAATCATATTACTGTAAATGTTTATTAGTTAAATCATATTCCTCGTGTAATTTTAGTTATTTGTATATTAAATTTAAAATAAAATATATTTTATATAAAAAATAGGTTTAATATCATTAAAAATTTTGTGTTTAACTGTATATATTATTAATAATTTTAATTATTACCACTAAAGTTATTAGTTTTATGTTATATAAATTATTTTATATAGATTTACAATATTTTAATAATGTGTGGAAACAATTTATCTATATTCTGTTTAAAATTTATTAAAAGAAACTAGTATAATTGTACATATTTATAATTAAATTCTATAAATTTATTTTAACTATTAAATAATTATTTTTGTTATTCTTATCAAAATTAAAAACAATATAATATTTTTAAAATATAATATTTATTTCTATTATTTATGTTGTTTGATAAATGATGTTTATTTATTTTAAATTTATATAGATTGAGAGATCATATTTTTTATGCAGCAGAAACGGAATCAGGTCGCCGACTTAAGAAGTCAAAAGATAATAGTTTATATATTTTTTAAATAATGAAATAAAAATCTTAAATTATTATTTATTAATAATAATTTAAATTTTGTGGACACCATAATCCTGTCCTTTGGCGCCAACACTGTTTAACATATATGGAAGAAGAGGTGGAAAATGGGGAAGAAGAAAAAGAGGAGTCTGAAGGAAAATCAAATATGACAAAAGCCGTGTTAAACTTTCAAGTTTTTTTGTCCATGCTATGAAAGGCAACATGTGATGACAATGACCATAAACCAATATTTCGTGCGAATTTTCTTACTTTTTTTTATAACAAAAATTGTATAAAATGACTTTATTGAGAATTTTCTCGCAATTTCTGTAAAATCCCAAAAAAATGTTGAAAAACAGTGCAGTTTTGGGCTTTGACCCAAACACCCCTAATGACCATGGGAATTAAGCTTCTGATGAGCATGTTAGATCATAGTCAATTAAGATCAGTAAATGAAGTAAAAGTAAAGTAATTAAAATCTCAGTTGTTTTAGAACATAAGAATTTAAAGGATCAATAAGCTGAAAATACTAAGTAAAAGCTAAGAACGTTACTTATAAACTCTGTGATTCATCATCCATGTATGATTCAATAAGTTGTATTATTTTTATGCGGTATCAATGATTCACGCTCGATTTAATAAAATTTATATTCAAGTGAGGAATTATTTAAATATTAAAGAATCGTTTTATATCAGATATTTAAAATTCAACATATTTTAATCTAAGATTCGTCACATGATTTTTATTTCTAATATGATTTGAGTAGTAAATTATTAAAATAGTAAAAAACAATAAAAGAAAAATTATTAAAAAATAAATATATAAAGAAAGTAAATAATAAAATAATAAATCTAACTTATTATTAAAAATAAAATAAAAATTAATAAAAAAAATAATTAAAATGACGATACAACTTATAAAAAACTTCATTAAGTTCTAGAACTTTTTAGAATAAGTATAATTTGAAAATCATCCCTTTTTTTTTTACATTTATTTATTCCTGTTTATAATTTTCTTGTAACCTCTAAAATATAAATACTCAGCTAAATAAAAACTTAATGTAAAATAAAGTCAAATAAAATAAAATAAAAATCTAAAAACAAATATTTTATTATAAGTTATAATAAAATAACTGTCTCTCTATATTTCGTATTAATATGCATGTATCACAATGAAATAATAATTATTATAAGTTACCTCTGCTTTTAATCTATTCAATCCCAAAAACTATATTTAAGTTTCTCTTTTCCCTTAATTTTGATATCTCCAAATACCAATATAATGTATAAATTATTCTCTTATATAGATTCATTCCTTTCCATGCATTTATAATTTTACCTCTGACAATGTGTTAATCCATTGTTTAAAAAATAAAAAAATGGACTGTAAGATTGTTAAATAGGATATTCAACTCCTTTATTATTCAATCACTGTTTTCATGTTAATTAAAAACATGTTTAGTGGAAGAGCTTCATCTGGCTTCTTAACCATTTATAAACGGAGAAACATGTTATTTGAACAAGAAAACTAGTGTATACTATCGAACTGCATCGAGGAACATGGATTGCAACCTAGGCGAAACAAATATTACAATAAGGGAAAAAAGTGAACGGAGGAGTGAGTTTGGTTGCGAATCAATCTCCTACAAACCAAGGTTTGGAAGCCCTAAGATCGAAAAAAGCTCATACAATTACAAATCAATTACAGTTACAAGAAATCAACAAGAGGGGAGAATGGTGGCGCGCATCATCACCTTGAACTCCTCGAAATCGACGCGGCCGTCGTGGTTGGTATCAACATAGCCAATCATGCGTTGGACATTGTCTATCATGTTGCCCTCCACGAGGCCCAGCTTGCCAAGGACCACCTGGAGCTCCTTGGCGGAGATGTAGCCGTCGCCGTTCTCGTCGAACACCTTGAAGGCCTCCCAGAGGTCCGACTCCTGCTGCTCCTCTTCAGCGATCTCCACGAAGCCAAAGTATGTGTCGCCTAGGGACTCGTGCAGGGCCACGAAGTCTTCGAAGGTCAGGCCCTCGTTCCCGGGGCGAATGTACGACTGCGTCATGGAAGCCAGCTCCGCCACGTCCGCCTCCAGGCCCAGGAGGCACAGCGCCTGGCTGATCTCGGTCACCGTGATCATGCAGTCGCCGTTCTTGTCGAACATATCGAAGATGCGGCGGAGGCGGAGCGAGTTGAGGCTCTTGCAGCGGAGGCGGAACGACTGCGAGGGCGCGGCGACGGTGATCTTCTCCGGTCCCATTACCATCCCAGATTCACCCTGCTGAGTGGTTGCGCGTGGAGGTGAGTTGTTGGGAATCGAACTGAGGTGAGAGGATGGTGTGTTGTATTGGATTAATAACTGGTCATAGATTTGTGTTTGTTCGTCAAAGCAACGTTGGTGCTTGTTGTGGTTGTTTGTGGGAACGATGGTCCTTAATTTCGCAGGTTTGTGTGTATGCTATAATATATGAGACAATGCGTGTTCGTTGGCCCGCCAAAAGGGACTCTTCCTTTCTTTGCGTTTCTTCACGACCTTTTCTTCCCTTCCTTCCATTAATACTAAATTACCTGATTATTTATATAAAACATTCATCATCGTTCAAATATCACACATTCTTTGTTTCTTTTTATATGTTGTCCTGATTTTATTTTTGTTTACAGCTATCTTGGAAGTTAGAACGTGTTATTTATTGACTTTACTTCTAAATAATAAATGGTTACTTTTTACGTTCAAACAATTATATTCGTTAATCGAGAAGATATTGAAAAAATAGAGCACAGGTTTAAAATCACATAAATTATGATATGAATCTTATAATATATTTAAGAAAAGTTCAACACGTATATGAAATGTTTTTTCTTACCCGAAGACAATTATCACAAACCACGGTTGTTTATTCTTTAGCCCATATTTTAATATACTTCTATTATATTTACTAAAAGCTACAAAGTATAACGTGTTAAAGAGTTCCTTGCATAAAATCTTTGGTCTTTTGTCTTCTTACTAAAATTACTTGTAGTATTATAGACTATAAAAACAATAAATAAATAGAAGAGAGGAATGGGTAAACTCAAGTGAGTGATATTAAAAATGGTTTATAACGACGGCTTTCATTGGTCGTGGTTGACTTGGATAGGGGCAGTTGAGTTATTTTTCCTTATCTAGATGACACGAAAGGTTTGAGTTGAGTTAGTTTTTTGAAAATGGGTCATTGACTTGGGACACGAAGGGCTTAACTTAAAAGTTCTTCACCTAAAACATTTATTGAATTCATATGCCATCTTTGAATTCGCACTTAAGGGTGGATTCGTAGTTGCGTGGTTGAAACAAAACGTTGTCGTACCATTCAAGAATGTACAAGTGGGATGAATAATTAAGAGCAACTTGGATTCTATCACTGTCATTATATGAAAGCAAGCCACGTTTCCATACAAGTGGGTTGATCAATTTATGATCGTTATAGGGTTTTTAAATCAAATAACGAAGGATGATGCTTTGCAATCCCTTTGCTCTGGTATGATAGCTTACAGTGTACATTGATTCTAAATGCAAAGGTTGAGCAGCATCTTGGTTTGGTTACTTTGTTGATAATGGTAGATGGGTATTCTCCAAACACCTTTTGACCCCCTTTTCCTGGTCCAGCTAACCTGGCATCATTTTGAGGAATTATTATGTAGTAATGTGGTTAATCACATAATTTTGTCCCCTCCTTTGATATGGTTGAACATGAAAATCCTACACCCAGTGATGATGCAATTTTTTTTTATATGGCGTGTTTGTATAATCAGTCACAAATTTTAATTATTAGCACATGGAGTAAAATAATATATTATTAATAAATAATAGATAAATATAAAAAAGATAAAAGAATATAAAAATATGAGAGATCAAATTTATAAATATACAAATAGATATATTTAATAATCATTAAATTTGAAGAAATTAAATCATAAATACAAATGTAAGTTAGATAATTAGAGGGGGAAAATCTGCCACTATGTATAATTAATGTCAATAAAACAACAATAATTTAGGAGAATGAATTCGAGGGATAAAGTATAATAAACTTTCTAGCTATAATGAGTCGAAAAAGATACCTCAAGTGATATACATTTACATCGTTATTCTTTCTTTTCTTTTACGAAATTTTTCACACGTGAGCAATTGTGCATGACATTGTATATGGCTGTGCATTACAGAGAGAAAACTTGTATGCAAAAAATTGTTCTAGAGATTCCTGCCCACCCACATGTAATCAAGTACATTGAAGATTCCTAGCACTATTGACCATCCTAGCTGAAGTTTTGAATGCACCATTAAAAGCCTATGAATGGAGTCGTTGAGTGTTGTGTATTTAAGTTGGGAGAGTTGTGGTTTCTTGGCTCATTTGTAATACATTGGTAGTTTGCTTTGAGGCTAGATGTTGGAGTAGGCATGACAACGGGATGGCGTGGGGCGGGGGTGAGTTTTGTTTCCCCGATCCTCGTCCTCAACTATTTTAATCATCTCCGTCTCTGTCCTTAAATTTCGTCGGGATTAGAAAATAAGTCTTCATCCCCATCCCTGCTGAGTTTTGATATTTTCCACTCGATCCAGATTCACGATTTATATTATTTTTAAAAAGATAATTACATTTATAATAAATTAATTTTACTATATATTTTTTATATATAAATAAATATTTATAATTTTATAATTTAAAATTATTATTAATTAAATATATATATTTTAATTTATTATATTTATATTAAAATATGTATGTAAAAGAAATATTTAATCATTATATATATATATATATATAGAATATTTATAACATTATTATTATAACATTGTATTCAAATATTTGAATACTTATAACATTATTATTATTATAATACTATATTCAAACATTTGATTGCATATATAAGTTAATTTATTTTTAAGTTGTTATTTAAAAATATGAAATATATAGTTTATAAGAAAATATTTAATAAGTTAATTCTTATTTAATTAGCTCTAGGTAATAAAAATTTAAATTATCAATTCCTTTTAATATTTTAAAATATAATTATTTTATTAAGATAAAATTTGATATATGATAATTAAGAATAATAAGATACAAAATTATGACATAATAAAACCTAATAAATATAAATTATAAATAAAATAATATTAGTTATTACTAAGATTTATGTAAACATATTTAGAAAAAGATAAAGAAAAAAATTAACTTTGTGTTCATCAAATTGGTTGAAAAGATTAAAAAAAAACAAATTGATAGAATAGATTAAGAAAATGTGAAAAACAGAAAGGTAAGAAAGAGAGTAATGTAATAAATTAATTGATATAAAAGATCAAACAAAGATAAAAAAATTAAAAAGTGGGTAGAAGAAAAATAAAAATGGTGAAATATAAAAAATGACCTTATATGTAATAAAAACGGAAAAGAAAATACTTTTAAAATATTAATATTTTAAAATTTAAATTTAAATATAAAGTTAGGATGGAGACGAGATGGGGATTGCATTACCCATCCCCACCCGCCCCCGACTTTTTAAAGCGGGGAAAACCCGAACCCGCTCCCTAGTCAATTCGGGTTTTCCCCGTCAAACTCGGGGCGGGGATGGGTCGGTCCCCACAGATACGAGTTTATTTGTCATCCCTATGTTGAAGGTTTGGTTTGTGTGTGGCATGTGCGTTGTTGTTAGTGAATCGAGTCTTTAGGTGAAGAGAATCAATTCTGCGTGAGAATAGTTGTAGATAACCGATTCTCGATGCTTATATAATTGATTCTCGACCATGCTTTATTTAAAGGAGAATCGACTCTCGCATGTGATTTGTGCTGTGTGAATTTGATGTGTTGTGTTGTAAAAGCTGACAGAGACATAAACAAACTTAATTCCTGAGGCGTGTACAAGCACTGTCCTTAAAGACTTATCTGCGGTGTATTGCGCAAGTCCCCCAGGATATAACAAGAATTTCTCAGAATATCTGATGATCTCATAAACTAGCAAGAAACTATTAAATGAGTAAATAAACCCAGAATAATAGTAGAACAAGAAGAAAATAAAGAAGAGAAAATGAGAGAGGTGTTTTGGAAGAATGTAAAGTGGTTTTTATTTATAGGTGTAGATGAGACCCAAACCCTAACTACCTAAGTTCTCTATAACGTTCTCAGTAAAGTTCTCTGTAACGTTCTAAGTTTTGTAATACCCCTTATTTTTCTACAGTCCCCCACATATTGCAAAACAAAAGAGATAAAGAATAAAAAAAAAAATTTTTGGGTCTCATATAAGATGTAATGCATCAGAACTGGTATAACAAGCTATATGAACCAGTCTTAGACTGAAAAAACTTAACACACAGTGTAGTTGATGTAGCAAGCTATATGAATCAAAACACTTAGTGTGTGTTAGTGGTTTAACAATCATAATACACCCCCACAATTCTTGTTGTTATCGTTGTGTAGCGCTTACTAGGCCATGCGCGTGCCCAGTATTCATGAGTGTTCTAGAAATCTTGCAAATATCTCATACAAGCAGCCCAACTCGACACTCATATAGGTGACTTCATCAAGCGTATGTTGCAAATCATACACCACCCGTAAAGGATATGAAATCGTTAGACCACATAAAATTTTAATTACAAAGTTTAACCTCTCAATGATGCAGTATCTAACACTTTCACATATACATCATAGGAATGAACGTAATTGATTTTAATCAATTTTAGTGTTAGCAGAACTAACAAGTGACTTGTTTTTACCCATATGAACCTTATTCATGGGATTTTCAATCACAAATGTTGGGTTACCATCACCTGTTTGTTTGCAAGTTGCTTAAGTCTCATTCCCCTCGATGTTTCTAAAATCATATTTTTCGCTAAAGGTTTTGTTAGAGGATATGCTAGATTCCGTTCTGACTTCACATAATTAATGGAAATTGCTTCATTCTTTAACAACTGCTTCACTAAATTATATCTCAATTGTATATGTCTATTTTTTCCATTATAGTTCTTATTTTTAGCTATAACTATTGCCGATTGACAATCACAGTGAATTGATACAGACGATATCAATTTCATTCCTAATGAAATATTTGCTAATAAGTTTTTTATCTACTCAACTTCACTACCAGCCATTTCGAGAGCAACAAATTCAAATTCCATTGTTGATCTTGCAATAATTGTTTGTCTGGCTGATTTCCATATAATCGCACCACCCCCGAGTGTGAATACATAGTTACTAGTGAATTTTGTCTCATCTGAATCAGAGATCCAGT